TATGTAATTTATCATATTGATGATGATGCCTGTAAACTGGCGTCCCTCATGTACAAAAAATGAGAATTTATTATTATTATTATTATAGAATAACCGTCACCTGTAGCCAATTTACAACCTGAAAATCTACAACCACTGGTAAATATCGAACTTTTAAAGCTCTCAAAGCAAAATTAAAGTCATTTATATGCGAAGAAAATTTTCTTTTCGACGGGGTCATCAACTAGGCTGTACATTCGTGTATTTATATTACTTGTGCGAGAAAGTTCCAGAATTATTTCCGGTCAGAAGTCTGTGATGAGAATTATGATATAAAAAGCCTACTTCAACTCTTCAATAACGCCCATCGAAACATCGAATTCACCCTGGAAGTTGAGTCTAATTCAATGTTTCATTTCTTTGACGTTCAACTACGAAGGAATGCTGACAACTCTCTAAGAAGATTCATCTACAAAAAGCACACATGGAACGGACAGCTTATTAACTTTCAAACTTGTGTGCCTCTAAGCAGAAAGAGAAACCTAATACACTCTCTTTCCTCGAGGATCCGGAAGATTTGCACTGAAGATTCAATCGATGAAGAATTACAATATATATATATATATATAAATGTATGGTTTCGTTTCTTGAGTGCATCGTTTTGTATCCGTGTCGTATGTTTGTAAGTAGTGAATTACCAATTCTATTGGAAACACCTGTGCTATCATCCATTGCAGAGTTGACCGCACGAATGTAAAAAGTACAAACTAGTGTTTTCATTGTTTGGACACAGCGCAGTAGCTTACAGTCACAGCGAAAACAACTTTCCCACTCATTACAGAGGTTTATGAAGTATACTAGAAGTCAAGGCGTTTGTCAGTATCATGAAGTATTTGGACATCGAGTCACTCAGTGTACAATCCCGTGCACCTTCGAAGGAAGAAGAGCGGCTCAGGGAAACACCTCAGCCAGGCACTGATGGAGACAACTGTTACTGGCAATCAACCAAGTCGCCTCTTCTATGTGATGGACGAGATTACAGGTATACTATCCCCGGAAGGCGCATGAGCTGAAGTTAGTGTGATAAACCATTCACTATTCAGATGACTTCTAACATAGCTGGGAATCTCGCTTCGTGCAGCCAACTAAACGAATATGCAAACATAATGCTAACAGTCACTCATCTTAGTTCTTGGTTTACGCCAAGGTTATACATATACCTTAGTCAAGGCTGGCGTTCGTCATGCTATACTTGAGGCTGGTATTTTGAGAAACTTCAATATGCTGGCTGATACCGATGTTACAAAGCTGATTGGTAACTGTATTCAACTTAAGATCCATGGAATTACCGCGAATTACTTGGTTCATATCTTCTGTATCGAAAAGCCTGATAACTGCACATTTTCTGCTCCATTGCAACGTTTCACGAAAATCCTCAGTCTTGCAGTATTGAGGGCATTCCTAATACCGTTATGCACAAAATTGTTACAATGAGTTAACCTCTAGGAGCACGTTCACATTGCCTACCACCTGACAAACTAAAGGCAGAATAAGTTGAACTTGAACACATTTTGCAACTCACTGGATCTTGCAACAGGCCTATATCCTCACTCACTCTTGCATATGGTGCGAAAGGCTGAACATGACTGGTGACCATGTGGGGACTATCATGCCTTAAATAACACCACTATCTTTGATCATCATCCCATTTCCCACTTACATGGTCTCTCCCTTACATTGTATGGGAAAACTATCTACTCCCAAGTTGGTTTAGTCGGGGTATATCACCAAATACCAGTCTACATAGAAGACGTTGCCATAACAGTCATCATACTAACTTCTTGGCTGTTTGAATTTCTGAGAATGTCATTGTTTGAAGAATATCACTCAGTCATTTCAACACTTCATGGACCAAGTCACATAACAACAACAGACAACAATCAGCCAGCATAAATAGGAGGAACCTGAAAGAAACAACCTCCTTCACCTACACACCTACCTGGGAAGCACCGTTTCAACTACAGGCGGGCGGAACTGACGAGGATATCAAAGCAAAATTCGGAAAAGCAAGACAAGCTTTCATTACTCTCAAGTCTGTGTGGAGATCAACAGCACTCACCATCAAAATAACATCCGGATTTTCAACTCCAATGTGAAGTCAGTCAGTGCTAATCACTATACGGATCAGAGACTTGCACAGCGCGTCATAAACAGCATCTCAGACAAACTACAGACCTTCATCAACAGTTGTCTTCGCTAAATACTCAAGATCAGATGGCCAGCCAGAAAAGATCAGGAACAGGGTGGGATCTCTGGGAGCGAACCAACCCAGCAGGAACCGATTGTGCAACAAATAAGCAGGAAGAAATGAAGATGGATTGGCTGGCCATACGCTGAGGAAACCATCAAGTGATATCACACGCGAGGCCGTCACTCGAGTGGAACCCGAAAGGGAAGCGGTGAGTTGGTCGTCAGTGACAGGGTGGGGTGACTTGAAGGAGGTCATGTGAAGAGGAGATGAGAGCATGTTGGCAAACTTGGAGACAGGTGAAAATGTTAGCAGAGAACCCAAGTCAGTGGAGACGCGCATCTGAAGCCCTATGTTCCTCTAGGAATTAAAGGAAATAACAATATACCGATGATGTCCTCATAACCGACACGCCTATAGAGGAGCACATAGACCACTTGGCTACCTTATTTCAGCGCTTTGAACTGTTCAGAGTAGACAAAAGGCCCTAAAAGTGTATTTCCAGTACTTCTTCTGTACACGTTTTGGGACATCAAATCACAGCAGAAGGTATCAGGCCTACGGAGGAGAAGATAGGAACTATCGAAATCTTCCTCGAACCAGATACGCTGGCGAAAGCCCGACGTTTTTTGGGATGTTTAGTTTCTACCGTCGTTTTATTCCCTCGTGTGTCTCTATTGTACAATCTTAAACTGACCTTAAAAGTGAACTTGATAAAAAGTGCCTGTGCCATTTTCGTGCATATGTGGCTGACTGGTATTTCACAGCAGGCACCTACAGTTTGTTACTCTCTCTATATATCTATTCGAATTCATCATGCACCTACTTGTAGGCGTTAACTTTCTTTGTTACAGGAGAAAGAATACAGTTTTCAACAATAGCTGGATATGGACATTTTGCAAATCCAAGTGAATGATTTCAAGCCCAGTTCTCGTAATCGTTCATATAATTACGTAGCATCTCATGATGTTCGGTGGACATGTGTTAAGTGTTACCAGGAGATCTGATCTCTATGGAAATATGGTAGAACGCGCACGCCACTGACTAGTCAGTAAGCCATCCAGGTTAGACTATCGCTAAATCTTTAGTCGTTTGCTAAGAGTGCAGCAATTCTGATTTTGGTGTTAACAGCGGTGATTTGGGTGAAAGTAAGATACACAACATCATGTCCTCAAGGTGGTGGCTGCATCGAATGTTCTCAATGATGAGAAGCTTGGAAGGCAATTGCTTCAGAGGAAATACACGTGTTAACAGCATTCTTCAAATAATCCTGCACATGTCTCCAACAAGTGCGTTATTTACTCACCAATATGCTAACGGTATGAAACAGTTATGTAGTATACTGTCGCGCTGTGTTCACATTGTGCTTTCGGGTTTTAAGAAGTCATTTTACACCCGTTTGACTTATGAAAATTAAAAGCTCAGTGAAAAATTGTCCTGTACAACGACCACGTCTTTCAAATAGATAACATATTTTAGGAGTACAAAGGTTACAGACTGCAGTGATTAAGTAGTCATTAAAAGCCATGCACTTAAAACTGAAGCAAATGGTAAGATGGTGGCTATGAAGCCTTTCAAAAAACTCAGACTAAAGTGGTCAAAAGACATTTTAACCTTTTAGAAAACAACAAACACTTAAGTCGGGTTGATTCATTCCCACTATCACACTGGGAATCCGAAGGTGACCTCGTATTAGTGTTACTGAGCTTCAATAACAACTGGAGTACTGATGTATCGCATACATTCCTTTCCTTTAGAAGTGGTCACTTGCGAGAGCACTGCTATAAATTTTGCACACCACAATCAAGTCATCTATGTTAGGAAGTTCAGTTCTCTTAGCTCATTGTAAACCAGTAAGGTTTTCTACTGTGGCATGTAATTCCCACACCTTTTCTGAAAACTACCAAGGCAAAACTGGATTTCCACTACACTTTAAACTGAAAGGAATGGTATAGGACTTCTGTAAAAAAGTTAAATGAATTGATGTTTGCTTACTCTTAATTATATTAGAAGTCAGCAGGAGTATATACCGTTGCTCATAAACGTCTACCGAAGTGACACTATTCAGTTTTTACGTCATCTTCACATTTCCTCCCGATAATTCCGCTTTTCTCCCTTTTATTTATTTATTCAAATTATCCTTTCCACCTCCTGCTTATTTTTGAGATTCTGTTTACAAGAAGCCTAATAATCGGCTGATGCAGGTTTGAACCCGATAGCTGCATTGTAACCGACTAAAAGTGTTTAAATGACTAACTTAATATAAATGAACACAATGGAGTGAAATTTAAGGTTAACATCTGCCAAACGATTTGTAAACGAAAATATGACAAATAACTGCCTAAAATATGATCCATCTTGACCTTCAAAAAAGAAAGGTAGGGATAATTAGATTCTTTCAGTTCCTCGTCTTTTAGGGGAGATTTGAACTGGGTGTGCAAGGCCTAGATAGTGCATTTCTTGTATGCGAGTGTAAACCAGTTGAGATCTTGAAAGCGTGTTGCCAAACTGTGATTCGTTTACACCGTTTTCTTTAATTAAGCGCAGGCAAACGGTATATTATGTATACAGAGGAAAAATTTAACTGAACACTATTACTGTTTACTGTTTTTGCATACTAGACACATTCATAAAGTAAAAGGCTATCTCCTCGGGTTGAACAAACTGAATTCACCGGAAACTCCAAACCTCTCTATTTTTCAAAGTGTCTAAGATAACCACGTGTACGGTACATTTGTATTTAGTAGTAAAAACCAGAGAAAACATTTTAATTATCATTGGAATTGCTTTATTTAGAAGTTTAAAGAGTGTATTAGTCGTAATGACGAGGTCTTATTATTCATTTGCAAAAGCTACAAGTTTTAGCACATAAATTACGAGCTTCATATGAACTTATCTGACATCTAGCAGTTTGTTTCATAACTTCACAATCCCTACGACTGAGTATATCACGACATTCGCCTGAAACACAACAGAAACAATATTGTGTAAATAACAAAAATTTGAAACACAAGTCAAATTTAGATATGATAGAGAAGATTTGTAGCTCAGGTGGATGATTTTGATGTGGTTTTGTTCTCTGAGCTGGATGGTTAGTTTGCGAAGCTTTCATCACCTTACTGGGTGACATCTTCAGAGCATACTTCAAATTGAAGTCAAATTATTTACGACGCATCTTGTTAATTGCATTTTGATGTGGTTTTGTTCTCTGAGCTGGATGGTTAGTTTGCGAAGCTTTCATCACCTTACTGGGTGACATCTTCAGCGCATACTTCAATTTGAAGTACAAATCTTCTCTATAATTGCATTTTCGAATATGAACAAAATTATATTGCGTGTCATAACTCACCTATAAAAGTATTCACGCATTTTGAGTAGATTTTCAATCTTAAAAGCGGTACGAAACGCTGGGGCTAAGCGAAAACAGTTCACTAATCAGTCAGTATTTTGACTTGGTTATATTCTCAGAGAGCATAATATTGAATATTTTTTGTTCTCCTTTTAGACTTGTATGCAATTGTCTATCTCACAACTACGTAGAACTTCAAATCCATGACCTTAAAGTGTTTTCATAAATATTTTAAATTTACTACCGTCATTTGAGTCCTTAATAAGCTTGTAGTAGAATAAATTTCTGAGATATTTATGATATCATTCTAATGATTTCTCGTCATCTGTCTTGTCATTTCTCTTTATGCTCGACAACCGAACAGTATCTATAATTCTTGCCTACATCGTTTAACTAATACTCTGTATACACGCTTGATTGTACGTACTAATTTTCACTAGGATTGCATTTTTGTTAATAGAGAAAATAGATACAAAATAAAATAATAAAGATTAGTTAGAGTTTTCTTCCAGTAGCTGTTAAAGTAAAAGTGGATTGTATGGGAAGACTAACTGTTCACGATCAGTAGATGGCGACGAAAATTTACTTGATAATTTTACTGTTAGCTGGTGAGATTATCTAAGACAACCGTTCAATCGGGACATTGTAAGGGATATATACTGGTGGATGATTGATGACGAAATTAAAATATGGATTTAATAATAATAATAATCATAATAAATATGATAAATCTCAGATGTAATATGTGGGTAGATTGCAACAGTTATCTAAGCAACAGTCCAGACTTCTCTGATTTTGACTTTCTATGACTACAAAGCGTTTTATTGTCTATCCCATTTAAATTTATTGAAATATTTTTGTAGATATTTATGTCTTAATATCAACTTTCAAATTAGATCGATTTCTTTAATTTCACTGGACGGTGATTAGCTGCAACCCTTCAAATTTCTAAGCCATCTTTCTCCATCTAATCTCTTTGTTATTCCATATATTGTCAAGATCATTTAAAATATTTCAAGATATGAGACTTCGTCTTAGTAAAACTCTTTTTGTATCTATTTTTATATCAAAAGTTGTCGAGAATAATTACAGTTTCTCTATACTCGTTATTCTTTACTCTGTTATCAATTTATTAGACTTCATATTCATGATTTTATTTTAAATTTTCTACAGAGTTACAAATATCAAGGAGACATATTGCTAAGAAATAAAAGGAAATGTAATAATTACCTTCAGATGTGTGGTAATCTACTGTACACTTTTCACGTCTTGTGATAATTTGTCGAATGCATTCATTTGATTTCACAGATGAACTAAGCCATGGTCGAATAAAGAACATAATGTGCGTCAGTCTCTGGCCATTGTAACATGAAGTGCGTTTAACTTTAGGAGGTGGGCAGTTAGCACAGTTGAATTGTCTTTGAGTTCTTTAGTTAGACAGAAAAAAAAGTATCTCTTTTTGATTTAACGCTTAAAAGTATATTGTAAAAGTGTCAAGAATCGAAAATCATATAAATACAAAAATGCATTCCATAGGTTCTCATTGAACTAGGTAAGAAAACGCTTTTATTTAGACAAAGAATTCTTCAGATATTTAAAGCATCTCAACACTTCCAATGGTTTTGCGCTCATTCTGATGCTGAATCGTAATGTGTTCATTTCAATATCCATTTAATATTTCTTTTACTAAATAATCAGTCTAATGAATATTAATTAGTGGATGGTGACTGACAGTGGAACCCAGGACAACGCCCATTTCATCCTATTTGGGACTCATCATCTGGATCTACCTGCATTCCATAAAGAGTGATGATTTTCCCACCGAGGCTCGAACCCAGTACCTATAGTTTCAAACGCCAAAACGGTATCCATTAGACCACTTGCGCCATAAGAGAGCCACCTCTTGTGCAATAGGTCATATTAATTGTTTAGTTCAATTTTAAATTTTTCCGTTGATTGATTGGACCGAAGCATCTGCACAAGAAGCCGACATGTCAACCTGAAACCGAGCACTTCGGCCCATTCAATAGACGGCAAAATCTAAAATTGAATTAAATAGTCTAATGAATAGTTTCAATTTTTGGTGGGAAGTGTATTCATCACATCAAATTATGTAGTAGGAGACTTTTTCTCATTAAAGAAGTATAGAAGATGGGTGTGTTTTTATTGTAGACATATACGCCTATTAAATTGTTTGATTTGATAACCAGGCTGAGTAGATCTTTGCTGAGTAAAAGTATATATCTATTAGGCTTTCAATTAGTAATGAGTATTAACACAGACTCACAGCAGAAATCTGAAAAATACGTTAAGATTGTGTATCTCCGAATTTCGGAACTTTCAATCAGCGTATTACTATTAACTATTGAAAGTTAATCTATGCTCACAAGTGGCTGGCTACACAACATAGTTCGCTGGAATTTCAGCGAGAAGTCATGACCAATGAGGTCTATCAATGTATGCGCGAGGTGACTTGATATTAATAGAGTGACTGATGTTTTTTCAGGGCAAGAGAAAGAAGCAACTAGATTAGTAAACCACGAAATTCTTGACTGTTTTATCAAGGCTTCAAAGTAAAAGGTTTTAGGATTATTTTGACACAATCATTTACGAGAGTTTACTGCTAGTGCTTAAATAGGACCTTGAAATCATTCAAAATGAATAGAAAGAGAATAAATCTATAAATTAATAAGTCAAAACAAACACTCACCGTCGTGTTTTACAACAACCACCTTCATTGACTACATATTCTGTAGTGAGGCTAAGTTGATACGGTACTGAGCTTGAAGCTACACGTTTACATGGAGATATAGAGTATTTATCTGAGTATGCAGCCAAACAGTTTCCACATCGGAATTTATAATTCTTTGTTTGCACTGAACACTTAATCTGAGGTTTTCCATCAATATTTGAAGGAATCTGAATTAATTTTGCTGTAATTTGATTTACTATGCGTGAGTCACTCTGTTTATCACATTTGTGTACAAATTCATATGAGCCAACAGGGCAGTCTGAAAGGACAAATAAAAATAATCCTATTTATGGTGAATACTCTCCAATTTGTTTTATATCACAAAAAACTGGAACAAACACAAAAGTGCCTGGACTAGTATAGTGGTGATAAGCTGTAACATCTACGTGCAGTGTAGCATTTATTGAACAGTGGAGAAATGGATTAAGAGTAACTCACATTCACATGTCTTCAAATAGGTCTTCATTTCTACGTAGCAAATTCGATGAATTGGATGTGACTTATAAATAATGTGAGTGTCAGTTCTGTGTCCAGTAGTTTCACATTTTCCTTTGAATATACTGACACCATGACATGTACAATGACCACATGTTTTTGAGCATACCTAAAAAATTATCGATAAATGAAAGTTAAATTATGTGGGATAACATTACAACTTGTTATGCGTGCAAGAAAATATGAGACAACAAATTCGCATCATAAGATGAGTGGAAGAACAGTGAAACTCCATGAAAGCCACATGGGATGAGACCTGTAAAGATACATTACGAAAGAAGAGACAATACAGTTAATGTCCGAATATAGATACCTGGAAGCTGGTATAGGAGGATACTGGGGCTGAAGTTAAACCAGTACAGTGGAAAATATCGAAAGAAGCTGAGTACAATCTACAGCTCACTGAACAAAGGAGTGAAGAAGAGTGTTGGTAAAGAAAAAAGACACTTTCATAACACACATGAAATTGAAGCAGAACAGGTGGCTCGTAAGACAAACCTGACAACACTGTAACAAATAATCGGGTGGATACTAGAGAATGGCTCAAGGTAGATGAGACCAGTGAAAATCAGTGAAGGAATCACAGTTACCATAAAAAGTGGAACAGAGGGAACTTTGAGCTGACCACTTCAACGAACTCCTAACATGACCACCACCTATAACTTGTCCAGAGATATCAAAAGCAGAGAGAGAACAATCAGTGACCTTCCGAAAATAAACAAACTTGTCCATTCACCCACCTAGGTGGCATCGTCTCAACTACTAGCATCAATAAAAAGGATGTTAAAGGCAGCCTGGGAAGCATCGTCTCAACTACAGGCGGAACTGACGAAGACATCAAAGTCAGAATCGGAAAAGCAAGACAAGCTTTCATTACTCTCAAATCTGTGTGGAGGTCAACAGCAATCAGCATCAAAAATAAGATCCGGATTTTCAACTCCAATGTGAAGTCAGTGCTACTATACGGATCAGAGACTTGCACTGCGCGTCATAAACAGCATCTCAAACAAACTTCAAACCTTCATTAACAACTGTCTCCGCTCAATACTCAAGATCAGATGGCCAGAAAAGATCAGCAACAGGGATCTCTGGGAGCGAACCAATCAGGAACCGATTGTGAAACAAATAGGCAGAAAGAAATGGAGATGGATTGGCCATACGCTGAGGAAACCATCAAGTGACATCACTAGACAAGCCATCGCTCGAGTGGAACCCGAAAGGGAGGCGGCGAGTTGATCGTCCAAGGGTGACTTGGAGGAGGTCATGCGAGGAGGAGATGATAGCATGTGGACAGACCTGGAGCAGGTTGAAAAAGTTGTCAGAAAACCGAAGTCAATGGAGGTGCGCAGCTGAAGCCCTATGTTCCTCTAGGAACTAAAGGATACAATAATAATAATAATAAAGGCAGCCAGGATTTGATGCAGAATTGAAAACAGGTACTTCTTAATTTGAAGCTGTTATGGACATCTACGGCATAAAACAAAATGAATAGGAACTAAATTTTTAACACTAGTGTCAATTCAGTGCTTCTGTATGGTTCAAAGATATACCACGCCTGTCACCAAAAGCATTTCTGGAAAAGCCATCAATTAATATTACTGTACAACACTGTTTGATTTATCAAAATAAAATCTTATCCATAATGGAGTTATACTCTACCACAGTGCCCACGTTTTACACTTATATCAGTAATGCACTTCTGGAAAGCTTCTGCAGACTTTCATCAACAGTTGTCATTATCTTGAAGATCAGTTGACTGGATGACTGGAGGGAAAGGATAGACACCAAGGAACTCAGGCACTGCGTCGAAGCAGTCAAGAACCTAATACCTAAAAAATATACAGAAGGAAGTGAAGGTGGATTAGTTAACCTCTGAGAAGACATTTACGTTACATCACACGCTGGGCATCGATTGATCTCCGAATGGAAAGCCATCGGTTCGATACCCTCCTGAGGGTAATATGGAAAATGGAGTAGATGTGAGATTTTGGGGAGTTGTGAAGAGAACGGAGTGCAGTGGATATGTGGCGATGAAGCCCTATGTTTCAGTCGAAACTCAAAGAATGAATAACAATATTAAAGCTATTCAGTTGTGCAACTCACTTTCATTGATATGCAACTGATAAAAGCTGTCAATGGTTAGTACAGTATGTCTCTAAGATAGAGGGGATTCTCAGTTGTTAAAACATTGAATCCTTTTTTACTGAATTTCTTCACCACATTAGATGATGTAAAACCATTCAGGCTTAAATTAATTTTATGCTTCAGTGAATTATGCAACCAAGCAAGTCCATCTGAGATAACAAGTTTCTTTTTCTAGTTTTTTTTTGTTCATCGCTATTCTGGTTTAAGGCATATCTTCATCTTCGCTTTTTTTTTTTAAGTTTTAGATTAAATATGTGGTTTCATTAACCTCGTCAACGCTGTACGAAATATGTTGTTGACTAAAATGAGTGGGGAAGAAATGAGAGATTATGGGCAATCGTGGACCCAGATGAAGAGGATGCCAGAAAATAGAAGAAAGTGGAGATGGAGTGTTGTTGAAGCCCTATGTTCCACTTGGAACCCAAGGGAATAATAATAAACAACTAGCTTGTGTAATTTGTGAGATGAAGTGATTTAGTCCATGGAAATCATCATTGATAAAACTGGCACATACTGTGAAACACGTATCTAGTGTTGGAATCACTACTTTTCGGTAAAGAGTACTAATAACAGGTATTAGTCATCTCATGTCATTCATATCAGTTAGCACCAGACGTCTTATAGCATTTATGAAGTCACACAGTTGACATACCGTGGTCTAAATATTTTGAGAATGGAGTTATCATTACAGTCACCTTTGAGTTCTACAAAAGCTTAATTTTTATTTTAGTTTAGGCCTTCTTCATCCAAACTGTTTCTTAAAGTAAACATGAGATATCTTATAGACTTGGTAATATATTTTATGCCTACAAGCGTCTATAACCACAACCTTAATCGTCACTTTCATCCAAAAATAATAACGTCAGTTATGCTTCTTTTTGGCAAGTGTGTATTGTTATATTCACTTAGTTTAAGGTAGTCAATAAGAAACTTTACATATGATGTCTTGTATCAGTCATCAAAACTACGTACCTATAATTACAGGTTATTTTTCTCTGAGAAGGCTGAAGCTGAATCACTAAATGTCAGAGTTCAAGATTTCATAAGCACACTCCCAGGTTCTTTACTAAATTTCGTATCATGGACGGAATGCTTAGAGTGCATACTGAAAAAATTTTTAACCAATGATGGTGATTTTGTGAATCAAGTAATAATAATGTGGTAAATGTTTTGAACGAAATTAATAACGATGATTATAATGATAACAAAATATTGATAATAAGTTTTAATGAATTTGAGATTTTCCCGTCGATTGATTGGACCGAAGTGCTTGGTCTCAGGTTGACATGTGGATAACGCTTTAGCGTTTGAAACTATGGGTATTGGGTTCGAGCCTCGGTGGGAACATCATCACTCACAAAGAAATGCAGGCAGATCCAGGTGACGAGTCCCAAATAGGACGAAGTGGGCATTGTCCTGGATTCCACTGCTAGTCACCACCCACCAATTAAATATTTATAATAAGGTTTATGCAGGTGACAAGAATAGCAAAGTCAGTATATGTATATATGTGTACATGTAGACGATTCAATAAAGAAATACATCAGGTCAAATCTTAAGAGGTGAAGTGGACATATAATCACAGTTTAAATAAGTATCATAAAAGTACGAAGCAGATGGAAAATAAGAAAGGGTAGGAGGGTTTTGAATAGAATTCACCTAGGCCAAGGGAGAGACAAAGGTAGAACAAACTTCTTTTGTGTGCAAAGACTAGGATTGTTATCTCGAATTCCCATAGCTTCGGCTAAGTATAAAAGACGGGTTCTGATTCCGTTCGAAAAACTAGATGGAATGCGATAGATAACTTTGAAGGCACTATTTTTGTCCACTTAGTGGCCGTTATCAATCAAATGAGCCAAAACAGAACTTGGTATGGATTTTATTTGACCTTTTCCGAACCATGAAGGAAGATGCTCAGTAATGCGTTTGTCAAGCTGTATAGTTGTTCACCTTATATACACATATATACATATACTAACTTTGTTATTCTTATCACCTGCATTAACCTTGTTATCAATATTTTGTTATCATTATAATCATCGTCATTAATTTCGTTCAAAACATTTACCACATTATTAATAGTATTATTATTATTTGATTCACAAAATCACCGCAATTGGTTAAAACATATTTATATATAAATCTATGTAAATTAGAGTAAAGCCTGAAGAAGATCTAATTGAAAACAATATTGTTCGCTTTTATATCTTGTTCTAATATTATAAATGGGAATATTTAAAGATTTGAAAAAAATTCGTCATAATTACTTAGATTCCTTTTCACTACTAACAAATTTCCATCAATCAAGTAAGAAGTTAGACTGTCGGTTCCTATTAAATTCAATCAGTGATTATTCCTCTAAGATTAGTCTTTGGGTGCATTTATGAGAAATTTTGTGCGACAGATAATTATTAGATTCGCTCTATTTGACTGCACCTTTGTTTATATGACTTTCAGATGTTCTAGAGATCTCCATGTGCGTCTGTGGTATAGCGGTTAAGACGCTCGCCGACCATGCAAATGGTCCGAGGTTCGACCCCCGGCCGACTCACTCCTTTACCTCGCTAAGCCAGAAATAATGCTGGTAAAGTGGAAAGGTTGGGTATGAGGCTAGCAACCTCATTCTGTAAAATAAACACTGCTACAGAAACTTCAAGCCACTAGCTTGAAGCCCTATGTTCCACTGGGGACGTGAAGGAAAAACAAGAGATCTCAAAGTATCATACAGATTCTCTTTCTTTCCCTTATGAAATAAAAAAAGGGTAAGTAATTTCCGTGCTGTAGACTAAAACTGAAAATATACAATACTTACCTGGCTGAAAACGTCGTCTTTACACTTGTGTTCATCTGCAGCTAATTGTGCTTCACACCATAATGTTGGTTTCATGTTATCACAGTTAACTTGATCTCTAATGTGTAAATCACGGTATCTTGGATTACTGCATGGTGTATAACCTTGCCAGTTTTGTTTTTGACAAACACCTGACTGTAACTGAATATAGTATTCAACACTAATGTTTTTGAAACAATGCAAAGAACTTTTAAACTTCGGCGAGTTTAGTGGATGCCCGTAATAACTTTTATAAACTTTACATTCACATTTGGAGATTTCCTTAGTCTGTGGTTTTAAACAAGCTGTGTAACAGAGAAAAATAATGAATTTAATGTAGGACTTCTAATATCAGTAGTTGTGTGGTGAGAGCTGTATTCAAACCAAAATTATAAACAACAGTTTACGTCAATGTTTACGTTCCGAATCGGGGGCATAAAAAATACAATAACAAAGCTTAACCTTGAAGAACTCACCAACCAATCACAGCAGACTTATCGTGTGCAAATACGATTCACATATAAAGTATAATTATATTTTAATAGTTTACACACGATGATAAGTTTTGTTATTGGTCATTGTGTGTAAACTATTAAAATATAATTATACTTTATTTGATCTAATCCACAATGCTCAAACTTTTTACTGATACGATTCATATATATATATATATCGCTTAAATTTCTAAGAAACGGTTACTAGGAGTAAGAAAACAACCAATCAGAAGAGGTTGCTTCCCACTAACAATAACGCTAATAAAAATGCATATAAAAATCTATAAATATCTCTTGATTTTCTTAATAAACGGTATGTTGCCTGGCCCTTGTATAACTAAACACCAATCTAGAATTCTCTTGCACTTGTCTCACAGGTACTCAGTACACATAAAATATTTTGTTAGGGTAATGAATGTAATATTATACCAGTAGTATTGTAAGCATTATCATTGCATCAAGTCACAAATTAAAATTTACTTTTGTAGTCCTCAATGTTATTCTAAAACACCTGAGTTGATTAAGCTGAATATACATGTGTATATGTATATATGCATACATGTCTACCTCAATTCATGAACACCGTAAAGACCTTCGATAGCCTTGATCGTGAAATAAAATTTGGAAGCTCGTTGAACTCTTTAGAATGCCTCAAACCTTGTCAGCTTCATTCAACAGCTGTACAGTGATGCCACATGATAAGTGATTCACACTGAAAAAATCAGTGAAGTCTTTGAAGTGAAGATAAGAGTAAGATAAAGCCGCCTACTCCCATCAGTGATACTCCTAATTGTTGCAGACTGAGTCATTGTACAAACATTTAGGAACCAGAAGACAGTATACGTTAAACCGACAAGACTATAAAAAATTTGAACTTAGCAAATGATCTTGGCTTAATGTATCATACAATCGAAAATATGCAAGTGAAAAACCAACAATCTGGCGGAAGAAGCAGCAAAGACAAGACTTCAAGTGAACATGTAAAGGACAGAGTTGGTGGAAATACCCATAATGAACAACAACAAGCACCGTCAACAGCAGAAATTTGTAAGAATCTAACTAATCTAGGTGGCATCATTTCAACTACAGATTGTACCGATGAGAATGTCAAAGGCAAGATCGGGAAAGCAAGGTGGACATTCGTTAATCTGAAGTCGTTGTGAAAATCTGCTGCACTCAAAACAAACAACAAGATTCTTACTTTCAACTCTAATGTGAAATCAGTGAGTGATTCTAATTGGTTCAGAGACTTGGCACGTACGCCACGAAAAGCATTTCCAACATCTTGCTGACTTTTACCAACAGCTGTCTTTGCCAAATTCTTGAGATCAAATGGCAAGAAAGGATTAGTAACATGGAACTCTGGAAACTAACCAATCGAGAACCTATCGCCTGTCAAACATGCTAAAGAAAATGGGAACATACTGAAGGTACACTGAGATCACTGAATGAAGTCATGCGCTAGGCCCTCGAGTGGAGCCCAAAAGGAGAGCAAGCGATGAGGCTGACATCCAACGGTCGAATGGGAGAGATCGTGTGAGGAGGAGATAAGAGCCTATTAAAGGACAACAGAGGACATGGTGAAATGGAGATGTACTGTCGCAGCTTAGTGTCCCACTCAGAACTTAAGGGATATATGTGCATATATATATATATATATACTGTTTTTGCAGTCTGTAGCAGAAATATTCAACGTCCGAAAAGCAGAAAGAAGTGAAGTAACCTCAGTGATAAAACTATATTTTTGTGGGATAGTATCACAAATTTTATAACTTACTAATTTTGCATATTTTCCTGAATGTCAGGCAACTTTTAGTGCTGGTAGAAGGAAATACTTGATTAAAGAGTTTTTCATTTGGTTGTGAAGTGAAGTCATTGGGCTGCTTTTCTAGCCGTTGTTGTGGTTGTTCTTTCTGTAAATGTTGTTCAATAGTTATGGGATCTATTCGGTACAACATACACTTAGCAGTTGTGTATCCCATTTCTGATGTCGGTAAAGAATAAGTGAAACTCAAACATTCTGTGTGTTTAGCACAAGCTAGTTTACATGAAGCCAGAGTCAATTCCACTGAAATGGATTTAATTAAAAATTTGCTCAGAACACCTTGATTGTTATTCAAACATAGGTGATTCGTAGTGATCAATTCATATTTGATATTGTTCAGCTCACAATCTAAGGCAAAATAGAAAGAATGGCAAAGTAAATATCAGGATTCAATAGACAAAACCGATCTCAAGCGTTAATTATACTTACACATTACAGTAGACTAAAATATTTCTCTACAGTTGCCTTAATACAGTAATAAATTCTTTTCCATAAAGCATTTTATATATTTTAACCATTAAAAGTTTTATGAGTTCCCTAATTGTCTGCAGCTTAAATCGAATGACTCATTAGTTAAACTTCTGTCAACTTGAGGAAGTACCACATGGGATGATTTGTTGACTGATTGGCCCTAATACACACGGCAATTAGTTTTGTCATTTTTAGAAAACGATAGTCCGAAACTCTTAGTGACCGGTAAATTATATCATTTTCATGAGTCATTTTTAATTTATATTCATGTAATAAAGCAGGAACATTAGTTTGGTTGATTGAATTTCAAATTTCGAATGTGTATGAAGTATGAAGCATTTAGAAGCATGTTACAAACTTATGGTTCGACAGATCTAACCTGTCCCCGTAAAGAAAATGATGCTTTTTGTAAAAAGCTAGACAGAAATTTCTCGGAAGCACTTGGAAAATTATATTGAGTTGGCGCTTCCAATCAGGTTTGAATATATGGATTACGTTTGAAAGAAACTTCTCCTGAAATACTTGGTCCTTCCTATTTTATATTCTATCCACAGCCTTCTTCTTTAACCACTGTATGACACAGTGGAGTGCCCTATTGCGTTCTGCAATAAAAATATTGCATTCAATCAGTTGAACTTCCAACCTCACTCAGAAACAACTAGGCGTTGAAATCAGACTGTTTGTGGACTGAGTTCTTTAATAAACTCTTCCCAACGGGTGAGACAAACAGATGACATTTTTATCTGATTATGGAAACCACTAAACTGTGCAGGCGGCACTTAACTACTCATACTGATAACCAATATACTGATTTCCAATTCGTCATCCGGTACATTACTTCCTGATACGAATATCTTTGGTAGAATCATAATTCTACCAAAGATCAAACCCAAGATTTGGATACGATACGTCGACGACATATTTGTATTAATCAAAAAGTCTACCTATTTAGTTCAGTGAATTATGGAAATGCAATGGTTTCTGGATTAAAACCTTATTAGGATTACCATAATTCAGTGAAAGTTAACTACATCCAGACGACGAACTGTGCGTTGGTGGCACAGCGGTTAGGACGCTCCCCGAACATGCACATGTCAGGGGTTCGATCCCCGGCCGAGTCACTCCTTTACCTCGCTAAGCCAGAAATAATTCTGGTAAAGTGGAAAGGTTGGACATGAGGCTAGAACCCGCATCCTGTAAAAATAAACACTGCTACAGAAACCTCAAGCCACTAGCTTGAAGCCCTATGTTCCACTGGGAAACGTAAAGGTAAAATTAAATTATTATTAAATTAAAAGAAACGAGTTAGATAAAACTTACAACTTAATAGGCAACGTCTTCGACGACATCAAATTCACAAGAGAAGAGGAATCCGAGAATCAAATCCCATTTCTGGACGTCTTAGTCAAGCGAACAACCACAGGAGAATTAGAAACTCAAGTTTATAGAAAATCAACCCACATAGACCAAATCCTGAATTACAACAACAACAACAATCCAATAACACACAAAAGGAATTGCATACAAACACTATTCCAGAGGGACAGGACTAATTGCAGCACTTCCACCTTAAGGAAAATTGAAGAAAAGTATCTCATGGACGTCTTCCAAAAGAATGGATATCAACGGAATTTCATCAAAAGACATATAGCCCCAAGCAAACCTATCAAACCAAAAGCCCCCAACGAAAGTACAAAGAAAATCGCCTTACCTTATATAAAGGGTATCTCAAAAATCACTGCAAGACTCTTCAAACTTTTAGGAATTGACGTCGCACACAAACCAACAAAATCACTTCATTCAGTTCTGTGTCAAATAAAAGACTCAGCAGCGAACGAAGATAAAACCAGCATCATCTACAAAATAAATTGTAACAACTGCGAAAAACACTACATTGGCCAAGTGGATGTCTCCTTCGTCTTCGTATCCACGAACATAAGCTAGCCATCAAAAGACGTGACATCCACTCCCTCATATCACTTCATACAGACAACCATGGATATAAATTCGACTGGGCCAAACAACGTTCAAATATTAGACAGAGGAAACAACAAGAATGCTAGAGAATATTTAGAAGCTTGGCATTCCACTGAATCATCAATCAATAGACGAATCAACATAGACAAAATTTACCAATGGATAAGAAAGATACCTCACACACAAAGGGTCAACGTTCATGTCAAAGAAACAATCAGTCCCAATACAAGTAACCTAGAAGGTGTGAAAACACACAAAAACAACCAATCACGCTCTAGGTCACCAGGAGAGATGATTATTAAACTCGTGGAGAAATCTAAAGTGTCACTTCAATTCAAATTGAAGTATGCGCTGAAGATGTCACCTAGTAGGGTGTTGAAAGCTTCTCAAATTAACTATCTAGCTCAGAGAACACAACCACCTTAAAATCTGTCTTAATTTATTCACCAGTGCAAGTAAAGAAAGTGTATTCATTGTACGGTTTAATAAAATATTCTGTAGAGAAAAGTATTCTCTAATACAAGATAGTCTAGCGAAATCAAACTTACAAAGGAGTGTGAAGTAGTGTCAAACTCTTCTCCCTAACGTTAATCAGTCTCTTTCGATTTGACATTCTGTTATACACTATTCAGTGTTTAATGATACTGAATCAACTTATTTTCACTCATAACTTTCATTAGAATTCTCAACTATTTTATCAGATCCGTCATCTCATACAAACTGTCTCATTCATTGAGCAACAACTAGACCCTAATTTTAACAACGAAGAATAATATGAATTTTAAAACGAAAGGAGGAATATTTTAAATCAAAGCACAGTAGTGTTTACAGGAAATAATAGTAAGTTGGAGCAAAATTTAAACTAACCTATGCATCTACGACAAGTTCGACGACACAGGAAGTCAGATACATGATTTGATTTCGTACACATATTTTTTGGTGGCCGACTCAGTTGAACACACTCTTCAGTAGACAGTAAATCTATACAGTCCGCGACTGGCTGCTGCATACTTGAGATACGGTTGGCAGATATTGATTTGGCGTGTTCAACGCTTGTTGATTTCTTAGGCACGTTGCATCGTACTTGTGAACGTCGGATGGACTCTTGGCATTTGCAGTTATCAATTTTGTAGACTTTAATTGTTACTACCATTTTACCCGCTTTACATGGTGAGTAATGAAGAATATTTTTTGGGCATTCTAAATGATGAAAAAATTAATTAATTTTAGTTAAAACAGAAAAGTTTTAATTTAGGTACTTTACCATTTTATTCAAAATTTTCATGATCAAATCATAAAATCTCAATTCCATCCTTTGGTTGCCTTCGCTTCACTTTGGATTAAATAATTACTGTTTTTTTAGATGTCGATTAATGAAAAATCTCTGAACCGCTCCAGGATGAAGATGAAGTCTGTTCATTCTGTTGTTTCTAACATCCAAATCTAGAACTACGTCCAATAACATAATAGATTATTGCATATTGGGCAAATTTATTCGATTCACTAGCTGTCTGAATATCATTAACTGTCATTTGGTTTAAACAGTGTTGGTGTGTTATAACTTCTGAAATTTTTGGGGATTCATAACTGAAGAGTAGTTATGAAACAAAATTATCCAGTGCTACTCATCTAAAAATAACTCGCAAGAAGAAAAGAAGGAAAATTTCTGTAAACAACTACAAACAGTTATGGACAACATCCCAAAGGGTGACATCAAAATTCTCATGGGCGATATGAATGCAAGCAGAACTGGTAGCAGATAGTACAGGAATAGAACTCATCATGGGTCGAGGGGCTCTCCCTCATAGAAATGAATGAGAACGGAGAAGTACTCGCAGACCTTTTCTCTTTCAACGATTTGGTGATCGGAGGAAGCGTGTACAGACACAAGGATGCACACAAAACAACATGTATTTCGCCTGACGGACACACTGCAAACCAAATAAATTTCATATCAATCTAAAGGAAGTGGAGACGCAGCCAGTGTGCTGGATACAATGTCGAGAAGGGGAGAAGATGTGGGCTCAGGCCATCATCTAGTTCAAGGAACCTTCAAGGTGAGGCTAAAATCCCTCAGATAAACTGTCGACAGTCCACTGTAATTCAAGTCTAACATTTAGAAACTGAGGGGCAAAACTACAAGAGAGACCTTCACTACAAATCAGATCAAAGCGAAGTCGGAGGCACTACTTGGCATCACTGAGGAAACTTGTACCGAATAACATTGGAACACTCTGAAGGTGGTCCAAGGAAACGTGTACAACTGTTCTAGGAAGAGAAAAGAGGCGAGACAAGGAATGACTCTCAACGGGCACCCGGAATTCAACAAGAGATAGGAAGGTGGTGAAAGAGATGACTCAATGCGAAGATGAACAGCAGGAGAAGGGGAAGCTGAGTTCCATGTAAATTGCACTGAATAAACGCAGAAGTGAAGAAGAATGTTAGAAAAGACAAACGACAAATCTACGACACACTGTCAAATGAAGTAGAACAGGCTACAGGTGAAAGAAACCTCAAAACATCATATCAGACAAATGGGTCTCTGTCCGCAAGAGATCAACCCAGATGACGAAAGAAACAAAAGATGCTCAAGGGGATTCCATATTAGTTTGTTTATTAGATGTATCACACAGTGCCTTAGTGCTCAAGTTTTACACATACATTAATGCTCAAGGGAACCTGATCACCAAGAAGGAGAAACAAATCAAACAATGTTTGATCACTGTAGAGGACTCTTGAATCGACCATAGCTGCAGCTCGCCCAAAAACACCACCTCTACCTACTACACGAACAGAACTTCCTGCCAGTGGACACCAATCCATCAACAAAAGCGGAAGTACTGAAGGCAGTCATGCTACTGAAGTTCTAGAAGACATCAGGAACAGATGGAATCGCCCCAACCTGAAGCACTAAAAACGGACCTAGGGACTGCGGCAGATTTGTTCACACCATTATTGCAAAAGGATTGGAAGAAATGAAAGGCGCCTTTAGTTAGAAGAATGACTACTTCGTCAAACTGCCAAAGGACGGCGACTAAGGCTACTACAAGAACTGGCGTGGAATCATGCTGTTCTCCACGCCAAGTAAAATAATGAGTCACATCATCCAGGAGAGAACAAAATGTACACTAGATGCAGAACGCTGCCAGCCCAGGACAAGATGGATTAAAATTGCAACTCTACGCATCGTCATCACGGAACAAGGCATGGAATGGCAATCAAACCTGTACCTCAACTTTATCGAATTCAGCAGACAGCGTTGACCGAGAAGTAATTTGGGAACTACTTCAACACTACGGCGTGCAGTGCCCTAGACTTTAACAACCTCGTTCAATAGCTGACTAAATGATAATGCCACGTGTCAGGTGATTCACAACAGAGAACTCTGCTAGGCTTTCGAAGTGCATACAGGAGTAGGACAAGCTGGCTGCCTATTATCGCCAACGATGTTCCAAATTGTGGTGGACTGGGTTATGCTCCAGACTGTGCTTGTAGAGTGAGAAGACAGGAATACGCTGCACGACCGACAAGAAGACTCTAGAAGATCTGGATTTCGCTGATGACATATGTCTAATGACTGTCTGTTTTCAACATAGAACTTTGCACCGATGGACAGGAGTTCAAGCTGCCACACTTTATGTAGCACACAGAGCAAGAGAAGAAACTAGAAGAAATGCAAAATATAGACAGTAAACAGGGAAATGAGACAAAAGGAATAGTAATAACGAAGAACAATATAGTTTCATTGGAAATTATATGTCACAAGGAGTGGATGCACTTGCACCATTGAGAAACATTTTGAGCCATATCACCAATTGTCTCCAGACGTTGGTTTTTACCGTCCCGAGGACCCCAACCAGGAAGTCCACACCTTCCTACGTTGTAGGTTTCATTGATTGATGAAGTCATGTTTTGGTTAGGCCACCACTGGCTATTTTCCAACCTGACCCTATATCAGCTGACCAACATTGCTCTTCGAGGAAGGCGATGGCTAATCATGCGTAACACATGTCCTAACCATCTCAGAGGATGTAGCTTCACAACCCTGTCGATTGATTTCCCCTCTTTGCCTAGCACTCGATTGAAGCCTAAACTTAATATTGCTCACTCGATTATACCACTTCACACGGGAGATAGAACGCAGTCACTTATGATCAAAGGCAGCTGGCCAGCCTTTTCACGTATTCCACTCTCAATGACCAGGTCTCACAGCCATAATGGAGGACGAGTGGCCTGCTGAGCAGTACGCCCGTCCTTTGGTCGATAGCCAACCGGATATCACGTCTACGACAGAGACGGCGTAAACTGGCATACGCGAAACTAGCTAAGGGGTCTCCTGACACCCTTAAAGTGAATTTTGCAGATTCCCCTTGTCGGCTGTGTTAGGTTAATTGAATTGCTATACTCGGGTCCTGTATGTGTGTCTCGGAAACACAACATATATCCATGACTCGACATGCCAGAGTTCTTGCTAGTGATGCTTGTTGTCCGATTTGGCAGAGGGTTCTGACGTTAAATGCTCCTATTTGAAGTTGGCGACGTGGATTTAAAAGACTATCTGGGGTTTTTCTATGACTCTCATCGTTGTTTGTGGTGACAGAGTGAAGCGAAGACGACTCACTAGCCTGGAGACTAGTGCTGACTGTATTAGGGGAGTAAGATGATGAAGGTGATGTGGGTAAAGAAGAATGAAGCTCACTGAGGCTTCGTGTGCTCTTGGAAATGTGTGGGCGGTTGTTACTGCCCACACCGTGGAAGTCGACTGATTCTTCGGGTACCTGAAACAGAAAGACTGTTGGTGTTGCGTGACCACAGAGCCCAGGGGACAACTGCTTGAGACCGGTCACACACGGCCTGTATGACCTGGTTTCTTAGATTGGTTCCGTATTAGTAAAGTCACCGCCAGTTACGGACCACCGTGAGGTAAGTAGGGATGTACAATTTTTGGGGTCGACATTTTCTAACCACTCCATTCAGAGTAGAGAGATAGCATAGGCGGCATGCTGGTCTTCATTGGAGGGAAACACTTCACCGCTGTTACATCCCTGTTCCCTAGCAGTAAACTTCGCCCACAGACCCTCAGCATAGTGTAAAATAATTCTTACACAATGCCGGTGACTGCTTTTAGTCTAATCGCTATCCTAACAACCTTCCTGGCGTGGTGGGACCTGCAGGAACAATAGTTCCATCCAGTGTAGCTTGTTGGGTCATTGCAGTGAGCAAGCCGGACCACCACGTCAAGGTAGCAGCTATCGGTCTAGATGTCTATTGTCACAAAAACTCGAAGACTTGCAAGCGAAAACCAGCGAACTGGCTAAAGAGGCAGCGAAAATAGGAGTGCAGGTGAACACAGAAAAGACGGAGGTGATGAAGATGACCAATCAAAAGTAACAATAACCAGCACCAATCACCATTAACGAGAAAGATTTGACGGAGTTTTCCTGCTTCACTTATCTGGTAATTATTATTATTTTATCCTTTAATTCCTAGAGGAAAATAGGGCTTCAGCTGCGCGTCTCCATTGCGTTCGGTTTTCTACCAACTTGTTCACCCCGCTCCAAGTCTGCCAACATGCTCTCATCTCCTCTTCACATGACCTCCTCCAAGTCACCCCTGGACGACCAACTCGCCGTTTCCCTTTCGGGTTCCACTCGAGTGACGGCCTCGCGTGTAATAAAAATCACTTGATGGTTTCCTCAGCGTATGGCCAGCCAATCCATCTCCATTTCTTCCTGCTTATTTGTTGCATAATCGGTTCCTGGTTGGTTCGCTCCCAGAGATCCCTGTTCCTGATCTTTTCTGGCTGACCATCTGATCTTGAGTATTTAGCGAAGACAACTGTTAATGAAGGTCTGCAGTTTGTCTGAGATGCTGTTTATGACGCGCTGTGCAAGTCTCTGATCCGTATAGTGATTAGCACTGACTGACTTCACATTGGAGTTGAAAATCCGGATGTTATTTTTGATGGTGAGTGTTGTTGACCTCCACACAGACTTGAGAGTAATGAAAGCTTGTCTCGCTTTCCCGAACGTTGCTTTGACATCCTCGTCAGTTCCGCCCACCTGTAGCTGAAACGGTGCTTCCCAGGTAGGTGGGTAGGTGAAGGAGGTTGTTTTTTTCAGGCTCCTCCCATTTATGCTGACTGTCGTCTGTTGTTTTTGTTGCTGTTGGTATTGGCCAGGAATCTTCATCATCTTTGTTTTATCTATGTTCACTTGAAGTCCTATCTTTGGAGCTTCTTCTGCCAACTTGTTGCTTTTCACTTGCATATCTTCCAGTTTGTGAGAAATCAGACATATATTATCGGCGAAATCCAGATCCTCCAAGTTCTATTTTTGTGTGAGTCCATTTTATGATTGTTTCCTCATTGCCCGTTGTCTGTAACAATTCCTTTCTCAGGCGTGAGGCTAGCAACCACACCCTGTAAACAAAGTTGCTACAGAAACTTCAGCACGATGAGTCTCCTTGCGCCCAAAGAAAAAGTCTGTGTTGGGACATGGAATGTTCGCACTATGTACGAGATTGGCAAAGCTCCCAGATTGCAATCGAAATGAACTTATCTGGTAAGCATCGTCTCAACTACAGGCTGAACGGACGAAGATGTCAAAGTCAGAATCGGAGAGGTAAGGTACACCTTCATCAACATGAAACCGGTTTGGAAATCTTCCGCACTCTGCATAAGAAACAGAATTCGCTTTTTCAACACTAATGTGGAGCCCGTTCTTTTATAGGGGTCAGAAACTTTCACTGAGAGTCACGAAAAGAATTTACAACAGGTTGCAGACTTTCATCAACAACTGCTTTCGCTGGCCCCATACTGAAGACCAACTGGCCAGAAAGAATAAGCCAGAAGAAACTATGGGAGCAAACCAACCAGATGCCGATCGCTCAACAGATATATAAGAGAAAGTGGAGATAGATCGGGCATACATTGAGGAAGCCGCCAAATGACATCGCACGCCAGGCCCTCTAGTGGAATCCAAGTGAAAAGAGACGAGTGTGTCGTTGGTGCAAGGGTGATATGGAAGAGATCGTGTGAGGGAGAGATGAGAGAGTTTGGTCAATCGTGGACCCAGCTGAAGATGACATCAGAAAACAGTACAAAGTGGAGAAGTGTTGTTGAAGCCCTATGTTCCACTCGGAACGCAAGTGAAGCGTCCTATTGGCACAATCAGGTGTTAGATTTATAGTCACTCTGATTTTTTATAAGTCGGACAATAAATGTTAATCTACATGTGAAAGTCTTTGGTTTCTTTTTTTCATTAATCATCATTAATTATCACTTATAACCGTATGATTCTTACTTAGTTTCATAAACTGTATAAATGATTATATTTTCAAAGTAAAATTACTAATTTGAATTTTTTAATATGCTTAGGACTCACGGATAATATCTTCCTTCATTGTCTGCTCAACCTTGCATTCGTTTTTGTATTTACCGGACGGTAATTTAACTTTATGTAGCCTTTCCTTAATAAAGTATATCTGTAGTTTGTTCATTGGACCTTTCGGTTTTGATGATACACATTTCTTTTGAATTCTAAGAGGCAGACAAGCACATAATTGTTTTTCCATTATCTCAGGTGGCAAATTTTGACAAACACAGTTATGTTGTTTCCACTTATGAATTTTAACTGTCTTGTATGCTCGGCCATCTTCAGCAAGTTCACAAGGACCGACAAGAGTTTTTGTATCAGGACAAACTGCAAAACAGAAAGGTGAATTAATGGAATGAAAGTTTTATCAGCGACCACCTTTTATACTATCAAAAAATTTCACTAGACAGTTACATCACTAATAGCACAGTAGTCTGCAAACTATGTGGTTTGCAAAAGTTATTCTGAATCTAGGAATCACTGTGTTCTAAAATTTCTGCTGTAATTTTTGAAGACATACACCTATATAGGCATACAACAATGCTTATTATGAGATTAGGTCTTCATACAATGAAATACAGCTATTAACTTCACTTGTATTGACGATATCAAGATAGTACGCATACCCATATTAGGCAAATACTACGTCTGTATAACTTAATATAAAGAGCGTGAAAATGTAGACGTCAAACTGAGAAAAAGAATGAGTTAGGTATTCAGATACTAATGATTTATGCTGAAATAGATTTTTTAAGGAAAGTGTTGTCGATTGTTTCAGAGTATAATAGTGATATAGCAAAATAATTGCTATACCAGCGAAATTATAACATCGGAATTTCGTAAAATAGAATTTTGACATGTGAAATACAGTATGACTTTACAAATGAACAGAAAGGCACTTACTTATTTTTCTTGCAGATTCCATTACATAATGTGTTCGGCAAGTGGCATCAGACAGTTTGTTCAGGCGATTTAACTTTGTGTATTCAATAGGAACACCAACTATTTCTAGTCTCACCTTCTGTCTGTAAGTTACAATAACACCACTTTGTGGATCACATTTGTGTTTAATTCTCATCGAATCATTAAAAACAACAGATTCATCACAACCACATGCTTCAAAGTAAGATCCATAATGACGACGACAGTCACAATCTTGGATTTTCCATTCGACTTTTTCAACGAACCTGTAGATTAGAGCTGGATCAACTTTAACGATTCCATCTTCTCCCTGCTTGGCAGCTTTAGGATCAAATCTTCTGCAACTGTGACGAGTTATTGACGGTTTGTTTGGACAAGCTTTATGCAATGAAATATTTCAATAAATGGTGGAGAGATGATTGGAAAATGTATTGAATTTAACCAATATATATTTTTATCAAAGCAGTTAATTATATTTTATCAAGCGACTAAACGTACATATTTAGCACTAAGACAAGACCTTGTAACTATATCTAGATGATTTTATTTAGATTTACATATCCGGTAACAAATCACTGTACTATACACAATGTAAACTAGTCAGTATGTGTGAATGAATTCGCATTGTCCAGTCAATAGGGAGGCCGACTAATTTTTGTAGCTTTAACACTTGGGCGAAGGATAGTTGTCAAGGCAACTAATTTTTCTCGTTCTCGCTTCTAAAATAGTTTTCTTCAAAAGTCACAGATCCTCCCAGTACTTTAGTTAATTGGAAAAAAAGACACACCTGTTATGGTTGGGGTGAAAAACCACTACAACTAAACCGCCTATTCATCACTATTAATATAACGATCTCTACAACGACAAATTGTTACGGATTAGGCTGAAAACACGACCGAAGTTTTGCATCTTTTTACTTAGCCTATTGTAGTTTCAGACTTTTCCACTCACAATGAATATGCTGTCCAACCAAATCATTGTTAATACACAGTAAAGAAGTATACAGCTACGGTTAAACATCGAAGCAAAGCAAATAAAACTAGTAAAAGCAGTGGTGATTGTCTCAGAAAACCACTATTATTTCCAAAAGAAGCCAGTTTTTCCAATTTGTCGTGTTTAGGTTGTTATTTTATTGTTACTAGAATGCCAAAAGATATTAAATTAAGACATGCCTTAAAATATTTACAAATGCTCAAAGTAAACAATCTGTGTAATGAAAGACTCACACTGGTGTGAATCCACTCGAAACAAACAGTTGGTAAATACACATGCTTAATTCTCTCCATAAAGTTAAGTGCCTTAACTGAAATATTGAAAATTGTTAGAAGAGCTAAGGGAATCTGTTTAGTAATATATCTGGAGTGCTTAATTAAACACGAATGAAAACATGAGGTTCGTTTCGGTTTTAATTTTTATTATAATGAAGCACTGAAATATGAAGAGAACAGCTGCACAGGTAATTTATGATCTTTCTGAAATATGCTAATGTACTCTTGATCCTAGTCTGAACTTTTTGATATGTCTATTTTAGTGTTAAACCTCAGCGACGGTTAAAGTGATAAAACATAGTTGCAAATGAAATGTAAAACTCACCAGTTAGAACATGTGAATGTTCTAATAATAATGTGATGTTATACTTACTCAACACTGGTTAAAAGTTAAAAAAACTGAAATACAACGTAAACAGGATGCACATGCTAAAATCTTTATACTTCACTTTTTTGAACTCACGACATAAGTAAATTTATGCTTTACACAAGTCTTGGTATAATACAAATCAAATGTGAAGATTGGGCAAGCGGCAAATTGTAAATAGTTAATTGTTGATAAACGCTTTTAGAAGAAATTATTGAGTCATTTTTTATAAAATACTTGCTGATGAATCTAATCAGTTTGGGAATAATCAAATATATGAGAGCTAAAAATTCCATTCGACAATTATTGCCACAGATCTCGAAATACATAGCTCAATTATCCTTCGTCTTACCTTCATTTCTGAAAGTCTTCATAGAACTTATTATTATTACTTACTATTAATCGAAAAAGCCAGCTAGTTATAAATGCGCCGAAGAAGTGAAAAACAGAAAATTATTAAGTATAAATGTAGTTATTTATATGATCTGGGCAGGATACAAACACAACACAAATAATCGAATCCTCAGCTGCAACTCTAAGTATCTTATGCATCTAAGGTTGTTTTTGTTGATGACAGTGTGGTGAGGATCATCGACACCTTATTTATCTGAATAAAACTACTATTGTGGTGAAGTGATACAGACAGCGTGTGCAGAAGGAATATTATTCTCACATATTCCCACAGTTATTTACTGCATTAGCAACAGAATACTATGTATATTTGAACCTTCTATTTTTTGTTGTTTAATGTAAACCGAAATCACACTCTCAGTGATTGGTTAACGAATATAAACTGTATGTGTATAAACAGTTGTTTGATTAATGAAAAATATACTTTGACTTCCGTGTCTTGCCTTCTGTTGTTACACTATGTGAGTTAATTAGTATATAATCATGAAACACTGAAACAACTTCACTACTGATAACTGTTGACTAAGTGCAGTGGACACATTTCAAATAAAATTTTGATAACCTCTTAAACAAATATTGTACACAAGACTTTCGGAAATGACAGTCACATTATTTATAAAAATTACTGTATTCTATATTTTCTCGGAATTAAGTATACAAATAACTTACTTATTGGTTGGAAATAATAACGGACACGTTGAACACAAGAACCCTCATTCACTTTCGGATCCACTATTTTTTCTTCAAAAACCTTTAACTCATTGTGTTTACAACCAGCATAACTTGTTGTTCGATTTCCTTTACAACCTTAAATAAATGTTTACGAAGAATAGTAGAAAATGAATGAATTAACCATTTGTTCGTTAAATGGAACTTATATTAATGATACCGGTTAATGCCCTTCTTGTACGGACACATTATGTCATGGTTTTAACCTGATGACGTCATATTCTATTATAAAAATCATCAGCACAGAGTAATAAGAGTGTGAAGTAAAATCTAAACATTTCCACTGAGATTATGCTTGACTAATATGTAAAACTGATATTTATAAAAAGTTTACAATGCTTAATTTAGTTACAGAAACAGCTAAAATGAAGATTATTCCTTAGTGGATATCTGCCGAAATAGTATGAAACATTCTTTTGTATGATATATATGTATATTTATATATACGAATATGCGGTTATGATAATGAATTCGCCAAAACTTTGAATATCTTCATTTTAACCAAAAGTTTTTGTTTCTTATAAATGACTGGATCAAAATTTCCTTCTTTAGATGAACGTTACACTGGATAACATATACTAAGATTGCTTATGATTTGATAATACGTGGGAAATTCCCATTAGTATATACAGAAAATACAAACAATTGGTTCAGCGAAGAGACTCTTTTGAACGAATTTATCATCGAGCTGTACAGTCGTATATATTTGGTTTTTAAGGAATTATAATATCCGGTGAGGAAATTGAATCAAATGTGTGAATGCACAAATAATAATATCAAATGCAATAAAAATGTTTGGGATTTTAATAATAGTTGAATGTCAGGCGGTAAAACAATTAATATCCTATATAGGACAATTCATAGGATATATAGACGTTGGAAGGGGGTGTAAAATTAAAGGATTAGCAGGCAAATAAAATTAAAACGAAAATGTTACGCAACATTGTGTGAAAATAGATAACATGCAGTTTAACGTTGCAAAACAAAATTTATGTAGAATAACGAGTGAGACGAGTGAAATAATACCGGGGACAGTTCAAAGTGAGAATAGTAACAGGAACAACTGACGTAATAAAAGAAAAGTACACAAAATGAATAAACAAATCGAAAAATAAGTAGAGACAAAATATGATTGAGGATTATCATACTTTAGCATAGACGGATTAAGACTATGAAAGTTGGAGGGGTTCACCGAACTTTTTCCGTGTACAGAGATCCAGCTTTTCTATTTCGATGGTCAAAGCTTCAGTAATACAGATAAGTCGGACATGTAATGATTTGGGCAGGTTTAATTTTCACCTTGTAAGCGACTTTAAAGGTTAATGCTGTAGAGATAGAGTGATCAGTGTCAACTACATGATCAGTGATTGCGCTTCTTATAGCTCCACTTCCACCTCTTCGTAACCATACTGGACAGTGTTCTCTCACCATCTTGGACAAAACTCGAGTCATTTCAATCGCATTTCATGCTGTATGTATTATTTTATATGTTCACGCTGTTGATTCAATTCTCTCACCGGATATACTTTCTTAAAAACATATATGTACGATTATACAGCTTGAAAATGAATTTGCTGAAAAGAGTTTTTTCGCTGAATCGCTTACTTTGATTTTTATATGAATAAATAATCATTTATTCATTACTTTAAAACATTTGAACTCTTGATAAAGGATCCTTAAGATATTCAGATCATTGTAATAAGGTTTTTAAAGGTGTCAGATTCTGTATTTAACTGAAATAAGAATTAAAACTGGAAATAAAAGTTTAAGCTATAAACTAAATCAAATTTTATTAACACCAGAGCTTAATAATTGATCCCTTATTATCGGTTTCCACTTGAAAATCTAAACACGGTGATAATCCAGGTATTTAATAATGGTAGTGATTTGCAGTACAGTTCAAGATATATGTATTTTCTTCATATTTTCAACTCTTCCTTTATTCATAACCAGATTGAATTTCTGAGTATCCCGATAACAACTTCTGTTCACTGCTTATTACTTTTAAACCGAGATTTATCTATCAACAGACACTACTTTTTCAATGCGTATTTTTCATTTTCATCTTTGCTTAAATAATTTCTTGAAAAATAATCTTTTTTCAAAAAGGCAACCTGTAATACAAGTTGTTGAAATGTAGCTTACTGGAGGTTAATGGACTACATCTTCTCACTGTTTCTGATGAAAGACTATCGTAGATTTAAATCCACATTGCTTGAAGCAACAACAGGAAACTATGCCACCGATTTATGGAGTGGGAAAGAAGGATGGAATTAATCTCTATAATATGGGATCCATTGTTATAACAGATTCCTAAATAACAATCAGTAATTAGTTCCAAACGTTAATGCGGAATAATTTCTGTACATTAGGCTGTTAGTCTCAGATTAACTAATACAATAAGTGCAATAAAATGAATTCCGCTACACAATTAAAGCGTAGTTTAGTATTTCTCATCCTGAGAAAACTCTAATACTCTAAAATAAATAACTATAAAAACAAATGACTAAAGGAACTTAACTTACAGCACGTTTCGTGTTTAACTTGTACAAAACGTTTACATTTGCATCTTTGAGCCACATAGGTGACAACTGTTACGCGTTGTTGACATGTCAAAGAATCACAACTGGCTTTGAACACTCTTGGATTTTTGCAGGCTGAAAGTACAAATATTTTAAATTAAAAAAGTCTCTTCATTTAAATGCTATATTTGACAAGTTTCATAGGTGAAACGAGAGAAAATATGCAATACAAGTGATAAACTGGTGAAAACAACGACTTTGGTATGGCAAAAGTTTGTATAAGGTATATTCAGGATATATAGTAAACCTATGTGTATTGAAAGTGGTAGTAGGGATAATAGACATACTCCTGTTAAATTAAATGTATAAAGACAGGAGCAACTAAATAATTTAAGTGGAACAGTATACAACAATTGATTTTAGTCCGCAATAAGTACTTCTAAAGGAAATTCTGAGAAATTTGGCTGTTGATTGTACACAAATGGATTCATAGTTAACAATTCTATAGTTTGATCAGAGTCTGTACAAGGTAAACTGTCGGTTGAATTCAAACATTCGATGTCATTAGCGTGTTGCCTAGTATTTTGATTGTATTGGAAATTTAAATCAACTTACAAGAGTTAAAAGCAAAAAACTGAGAACTGTGATGAATACCGTGTCGTAATTAATTTATTTGGGTTATCAAATGCAGGACAGTTGTTCGGTATTGAAAATTTGGATAAAAAAGCAATGAAGTTATCTGGTTATACGACGTACTAACTGTTACAAAAATAAGAATTTCACAACTTTTGGGGATAATGTCATCGCAGTCTCATTTACCCTGTCTTAAATATGGTAATTAGAATATCTATAATTTTTTTTACTTCATATATTGTTAGCTTATAGGAGATTCCTCCTCGAAGGAAATGAATTATTTGAAATATGATAAAAGTTTAACTGTTGTTCATGTGTCCATTAGACTTCTTTTACGGAGAAAAAATTTCACAGTTGTACACTTCAAGTGCTAATTTGAATACTAAACTGTATGTAAACTTACCCAATTTTTTGTGTACATCTCTTCTTTGTGGCAAGCATTCACCATCAAGAAGTCGTTCGTAATGATAATGATGCACTATAACATCATCACCAAAGCATGTTTTAGTATTATACTTCTTGGTACATCGACACCGGACAATTTTATCTGTTTGCTGAGTCTAAAATGGTAGAAAACAAATCAGTGCATGATGTCAAAATGTTATTCTCCTTTGTAAGAAGGCATACTTTCTTAAAACCACGTAGTATTGTACTGAAAAGCCATTCCATAATGAAATTGTAAAATAATATACCACATTACAGTGTAAAGCATTCAGATAAAGTATGCTAAGAGGTTAACCTTAATAAAACGCTTCAGTGAAATGAATGAGAAGTTTATGACAGTCAAGCTTAGCACGGTTTTAAACTATTAGCCAAACCTAGTGTCATAATTTAACGAAGTGAATATTATTTCTTTATTAACTAAAGAAGAGATGACTACCTCACATATTTCGTGTGTGTGTGTGTGTATACAAAATAATCAACGGCAAAATAAATTGCATGAATATTATAAAACTTTTAAAGAACAAAAGCACTTACCATGCATCTACAGTTCTTTAGATAACGATGAATTGTAACTTGAACCGCCTCGCCTCTTGCATTACATGTTTTGATGAAGGTTTGATTTGCTGGAGTACATTCTAAACGGAAATATTTCATTTAACAGTGTTTAAGCAGAACAATAGGTTTGATAACAAATAAAATAATTCAGATGGTTTGTAAATAAAAAAAAGAGAAATGAATATTGCATTTATCGTAGATAGGTGAACTTTTTTCTTCTAAGACTTTGGAAAGTGATTGAAATAACTATAAAGCAACACTATAAAAGATCACTTTCAATGCTACAAAATAACTGTCTAAAAACGAATTAAACTTTAATGCATATTTTTTCTAAAAATAATTCTGAAAGTAACGTAGATGGTTTTGGTGAAACGTTTATTACGTTATCGCCTAATCCATGCATACTTCTGTTATAGATCAGCAGTAAATAATAGTACTGACAACAGCATTGCGCTTTTGTGCATTCAACACAAATACAATAAATTATTTAACATAATTACGTTACAATTAATAGTTACAATTAATTAATTATTACCTACAAACGATCTTCAAAAAGAATGGTTATCCACAAAATTTCATCAAAAAATGTTTAAAGTCGAATCAAAACACCATCAAGGAACCATAATCAAAGACCACAAGAAAATTCATCCTACCATACATGAGAAATATCTCTGAAATAACAGCTAGAATACTGAAACCGTTTGATATAAATATAGCACACAAGCCAGTCAAATCGCTTAATTCGATGTTATGTAAACCAAAAGATCCAACAGAAAGAGTGGATAAATTTAATACCATCTACAAAATAAATTGTATGAACTGTAACAAACATTATATAGGCCAAAGTGGGCATCCCCTTCGAATTAGAATCCAAGAACACAAATCAGCTGTGAAAAGACACGATATAAATTCTTTAGTATCAATGCATACAGACAATTATGGACATCAATTTAATTGGGATAATGTCGAAATCTTGGAGAGATGAAACTCCAAAAGTGCCAGAGAATTCCTAGAAGCCTGGTACTCAAACGAAAATGCAATTAACAAACACGTTAATATAGAAGAAATATACCAACTAATAAAAAGTATTTCAGGTGACCAGAAAGTTTAAAACCCAAGTCAATAGAAAATGGTTAATACATATGTAAAGATGGTTACCGGGAGACGCAATTATAGCACTCATAAAGAAATTTAAATCATGTCTTTTTATGCTAAATATTGCGCTGAAGATGTTGTCCAGAAGGACGACGAAAGCTCCGCAACTAAACCAACCAGCTCAGGGAACACTATTAATTGCAAATCATCCACCTGAGCTACAAATCTTCTCTATTATTTCATAATTGCGTTACTTCGATACTATAGTTTATATGTTAATTTATTCACTTTTAACATAATACAGTACTAGGAATAGAAAAAACTAATGCAGTCTTTTGTAATTCATCTCAAACAGCGAACAAATTTTGATTTTAACTACCTAAACACTTTACTGTGACATAGGAATTCTAATTCTTTCAACGCTCCTCAAGGTAACAAAAGAAACTAAAGCATTACTAAGGGTTTCAAGATCAGGTTTCCTGACGATTGCGTCCAACCATCTAATATCATCAAATTGATGTGCACCGTGATGGCGAGCCACCTAGAATGGTGGTCACATTGTAAACCTGACTGATAGAATTCAGTCTGCACCAAAGAAAGGACTAGACGCATAACACTAGTTACTAGTGTCCAATCAAATTAACTCAGATGTATTTATAAGGTAGTAAGATGCTATGTCCTCTCTCAAAGTTTATACACTCGTAAAATATCTCCTAGGCTTCATTCTGAATAAATATCGCAAGTTCGTACTGTTGAGAATTTTTAAGCTAAAACAAAACGTATATTCAACACTTTTTTCTTATCAAATTATTATCAAAGTAAGATACAAACCTACTTGTATGCTAGGTATATAAATACCAATGTGATTAAACTATTTCTGCCAGTTTGCAGATGTTCATTGCCTTTAGGACAAATACAGTTTGTTTATTCTATCAGGGATCGGTAAATAGCGAACAGACAGAAACACTTAATCTCAGTCTGTTATGCAAAGTTCTGGACGTTTTGTAGAAGATTACTGTACTAGCAGTCAAATGATGCCTAATAGCGAAACCTGGAATTTTTCAGGGGTAAGAATATTCTAGAAAGTTGAAAACTTTCCATAACAACTACTAATAATTGTCTACTAACTGAAAAATTAACAGTACCAAATCAGATGATCACGATGCTCAAGAAGAGAAAAAAATTGTAATAAAAACAAAAATACATATAAATATATGCATCATTAAAATTACTTACGACTTATTGCTAATCCTGTGACGTCTCTTTTGGTAACGTACTTTTCACAGAAACCTCGAGAAGTTAGCTGCCAATTCATTGTATACAGGATTAAATGATTTTTTTCACACAAACTCTTTCGTCGAACCTGTTGCATACAACCTAAAAGGTGGTTTTTTCGGTATAATGGTGAGTAAGAGGAATTAACAATGTAAAACACACAGCAGACTTATGAAACACGTTTGTTCTGGTCTATACTAAATAATGCGTAAAATGAACACAAGATTAACAACAAGTAAACTTTGGATTGTTTAACTGTACTCAGAAAAATTTTCAGCTTAGTAACTCAGTATTTATGTAAGTTTTCACGTTTGGAACATCTTGATTACAGTTCTCGACTTCATTCAAAGTATTAATATTCAATGAATCATGAAGAAGGTAAGTTGTTAACTAGAAAATTATAAATTTTATTAAATATTTAGACAAGATATTTCACGTACTTTTGTGGATTCTTTAGCCAAAGAAAGTTTATTAGGGCATGCTCTTAATTTGAAGTATGAATATTATATGAACGTAAAGCAAACAATATATATATATATATATATATATATATATGAGTCATGCCAGTGAAGGTTCTAAGCAGATATAGAGAAGAATTTTATTTTCTTCAAAAACTTATTAGCATGATGAATTTGGGGAAAGATGAATGTATTTTTCTTGTTTCGTGACTGAAACTCCTCAGAATAAACTATTTTATTATACTAGTAAGAAAAGCATATGCGTCAGGGGCACAGCGGTTCAATCCCCCGCTGACACACCCTTTTACCTCACTAAGCCATTAATAAGACTGGTAAAGAGGAGAGAGCCTATAGCTTGACGCTTGTTCCACTAGGAACGCAAAGGAATAAAACAGTAAGAAAAGCATAGTTACAAAATCGAATATACTTAGAGGATGATATAAAATTCAGCGTTGATAGCCCTGTCAACTCCATTTAGATAACCACTAAAAATACTGTGCAGATTTTAAGGACCACATTGAAACTCTTCGGCAGTGCACACCATTTACTTCACATGTCTCGAACCCAGGATTTTAACTTCATGAATTGACTGGATAGGTGCTGTAAATAGTGGAGACCAGTATTCCATGAGTCTGGCTCCCATCAACAGGGAGTACAGCATCGAAATCACTCAGTGATACAGATGGGTATCTGTCTCTGCGCCAACTTCAGATAACTTTTCATTAAAACGTGGGGAAATTTATCCTAAAAGGAGTCCTCAATGGGCATTAGTTTAATGTCCGGATGTTGTCTTTGTGGGGTTTTGATTGGTTTTAAGGTATTCTTCCTCATGTACTAATATCAGCTGTCCTCTTCAAGCTTGTCATTAATTTGGAACCCATCTTAGACATTTACAAATGTTCAGTCCATGCTAAAAATTGTGCTGTACTATTTAAAAATAAACTTGCAATTAAAGGAAGGAGAACATTCTTTATTTGTGTGTTATCCTTTAGATAATGAAAAAGAAAGAGCAAATATTAAACTGGAACATTTTTCAGAATTACATGATTATATTATTAACCAAAACCTGTTGAGGAGATCTTCCGGCAGAAATTATTGATTATACGAAACAAAAAGGGTCTGTGGTAAATTTGGTTCGCCATTAAAACGGTAAAATTAAGAAAACTGGAACTTACAGCATTGTTTGTGTTTCAAGATTGTCCTCCCAACACATTGACCTTTGACTGGATCGAAGCGGTACATAAAGACGTAAGTACGTCCAATACAGTTTGTATCATAAGAACATTCACTTTCTTTCTGATAATTTAATGGACAGGCTAAAGGTGAACAATTAATAAGCAAAACATAGAATGGTAAGCGCTTTCATTCAAGATACGTAGTGAGATTCGCTAATCTGTTCAATATTGGTTATGGTTACATATATTTCTAGGATAAAATTCAGATAGTTTTTGTGCTTTTATTAAAAAACCGAAATAGGATGTAGTGAATCACGTGTTAATTCACTATTATTAATAAATTTCTTTTGTGCACTATATGGAATTGTTTCCGAAAACAGTACTAAAGTCAACAATCATTTAAACAGCTGCTAAAAGGCGAGCATATTGAATATTCCTACGTAATTCATCGACATTAAATGACCAATATTATCTTCTAAGAGTTTATGCTTACCCTTCTTACAAAATGTGTCCGCTATTCTGCTTAAGTTACGTGAAAACTGATCAGAATCGGTTTTTAATTCAACTAAATGAAGAGGACTTGGCGGAGAGACTAATTGTTTGAAGAAGTTTGAGTCATAAACTTTCTCCGATGATGTAAGCAGCACAGCATTTATTTGCACATTATGTGATTTTAGGTAGTCAGTCAGCAGTCTAGCAGCTGGCATTTGGTTACCGAATCCATCAGTAATTATATAGATGAAAAGTGGTGCTCCAGGACGCGTTTGAGGCATAACCTGCACAGTGATAAAATGAAGGAGAATTACAGATAATAAAAAAAAATCCTATCACTAGCATGAAAATAATTGAAAAATTACGAATAAATTTAGCGAAAAATCGATTTTTTAGATTGTTTTACTTCAAAACGCTTAATTAACAAAACTCAATGAAGTTCACTTTTAAGCTCCAACTGTTAAAAAGACTAATATGGCTGTTTCCAGTGATAAAATATATTTTTCCAACCATTCGAGTGTTTTGAAATGGGCGTAGTTTAATGTAAATTGTTCTGGGATAGCTTACTTCATTTGCTATTCAGAGTGTCAGCGACTAGAATTATCCACAAAGTCTCAAAAGAACAAAAGTTTCTCAGTGTGATGGATAGTGATCCCTCGTCTTTTGTATGTATTAAAACATTGGTTTTGAAATTTCAATCCGTTTAATGATTTATTAATTAAATACGTTGTGTCTAGACTTGTTTTTAACTTCTTACAAGGGAGAAGTAAACGCAGCTTACTTTGCGGATGAACTAGGTCTTATTGTCACTGTTAACTTCAAGCGTATTAGAATACCTTAATGTGTTCGCTTTATTGTTTATCGTATCAAAGTCAGAACAAAAACTTATTTAAAACAAATCTTGGAAGTAAAAACAGCAAAGCCAATAACATGTTGTTTTTATTATTGAGTAGAATAAACACATCTGAGCCGCACTGCGAAGGTAATCGCAATGCCATTCATAAGTTCATGAAAAAGTGTGCATGATTTTATTTCTTCAGACTAAAATCTTTATATTCTCCCGCAGTGAACTGATGGCTCCATATTTTTCTCAGACACTGTTTAGCATGTACTTCACTCAATAAAGCACTATGGTCAATAAATGTCACTTAATCAAAGAGTTGATTTATGATCTGATTTGACTAATAGTTTTCAAAATATGACCTGAAAATGCATACTCCCTATTCTGTTCAAGTTTCCATTGAGAATAGAACACTACTTGAGTAAAAAGTGAGTCATTAAATTCAAGTAGCGGTCAATGCATAAAAGTATCAAGAAATTATGGAAGAGATAACTCTTTATGTTTTCATCTTATCTTTTTCACTGTCATTTTTCTCTTATTATTTATTCTTCAACATAAATAAAGCCATTTTTGATCAAAAATTTCATATAAAAGGTTCATGCGTATGTCAAACTATTTATTTACCTTGCTCTTCACAAAGTTTAATGCCAGCTTCAAATCAGATTGTTTTCCATTATTCAGTATCAGTTTCTTCAACTCAGAGTAGACTTCGTGTAGACGACGGTAACTTTTCAAATCAAAAACAATCTTTGTTTTCAGTGAATACTTAAGTAAACCAAAACGTAATGACTCATCCATATTGGTTGATTGAGACGATTCATAGAAGGCATTTATTGTATGTTTCATTACTTTATGAACATTGGTTAAATAATCAGCTTGTCTACTGCCCACAGACTCGTCTACAAGGAATACAACATCCGCATTGCCAAGCGGATCGCAAGCTGCAAACATGCAAAATTTGATTTAGTAACACGATAATGACAACAATACAAAGGTAAGCATTAGATTAAGAAGAATGTTTGATGTAGTTACTTGATGAATATCACTGTCAGAAAATGAATCTTTTGTATTTATCCGTTCAAAACAAACTCAGCTTGTACTACTTTGTGTTTACTATCGAATAGTTGCATGGGGTGAGTCAGCGGCTTAATAAGATCAATTTTACTGTTACAGCACATTGTACCTACAAAATGTTGTAGTCCAAGTTTTTAAAAACTAGAAAAATTCGAGATGCCATTATGCATATTTCTGGATCAGTAATAAATGGATAGCAGAGTAAATCCTCTTCACAGCATATACATTAAAATGTACTAATGAAGAAATACAGAAAATAGTGATCAGTTTCAAAGATTAAAACTGACGCAAACCATAGTTTGAATTCTACTTGTATATGTACAGATATGTTGCATATTTTATAACACCAATAAAGAGTAATGACTGTCGATATATGAGTGAAGTCAATCATTCAGTGATCATTCCAGTTCCCTTTTTGATCATAGTTTCAATGAAACAGATTTTTACGCCTAAATGATGCAGATTGCATTAATCTTATGTTTCTTTGGTGATAAATATTCAAATTGTAAATATGATGAAATTTGTAGTATTTTAAGGTAAATGTATGAGAATAGCAGCATAATATAAAATAGTATCAGTAAATATTCAAAACTAAGAACAAATATGAAGAATACTGAACTTAGCAAAAAATTGTATGAAAAAAAGTTCTCCACTGTATTATAATTTATGAATAAATCTGCTGAAGAAGCTGTGGCTTACACGGCGAAACGTTCAGAAAAATCTTGTTTTGATCTTCTTAACACGCTGGGATTAATTTAAATAATTTATAATTTATGGTTGTTTAGAAAAATGTGAAAATAGTAATGAAATTTTTTAATGCTTTTGTATGTATCTTAACATTAGGCTTTAACTCATTGGAATGTATGAGAAAGTTTAAAAAACATTAATAAAGTCGTTAGTAGTAGGTGGGTGAACTATTATTCATTCCGCAAATCATTGTTGAACACCGTCATTTTGACGGTTTGGTCAGGCCAGATCGCCTAACTCTTTGTTCATAATACAAAGATCAAATAAATAACTGGTGTGAAAGTAATTATGGTTTTTATGTGAGGTATATCGAAAAAGATGTGCATAATTAACCACCAGTTGATTTAGTTGGTGTTAATCACGTTATGAGCAAATGTATAAAGGGATAATGTCTATTAAGTTAAACACCAGAAATAGCTGGAAACTTGACATCAACATAAAATGAGTTCATTTTATACTAAGACCTGAACTGAAGAAGTTGTCCAGAGAGACAACGAAAGCTTCGCAGTTAAATCAACCAGCTCAGAAAACACAACTAATTCAAAGTAGGGTTTAAAAGAAAATTATTCTAAACTGCTGCGATGTTCCAATAACTGAATGCGCCAGATTGTACGTCGAAGTTATTTTGAATCAGAGCACAATACATAGTATTTTTAAACATTAATGGAGTCATATTCAAGTTATTCATCTCTAGAAAATTCTTGGCTGGTTTGTTGAAATATTGGTTTACTTTGATTTAAATAATTTACTTTAAATGCAGGTATAGGATTACATCTTGAAACTGGAATTTTCCTGTATATCTATAAGGTTTATAGTAAAGGTGTCTTTTTCTACGGTGTCCAACGCATAGTGACTTCATTAAGAATTTAGAAAAGGTAATAGACCACTTAAAAGTGAGTATTTTACTTAATTCATGCGGTTTGTGCCAATATATTCTGTCATACCAATCATATTCAATACATCGGTGACTGATAGTTAATACCTATTTACAACAGTTACTGAATAACAGCTGTATATTTGGAATAATTCTCCAGTATGTATTCTGAACGCTGTTTCAGCTCTATCAGTTTTGAATGCAAAGGGCATGAATCATAGTTTTAGTAAAAGAAGCTGATGAATGCAGTAGCGGTTATTTGTAATGACATTTTGTTGAATACTAAAATGGTCAATAAATAATGACATCATTTAAGTTATACTGAACATGCTAAAGTAATTTAAATACTGTCAACTTACCACATGGCATCATGATAACACGTTTATCCAGTTGACAGTCGCATCCAACTCTTATCTCACGTTGATGTAAATGTTTCTGTTGACGAGAATGACAAAAGCCTATCGGCTTGAAAGATTCTTTTCTACTACAAACTTCAATATTGAAAATAATAACAACAGTTATCAAAAATTATTGATAGAATAGTAATTGCTGTTTGTAATAAAACAACATTTACAAAATACTATAGTCTAGTAGGCAAGAAATTAACACTGCAGTTCTGTCTGAATATTTTTTACATTCAGGAGAAATAGGTGGAAGCCAAATAAAGAGCAATTGCCTAAAAATATACCTGTAGATTGAATTAAGTGCTAAAAGTTTTTGTGGTAATAAATATTTTTAGAAGAATTTGCTTCTAGGAGTAAGTTTACACCGCCACTTTAAAAGTAGTAGTATACATTTATTAAATCATTATGTTAATTTGAACTTATTCTGCATGAAAATTTATTATAACTGATATGGTGATAAAAGTTTGCGACTCATGTCGTATATATTCTGAAGGTTTTGTTGGACATGAAGAACATTTTTTGAGTGAGACCTTCGATTTCAAGAGAGACGCAGTCTTAATTGTTGTCATGCAAGAATTACTTGCGTATTGATAAATTTGCAGGGCAATAAAAGTACCTGAGCTTTATCGAGATTATGAATAAGATATAACCAGTAGTCAGAGGAATGTCAGCTTTCATGCTGTGAATTTTAGCAATTTTCAGAATTTTTCAAGGGAGTTTCGCTGCAAATATCTCGTTTTATTATGTTTTAAATAAGTTTTCGTAATATTAATTAGCAAAAGTCATCTGACCCGTTTTAATCCGACCAGTGTAAGTTGTTTGACAACTAATCCTTTTTTTATCAGTTGAATTATTTAAGAACTGTTATTATTATACTGTAACAACAAAAGACAAGGGTCAGGCAACAAATCGTTTATTACGGAAATCAGCACGTATATATATATATATTTCATGTACATTATTATAGCTTATTGAAGCAGACAAACAGTCTTCTGACTGGTTGTTTCTTGCTCAAAGTTATTCTGTACTGCTTGTGACTGGTTTCTCAGAAAGTTATGCCATGTATCTGCGAATCTTATTTGCCCACGTCAAGTCTGCTGTGATTGGTTGTTGAATCAGCCTTGTTCATATTTTCTCACGGCCAATATTAGTGACGTAGACATTGACGTAAATTAATGTCTACTAATTGGCTAGTAGGCTGCTCTCACCACAATACTGTGAGGTCCCGAGGACTTGATCAGCATATCGAAATTTCACTCTCTTCTCTATAGTCTTTTTCAGCACTCATCTCCTTCACATTCGATCTCCCCCCACCCCGTCACCTTTGCATCCACAACTCCCGGTTTCTACTCGAGTTCTGTTAGGCCAACTATATTTTTTTATTTTTTTTTATTTTTTATTTACAGCTTGATTCCACACTGTATTTTTGGTACATGTATGGAATTTTCAGCATGGATATCGGTAGCCCAAATTTTACAGGCCGACCTTAGATATCAGGTGTGCGTCGGCGTGGGCTCGAACCCCGGACCATGTGCATGGTCGGCGAGAGTCCTAACCACTGTGCCACCTTGAAATAACGTAACACCACTAACAGATTCTAAAAACTACGGTTTTAAAAGATACAGTACAGCATTTCATATTCATAAGTAAAACATATGCAATTATTCTACAGGTTTAGTTACTACCTAAAAATTCAATATATTGGTAGAATTTTTAGCATCAGTTGAGGCATCATTTTCGCCCAATTAACGAGGAAGGCAACTGTGAACATTAAATACCTCACTTTAAAGCCGATTCCCCTTCATATAATTATGATTCATACTTTCAATTTACTTACTTATAGGTTGAACGGTTCTATGTAAAACTGGCCAACATCTACCATGCTCGAGATTCCATTTAATTGAGTCAGTCAATAGTACGCCTTTGCTTGCATCACACTGTTTACTGAAAGAAACTGGTTGAGATAAATTGGATGATAATTGAAATCGATTTATATCTTTTTCTGTTGGACAGCAACATGCCTCTTTATATTGCCTTTTATCAACAATACATTTACATTTGTTATCTGTGTAAATCTTGTATTCACGTACTACACGTGAACAAGTTCCAGCTGAATTACACTTATGAATATGTTTTATAGTAAATCCACTTTGTTCAACTTTGTAATTTGGTGACTCCTGAAGGAGTTCATCAGGTATTTGGCAACTGATATACTTATATTGTAATCTTTCTGATTTTGTACATGTTCCCTTAGAGCTTAATTTATACGTTGTTGTATTTAGCTGTTGAATATTTTGCATTGAACATCTGAAAGAACAGATATCGTTATGTGTGTGAAAAATATGTACGAAATATAAATTGTTAAAATAATTTTTATGCTGTTTAAGTGCTAGTGCGTCGGTGGTATAGCGGTTAGGACGCTCGCCGACCATGCACATGGTCCGAGGTTCGATCCCCAGCCAACTCACTCCTTTACGTCTCTGAGCCAGAAATAAGACTGGTAAAGAGGAAAGGTTGGGCATGAAGCTAAAAACCCCATCCTGTAGAAAATAAACACTGCTACAGAAACTTCAAGCCACTAGCTTGAAGCCCTATGTTCCACTGGGAAACGTGAAGGAAAAGAAAGTGCTAACATAATTTTTGGATCCATATTTCAAAGGAGATTATTCTGTATTCGGGCAAACTATTATTTTCAGTGACTTCTTTAGAGTTGATAGCGGAACAAGGGAGACAGAAGTGTTAAGGGGTGATGGTGAGGATTTATTTAAAAAGCTTTTTTAAGACAATGTTCTATGTGAACGAAAAGCGGATCAGGGAGAATGATATAGGTCGTTTGATTTGATGTTCACCACGCTGAACTATGTCTGGAAATTGGAGTAAGCATCAACAGGTGTAGTGAATGATAAGTATAACCAGTTGGTTGGACTAAAAGTCTGAAAGTATGAACCAGAAGCTTTCATCCCAAACTTAGCTAGCCTACTTCTTCAGTAAAACCCTTCTACATCGGGCACATCTGAATATTTGATCATTTTGATCGTTTATAAGGTTCTTGATAAACATTATTTTTCATACTGTTCAAATTACAGTAAGTAATTGTGCAGAAGGAATTTAAGAAGGAATAGGTCTGTTTCATGATCCTATTTTGTTGAAACAGTAACATTTTACCGAACAGAGAAGATACAACTATCAACTATGATGTATTTGAGCAGTACAATATAATTAGGTAAGTATTCCAAGAAGGACAGGACAGCTATCTATCGGACATTTATGAACATTTATATATATATATATATATATATATATATATATATATATATATATATACAGTCACATGATTGAACTCGGACAGCACACAAATATTATTCACAAACATTTGGAGAATGCGCGGTTTTGTATACTAGATTGTTCGCCAGTAAAAGCTGGTCAATGCTATCATGTGAAGTAAGGGCGTGGAAAGAGTAAAAAGGTGGTTTCGAGAAACTGCCTATGTTATTTCAAGAACTGAGTTTGCTATCAAAAGCTACATAGCATAACATTTAGTGAAGAGAGAGAATAAGGTGATGAGAGAATGAAGTGAACATAAACATACGCTGGCGGTCAATTCTCACTTGGTATTCACACTGTGAAATCCAATAACATCTTGTATTTTCTGAAGGAGAAAAGGTGTTGACATTCCAAGACTATGGAAAATCAGTTGCTATTGTTTTAAGCCACTCACAAGTACGACAGAGTTTAGGTTTGGTCTTATTTAGAATGTTACCTTCACTTAGAATATATAGTCTTTATCACAGATGTCTGTCAACCTCAACTCCTCACGGTAAACTAATAAATAGTTCGGTTAGTAGTCTGAGACAAACACCTTAATAGCATCAAATCATTTCAACAGTACAACATTGACCTAAGACCCATATTTTAGAGTAAAAAACCTATCAGTTCAGTATTTTCCGATGCCATATAATTTAAAGACATCGTCAGTCTATTCGAGCATGCTTTGTCTTAAGACTAGTTTGGAATTGACACCTCGACTAGTTGCACAAGCTTTGTAGGGGAAAACTCAGGCCTTCTAGGCAAGAAAACACTCAAGTAGAATGAAATATATTTCGTATGGCAAATATTATTCCCACTTTATTCAGGTTTTTCAAAGGACAGTATAACTACGAAATTTTCTGCAATTGGTTTAAACTAATCGGTGAAATGTTTTTAAAGTTACTCCAAGGGTACAAGAAACACCTTTATTACTAATCGAATTGATATTTTGTACTTACAAGCTAAATTATTTTAATCATAAATTCGTTAATAATGTAGTAATATATATATATATATATATATATATATATATATATATATTTCTGACAAATCTACTAAATGATGATGTCTGAGAGACCAGCTTAGACGTCCATCACTAGCATATGGCATATATTTACGATAAAAGCCCGAAAATAGTGTTCTGACTTCAAAAGATCACCTATTTAAACTGAAAACTTTAAACTTATTCAAATTATCTATGCAATCTAATAATCATTGATATTCTACAAAATATGAATATGACGTACAACATTTGAACATATAAATCGATACTTCTCAAAAATTATTTAAGATGAAGAAAAATACAAACCTCATTTCAGTTGTTGGTTTGGGACATTTACATTTTCCAGGAATACGTAGTTCATTTTTCACACACTTACAACCAACTCGTTTACTTTCTTCATATAAGTGGTAAAAGTTGCCCGTCTTAGGATCACATTGTGTCCTACCTCTATACTGTGGACCTATCGGTGAACATGCAACTTTAAACACTTGACGAGTTCGACGTGGAATACAACGTGATTTATCTCCAGAGACTTCATAATGAACATTTTGGTAGGTTAAAATGCCTTCCGAGCTAATATTCATGAACAGAAGAAAATAATATGTTCAGACTTTAAATACATCGATTTATTTTAAATTTTTCACAAAATGAAAAATCTATGTTATGTATTCATTTTCATTTTTATTATTATTATTTATTATTATTAGTTATCAGAATACTTGATGAAATACAAAGATGCTGTATGAAATTTTTAGTGTTTATGCATAGCAGTAGTATCTGTTCAATACGTTTTAGCTTACTCACTTTATTTCTGGATAAAACCGCTGCATGTACGATAGAAATAGTTTGTGAGGTGTATAAACGCCATTAGGGAGCCACTGCGAACCAAAGACCAGTTTAGTCTTTTTTATCCTTTTACTACTACTAATTTTTGCTTTACGTTCTCAGGCTTCAAGCTAGAGCTTTGAAGTTTCATTAGTAGTGGTAGTCATTTTTATGGGTTGGGGTTGCTAGCCTCAGACCCAACCTTCCCTATTTACCAGTCTTATTAATAGCTTAGTGAAGTAATGGAGTATGTCGGCCGGGAATCGAACCTCAAACCATATGCGCGGTTGGCGAGCATTCTACCGCTGTGCCACCGACGCTAAGCCATCTAGTTTCATCAATCTTGAGTCTCTTCAGTAATGTTCAAATTCAGATTTGTTAATCTACACAGATGAAACAGAGTAATAACTATATCATAAAGGAATGTGACTGATGATACATACTCAAATAATTAAGTATTTATTAATTAAATATATGACCATCAGAGCTGACTGAAATGCCATACAGTGGCCCTACCAGGTTGGCATTGTGTGTCAGTGATTGAGTGGTAGAATGAGCTCCAAACACTAAAGTGGTTTGAGTTCGATTCCCAGCCGGAGCACACCTAAACTATTAGTAAGCCCGGAAATGAGGAAGATCTCGGCATGATGCTAACAACCCTCCTTTGTAAAAAAAAACAACAAAATTACCGCCGACTTCAAAACTCGAGGTCTTATGCTCCACTCGTGTAGCAAGGAATGAAAGAATCATGGCAGTATGCTGAATCAGTATAACTGATACAATGCTATATTGTATCATATTTTAATTGATATGTTAAGATATAAGACAGAAGAGATTAACGAAGACATGGATTTCAAAAAAAAATATGATGTAATAAAAGAAAACTTTCTATAAAGCATCTTATTTCCATAATCTGATCATTTTATAAATATTACGGAAAAAACACCACAGTAATTCAGGCAAACCTAAGCGGCTTTTCTCGTACACTTGACTTCAGATCTACTGGTGACAAAAAACTCATGACATCAGAATCACCTTTTTAAACTCTGAATAGTAACTTAATCTACACATCTAAGCGCAAATGACATGTATTTTTTTTCTAAGTACTATAGAAAATCATGAAAATTAATGACGCCTGAAGTGAAAAGTTCAGCTGTATCTCCAGATATACAAAATTATAGCAAGACCATATCAGTACTGCCTTTAAGAATTCAACCTTATTTCTTTTGCAGTCAGCTATAATTATAAAAAGCATAAAAAATTCCTTGTAGTTAACATCAGTTACTTGAATGTCTGATTGTGTGTTTGAGTAGTAACAGACAAACTCAAATGTAAGAAAAACTTTAAATTGTGGAGCATATCTGTACCTCTTAAATATTGAGATAAAGTTTAATCGAATGTCAGGTTGGCAGATATTGGGTACTAACTCTAAAAATATAGGAATAATGTTTCAAAGTCTCCTAGTGGAGAATTCAACCACCCGTACGAAGAAATGCGGTGAAGAACTAAGACCATAAGAACGAGATTTCAAAGTTATAATTTTACACCTGATGTTACTATCACTAGTCCTTTGGGTTTTGAGTGCAACACAGACCTTCAGCGGCACACCTCTATTGCATTCTGTTATCTGTAATTGTCTTTAGCTGGCTACTTGTTTGTCAGTAAGCCTCGATCTCCCCCATGTGACTTTTGAACTCCTAACTCACCGTTTCCCACAGTTCCTTGTTGCTAATTCTTTGTGGTTGGTCATTCTTATCTTCAGTATGGAACGAAAGCAGCTGTTGATGAAACTATACAGTAGGCTGTTGGAAAGGCTTTACCTGACGCACATACCAAGTTTCTGACCTATACAAAACAACCGACCGACTTAACATTGGTGTTGAAAATTCGAATTTTGTTCTTAATGCTGAGTGCAGAAGATTTCCGAACTGATTATTTCAGAGTGATAAAGGTCTGTTTTACTTTTTTTGATTCTGATTTTGATATCCTCATCCGTATCGTCTGTCAGTAGCTGAAATGATGCTGCCTAGATAAGTGAAGGAAGTGACCTCTTACAAATTTACTCTGTTGATAGTGATTCATGTTTGATGTTGTCACTGATGGTTGGTCATCTTCATCACCTCCATCTTCTCTATGTTCACTCGAAGTCCTGTGTCTTTCCGCCAGCTTACTAGTTTTCGCCTGTAGGTCTACAAGTTTATGCGACATGAGACTGAGTTCACATCTTCTAGAGCCTTCTCACTAGTCTAACATATGGTAGTCTGCTCGCTGTCAACGGTTTGCCGTATGATCCAGCCTACCACAATCAAGAATATTCTTTGTGCTTGACAAGTAATCCAAAAATTAAAACTGCTTCATTAGTTTATATATATATATATATTGATAGTAACTAAAATCAAATAAAATCTGGAAATATTATGAAAATTAAATCATAATTTATATTTTTAAGAAGTAAGCAGATTATCAATGTAACTTACTAAAGACAAGATTTTTCTTTATGTGGACGTATACATTTACAAACAGTGAACCCTTGGCGAACATTATTTTCAATACATCGACAACCGTCCGCATGAAATGTGGTCACCTGATCAACGCGCACAAAAGCGTGGCGACCCAAATTTAATACACATTTATCCGATTTATTTACATATTCCTCTGAGCAATCGACTGGAACTCTATTAATAATTGTATCTAAACGTGAACAAATTGGTTTACTGTCAGACAACTTCCATTTGGTGGAAACAGTTTCCAAGACAAATTGTTCACTGTTCGTTTGGACACATCGACGTTTTGTTACTGGTGCAGGACAGTCTGTATTGTCAGAAAAAAAAACAACCTTGAATTTTACCTATCTTTTCAACTAGGTAATATTAAAGCAATAAGATGTTAAAACAAGGTCACAGAAGTGATGAAGAATGATCAGTGTCTTTTATTCTGTACTGAATTCTGTAGATCAAACTGTCTGGTATGTCTGTGTGGTAAAGTAACTCTGTATTACAATAGATTGTATTAGACTATAAATGAAGATTGTATAAATCAGGCTTCTATTAACTGACACTCATGAGTGTTACATATCAGAATTCGAATTTCGGTCTATGCACAATTAACCTTAGAGAATTCTTTCCTGGTTCAATGGCTCTTCAGGTGAAAGAGATTCGCTGTCTTGTGAAAACTCCCCAATGTAATACAATTCTTGAAGCTGAGATAATCACTTTAGTGAAAAGTCAAAAGGTGTTTTTAATATCACGACCACTTAGAATAAGAAAAGATATCTCCTTTTAATTAGTAGACTGAATGAATTTTATCTTGTACATTAACAACTATGAAACATGTGTATGAAGTATTACGGTAGGTCCCAGCGAAATAAATCTCATAAACATGAGATTCAGCGATAAATTAAGACAGAAATTAAGGAAGGATTATAGCCTGCATAAGTCTGATAAAAGTGAGAGCAGATCAGTATGAGAACAAGTGATATCCATTGCACAACTAGTTCAGGAGTCCAATGAACAAAATTTGGGACAACTTGTTGTTGTATCCTTATTGGTACTATCGCAATGGGTGAAGATGAAGAGTCTTAGTTAGGATGAAACGCCTGAAGTGCCTGAAGTAGCATCAGTGACGTTTGTCATTTTCTGCATGTTTTAGCTTAATTTGAAAGTTTCTGTTTGTCGTTCACATTCATTCATTAAATATTTTACTTTGATACTGCTGAAAGCAATACAATCTCAGGAGTACGTTGGTTAGTGTGAGGCGAGGCGGTATTTCCTGCGTCATTTAGGGAGACGAAACCAATATTCAACAGTTGAAACATAAGCATAACATCATAGTGAAAAACTAACCAATAAGTTTACTGAAATTACTCAGTGTGAAGATTTGGAAATAGTCTGCCTTTGTGAACAGCTGAAGTACAAAGCTTCTGCTCTAAAGTATGTGTATACCAGCAACTGGATAAACATTTGTATAAGCTGTCCGGCAAACAATTCATCATTTAGATTGTGTAATTTAGGCAGTGGTCTCATGTTAGATCATGAACTGACATTATTTAGAGGACCGCTGAAACCCAGAGAGTTCTGATGTCACTGCATGATCCAAAGTGAAACCGATCAAATTCCTGCAAACCAACACCTAGAAGAAAATGGTCGGTTTATGCAATTTTTCTTGGTTTATTATTACCCGTTTGACATGTCAAAATTGAATAATTATTGTTATGAACACCAGATTGGTAATTAAAAATTACGCAAACATATACATACCCTGGGTTCACTGAAATTTAATCATGTAAAAATGGCAAGGTTCCCATCTTTTAAAAAATGGCTAGCAACTTTAGAGATAAAATAAGTCAATTGTTGTTTTTGCTGAGAAGACTGCTACCCTCAGAATGTAACATATTTAGATGTGCATTGACAATAAGTACAATAGACAAACCTTAAAATAAAGAGATACTCTTAATAATACAGAGATATCATCAAATAGACAATTATTTACCATGTGCGCGGTGTAAAGGTAACAGAAATTTTACCAATACTTACTCCATTTATCATAATCCACTGCGAATTTCTGAACACAGGTGCAACCATCACGGATATAAAATTGTTTTTCAATTCTTACCCATCCATTTGGTTGTTGGTGTTGTACAATTTTCTCATTTCTTTTGCAAACTAAATAGAAAAAAAATGGTATTCATTAATAAATATATATATACATATTCAGTGAGCATAAACAATGAGTTTAAAGATTCAGAAGACTTATCGGTTTAGAAAGACTTCATGTTACTGACTTTACATTTCTGTCTCAATCTCATGAGTTAGAAACTTATTTAAGCAGAGATTTAATGAAGGATAAGCAGTAATTGTAGACCTATTTCACACACCGTTATTCTAATCATCTGTCCAATCCAAAAAATCTCCCAGATCAGTTTACTTTTCATTGTATAATTCTTCTAAATGACTTAATAATTACACTTACACAGAATTCTCTCCTTTCTTATTTCTGATTAACAAGGCTCACAGAAACACCAGGTCTTAACAACAAACTGTTAACTAATTTTCCAGATAGCTAAAGTTTCAAAAGTCTATGTGAAGCTCTCTTTACAAAAAAGAAAGCAGTCAAAGTGGCAAATTTCGGGCTATTCTTTAGTATCTGTATTGAAATATTTCTCGGTTAGTTTAGAGAAAATCGAATACTCAGGATGGATTTAAGTTCATTTTGGTGGTTATTAACCCATAGCCATCTAAAGAGATGATGATCACAAATAATATTCTTTATCTGGATTACTTGTCGAAATGTTTGTCTATACTACTGCTTTTCAAAAATATCAAATTAATAAATGCTTATGTTTGTAGCAATACCTGAATGATAAGCAGTGAGTCAAATTCAAGTCTACTGCTTAAGTAGAGTGCGGAATTAGATTCTGTGTCAGTAGGTAAACTTTTATCAATAGATATTTGACAAAGATTTGGATAAAGGACTTTTATTTCTTTCCAAATATGAGCAGACCACAGGTAAAATATGTGGAGAAGGGTAACACCCTCTGATGAGTTATATCTTGAAGTGTCCGAGGATAGTGACTAAAGAATTATATTGAGGACATTCGATATTGCCAATGAAAAAGATGATGGTCATATGTGGTTCTTTTAATTTATCTTCTTATCAGACCATAATAGCTGACTCACTTAATTTACTGTATATATTAGACTGAAATCGTTGTACGATTGCAGCTGTGTATCTACGTTAGAACATAACTTTTACTGACATCTCACTTTAATGAAAGCTTTCTTTGAGGATTCAATAAATTGTAATCTGTGCTTATTTCATGTAGTCAACACTCTTCACTACTATTTCGAGTGTATCTTCGAGAAAAATATTTTTGTATGGTAAATTCATGGACGTTTATTGAAAAAGCATCATCAGTAGGAGTGAATTCGGTAAGAATCATTCTTTTTAAGTGACATGGTGAGGTTTCAAATACTTTTCATACCACTGTTGTAAATATATATAAAGTGTTTCCTACCCCCAATGTGGTAACTATTACTTGACAAATACTTTGGACTAGCATGGTGCAAAAATAAAACTGGAGTCACTGAACATTGCTGGATAGTTTATTTTCTTAAACACTTTTTGTTGCACCGGTAGCAGATTGGTGACCGATAACACCCTAGAACTGAAATTGCATGCTTAGCAAACACAGGATATGTTCAAAATACTTATTAAGAATTCAGATTACTGCTAAATAATCTGTCTTATTGTATCATAATGTAGTTTATTCTAGCTAAAGGTACAATTATCTTGTATTTCATACCAAGTTAGCCTGATTTTGGCTTAATCATCATATGCTGAACAAAATGATGTGTAGTACAAACTGATCAAGACGTTAACTTGAAACTTGCATATTCCTAGGCACAGAATACGTAAATAAGTTATTTACATTCACGATGACGTTTCCCAAATATTAGGATATAAAATGTTAGAATCTGAAATTATGCAAATGGTACTCCCCGTCCTACGTGGGTTGAATCATTCTGTAAAATTCTCTTAACAGAAGAAGTAAACTTTAAAATTTATAGACAAATAAGAAACCAGTATTTTGCATTGACATTAACTGAAAGCAAACTAACTTATTTGTTTTCCAACGAATCTATCCTTAGGCACACATCTTCCGTTAACTAGATTGAAGCTTCTGTACCCAGTATCAAGCATACCATTTGTACGATTGCAAAATGAGCCAAGTTTTTTCTCCGTTGGACAACAGCAGTCATTCTCTTTAACACGATAATAATATTTACATTTGCCATCCAAAGTCATTCTTTCCATTATCCATGTTAAACGTACTTTGCAGTTGGACGAACACTCGGACTGACGAATTAAGCGTGGTTGTGTTTTACATTCTTCGTTTTAGGATGAATTGGATACAATAGATTAGTGTTATAAAACGTTTGAAAGTTTAATACGTAAATGTGAATTCTAGGAAAAAAAACTAAAATCTGCCAAAAATTAGCACACACTTCAGTGATTAAAACTGGTTCATGAGATTGACTTCAACCACCTGGGCTGGGTGATTCAAATACTTATTTCGCTTTTATTATATTCGTCATTCAATGTAATCACATCTATGGAATTAAAATGAAACTGTGAAATGCAATAATATTTGACACTCAAGAGTCCTGCTTCATTTTCAGCTGTCTGAAACTTCTATGCAGTCAACTGACGTTTGAAAACCACTTTGCACATGATTTCAGTGTGAAAAATTTGGTATCTCATACGGTTCAGAAAATCATTTGTCATAGAATTTAACTTCTAGCTTTTGTCTTTAGAAAACTACCTCAGACAGTTTTTGAAGGTGTTCCCTTGAGGCATAAAAATGTTTTCATTAGTAAATATAAAACAACCGCACATAGATGTGATGCTTTAGGGACTCATGTCGCATGTTTGATTTGGCGTGCCTATATATTCACTGATTTAGTCCCTTTACCCCAGTATGCTGTATTTAAAATAAAACCTATTTTTCAACTTAATTACCCTGCACTGATCTTCCATACACCAGATTTAGAACCATACATACTACATGAAGGGTAGTGATACTAACCATTTGCTAAGGTGGAGCAGGACTTGAACCAGTGAATTACTGGTTAAAAACGAAGTGCTTAAGCCAGACAGCCACATCTCCGCTTCTAAGACACATTCTTCTTTTTTGAACCTTTGGTTTTGTATGTTCGACTAATTCTATCATTTTGGTGGATTTAATAAATGAATTAATTTTAACCTTTCCATTTTTTACCCGCAGCAAGAATATATTGTTATCCCTTCATTGTGCCATTTAAAGACTTGCTTATTGGCTATTCGTTCCACTTCAACATTTCTATGAGATCTGTCTGGAAAACGAGAGAATTTTTCTCACGGAAGCAATATAGTCAAAAGTAATGAGTACAATTTAGTTACATAACCACCTAGACAACAAACCTAGTAAATTTTCGCTCTAAAATGTTGAGGTTTTTGATGCAGATGTCCACTTCGGTTATTGCTATCAATTGCTGGAAATTCTATGTTTCTTACCATCTTGCTTGAAAATGGAGGTAGCTAAATTTTCACTGCCACTGTAGGCTATTCTCTCCAATTAAAGTTATGCAACACTATTCATTTATGACTGTGCATATAAATTTTGCAGTTAGTCATAATAATAATTATGATAACGATAATAATAATAATGATTCTGTCAATAACAAGGATGGAAAAGTGGAACAACTTGTGATAACAGTAATAATGAAGAACAGCATGATTAAATAGAGAAATATTTACGCAGAAAGCTGAGTTTCACCAATACTCAAGTGATTTTCTTACAAATGAAAACAACACTAGGTAAAAATTCCAGTTTTACTTACTGCATTTACGGTAGTACACATTTACACGATAACGTAGTTTGCAGTTTTCAACAATTGGTAACTTCTGCCTAATAGTTTCAATACCAGTTTTAGGATTACATCTTTTATCATATTCAGGTTTTCCAAGATCTGCAAAGATTGGCAAAAATAAGAGTTGTTTTATAATATTTTTTCTATATTATTATCTTTTATGTTACTATTTTTGAGTTTGAAGGACAGTTTTATCAGTTTGTGTTGTCAAACTGACACATTTACCAGAGTATTTATGTAGCAACAGAAGTCAAGGGCCAGGAAACAGATCCTTTACTATTTATATACTTTCATGTACATTTTTATAGCTTATTCAAGCAAACCAACACAGTCTTCTGATTGGTGGTTTCTCGCTAAAAGTTAACCTTGCATCTCTTTGTGACTGTTTCTTAAAAGTCAGATCATTTATATGTTGACTGTATCCGCCTACGCAAAGTCTGCTGTGTATGTTTGTTGAATCAGTTTTTGTTCATATTCTTCTCACGATCAATATTTGGGACATAAACACTGACGTAAATTAATGTCTACCAATTTGGCTAGCAGCCTGCCTTCACCATATATATATATATATATATAAGTTCATGAGACGGATAAAATGTATATATTTACTTCAAGTCCCGACTGCTTATGGATGTCGTTATAGGGTTTTCCAAGTGTTTAGGTATTTCTTATGATTCTTTTTAGAGAGATGCAGCAACAACTTATTTGACTAGGTAAGTTTGGTGAGCATCAGCTATGTCTCTTTCTGACAGAGAATTTATTCAGTTACTAATCCAGATGACTGTTGATAGCTGTATATCAGATACCTTATCATTTGTGATTAATTCTGTTGTATAAGTAAGCGAATATTTAATATAGTGAAAATAACTACACCGGTTCTGACAACTGCTCATTTTGTTGTCACTTATCAGGCAAGGTAATAATTATTTCCCATATCTAAAATGTCATTCAGCATGCTCAATATTTTATAATAATATATACATAAAATTAACTCACATATGGGTCTACGAACTTTCGAAATAATCACTCGTACACACTGTTTCTTGTCTCCGCTTATTTTTCTTTCAGTTTTTCTAATTTCCAATATCTTGTCATCAATGCAGTACTTTTCTTCTTTGACATCAGGTGAACAATCTGTGAAAGAAGACCAAAACTTTAATAAAATATTGCATCAAATTGCCTAGAATTTCCAGAATGTTTAAAGCCTTATTTAAAAGTCTGATATGCTATCAGAGGGATTCTAAGAATAAACAAGGAAGGTTTTCCCAGGTAGAATTATGTGAGTTGTATTTATATTTTGGATCGCTCCAGTAGTGAAGTTTTACCTTGTTCATAAGTGATAGTGGACAGTCTATTTCCTTTCAGAACGGTGTACTAATTGAGTGATTAAATTATATGCAGTGTTTTAACGGTTTAATACAGTAATCAAATTCAGTTAGCTCTGCGATGCAGTTTGTAGAAGAAACACTTCACCTGAGTTGATACCTTTAAAGTAATAATTAGGAAGTCATACAAGGCAAATAAGAGTATGAGAACATAAGGTCTCATGCAGTGTAGGATAGTGGAACATAATAAAGTAACTGAGTTTACCTGATGTTAGGTACTAAATTTCGTAAATAACTAATATTTTTGGTGTTATATGCTGGCACATTAACATCCACGAACAATACTTTTTTGTTAGTAGCATAAATTACAATGAATCCTATCAGTACTTAAGTTAGGTACTGTATTAAAAGGTCAAAAGACCTCGTGTGCATTTGGATTTTGTAAGGCCTAGTTGTTATAACTGTTCGAACATTTAAAAGCTAACGTATATAATCACTTAAGAAGAAAAAAAATGTTATGCACTATCAAGCCTCCTTTATCATACTATACATAATAGCAAATTTTCCGGCATTACACAATCAGTATTATCTCATGCAATGATAAGAAGAGTGAATAAGTAAGAAGGCGCATAGCGATATTTTCAGATTATATCTGTCTATAATATACAACAGCTTGTTTAGAATAGATTTTTTGCACATAAACTTTTACACCAATATATAAATTAAATATTGAAATCATTTGAAAGGAAAAAAACTCCAGTTACTCTCAGTTTTTGACTTACAGCAGGGTATCTGTTCCATGAATCGTTTGTACTGACATCGACATCCTACTCTATGCAGTTTCATCCAAAATATGTTTCTGTAGAGATCGTTTTTATTTACGTATTCTGTTTGATTTTGTGGCAGTTTATGACATTGACCAATCTTAATTAACTTAGGTGGTTCATTACAGCGTACACGTGATGACTGAACATAATATTTGGCTTTACAAGTACACTGATCTTCTGTAAATTCATGGACTACTTTAATTTTTCGCAATAAACCATCTCGACTTTGACAAACTGAATTATTCTTTGGTTTTGGACAACTACAACGACAACGACGTTTAAATAATTTTTGATGACATTGACAGCCATCCAGATAAGTATCTATTCTAGTTTCAATTCTTTCATTTGTGATTGGATCACACTGAGATCTGAAATGAGTTGGTAGGAAAAATATTTTACGCAATAGCAGTAAATAATAGTAATAATAATGCATATTACCTATGTGATAATTCTCATGTACTTAACTTATTACTGTACACCTTTGACATATACAGATCATTAATGTCTAAAGAAATAAAAGGATGATTTTTATTAAGAAAAATTAAATAAAGCACTACGATAAATTGTTTGTGAGTAAACTGATAATTTGTGGGAGTATCCAGTTTCAATTTATCGGACTACAGAATGCATGGGACAGTATATCCCCTTATTAGGAAGTTTATTTCCTATTAGCTTGTGCATAGAGACGCTTCGGCCTTTAAATAGCCTTCATTTATTTGAACACTATCTGACCGTTATTTATTATTTATGAAATCAAGATAAAATAGATTTAACATTTTCTGGAAAGGAGATGAAGGTCAATATTTGAATGGAGAATAGATTTATTGCAAAAACAGTAGAATAAAATAACACTTAGAGCTATTCAGTGGAGGCCATCTTCAACAAACATGTTAGCCGCAATATATCCAATACAGCACCTACCATATTCTTAAGGAGTCCCTGAAATGTTTCATTGCTCTAGTTCATGGCTTTCTTTGCATAGAAAGAATTGTAATGAAAGCATCTAGGATACATCAACCTGAGGAATGATAAGCAGAAAAAGATCAGTCCTGGTGAAGTCGTAAAAGTACCCAAACACCATTTTCACTATAATTTCTAATACTGACTGCATTCTGAATCCTAATGCTGCGTTAAGATCTACTAGAAACTATTGTAACAACAGAAGACAAGGGCCAGACAACAGATTATTTATTAAGGAAATCAACACATATTCATAGACTTTCATGCACATTATTATAGATTATTTTAAGCAAATAAACACCGTCTTCTGATTGGTGGTTTCTCGTTGAACGTTAATCTTTCGTTTCTTTGTGACCGTTAATTGAAGTTCAGATTGTTTATCTGCAAATTGTATCCGCCTACGCAAAGTCTGCTGTGATTGTCTTTGTTCTTATTTTTCTCACGACCAATATTGGGGACGTAAACATTGACGTAAATTACTATCCACCAATTTGGCTAGCAGCCAGCTCTCACCACACTACCACTTTCAAATTTTTTTTGTCTGGGGTATTTAAACTCCCCATAAAGGTGCACAAACTGATTCCAACTTATTCTTAACTAAGACACATTCCTAAAGAATGACAGCTTAGAGGAATTCATTCTTTATAATACGAGGAAATTCCTTGAATCGTCAGTTAATTGAGCTTTTTTCGTTATTTATCATCAAATATTAAATAATTCATAGCTTTCTGTAAAGTAGCTTACTACTAACATATTACAGTTTACAGTGAAGATATGGAAACCTGAATGAAATATAGAAAAAATGTGTTACTCAGTATTCAGGAGAAATAGAAAATATACTTACCTTTCTGTTCGGTTGCCGGGTTGACAAACTATAGGTTTCTTCTCAACTTTACGATAAATATGACATTCACCTTGTTGAATGCCATACTTAAAGTACATTCTAATTAAATAGGCTGTATTATTGAGTCCACTTGGCTGGCATCGTTTAACCATGAAATTACGGCGACATCGACATGCTTCAGATGTTTTCAACTTCAGCTTTTTTACCTCAATATCTGTAAGCCGTTGCCATATACACTGACAGTTTTTAGGACGTTGTTGCAGATAGATCAGTGGTAAACGTCCAGTTCTATCTTTATCGCACTGACCTCTGATAATTTTCAAATTATTTGGACATTCTGTGTATAACAATTATAAATAGCGGAGAAAATATTTAGTCCAAATGCCAGAGAACTATTCATAAATCTTAATTTAATTCACAGAAAGCATTATAACAAATATAATGTAGTATGAAACATTCGTAAAATATGAATAATTACATTTCCTTATAGTTGCAAAATGTTTAAGCAGTAACTACTATCGACATCTATAAAACTGCCACAATAAATTAAAATAAGAAGTACTTTTTTCGTCTATTGAAACGATTATTTTGGATATCCCGTTGACGAATTTTTATTGAACAAAAATATACAGTCTCTTTCGATATGTTGGCTCCACCGATACCATTAGGTTTACATAATATTATTCAGTCAATAGTGGTTAGCAGTGGAATTCTGTATACAAGTTTCCTTGTATCTGGCATTCACCAGCTCCACTACAGAGTCTCGCATGTAGGACAAATAGTTTTATATTCATTATCCACCACGTTACTCAGCCATTATGACCAAATCTTGTGCAACAGTGTCGGTTATTGTTTATAAAAATTATTTTTTTTTTGATATTTCAGCAAAGACTAAACATTTTGATCCAGTAAAAACCAATTAATTGGACATTAAAAAATAACAATTGATACCACTAAACAACAGGGACTTATGTTGGCCAGTCGCCTTTTGGACAAGGTTTTAACGTTTACAACGGTATGTTTTCGGTTCGCGTCTCAACATTAACACCATCACTCACTTCAGGTCCAGGTGCATTCATCTAACAAATCGTAAATAGAGCGAAACACATATCCAGGATTCAACTCTCCATGTCTTCTTAATTTACTGTATGGTGAGAGTTTAACAAACCTACACAAAGACACCTTTTGATGACTTTCAGATATTTATATCTAAAACTGGAATGTTCAAAATGCATATTTGACATCTGCGTTGCGTGCTGATAACGTGGTCACCACAATGTGACAGTCGATGCAGGAGGCGATGACTGATAAGTTGACATAAAGCTAACCGTTCATATAACTTTGTGACTGGACAAATTGAAAAATGACAACGACTGCTGTCAAGGAAATAATCTATATTTACGTTCCTATTCTCCGATGGTTCTATTAGGCTGCTCACACTTTTCGTGTTTTCTACGTCCATCATGCACCTTTTTAAAAAATAACCATTGATTATGGACCAACGCCATGAAACTATCTTTTTTTGAGTCAGACTGGCTCAGCAGCAGCCAGTTTGGTAATTATCTCAATCAATTAATCATAGGATCGAAGAAGAAAGTTCTACCGGCAACAGCAGTCACCACACAGCATGTAAATCCTTACCTAACTACATCCACCACTTCAAGCTGTTTATTTTCATTCTTAAATTAAATACTAAAAATCAATCGCAGTTTAGCGATATGTTGGAGTAAACTCCTTCGGAATCAGTCAAAATAGCAAGACAATTCCCAGATTAGTCAATAGTGTGTATAGGCCAAATCGGCAGCCCCGATTAATCAAACTACTTGAGCACAAAAACTTAGCGAAATTCCGAATGGCATAAAATCGGGAAATGTTTGCTTTAGTAATACATCAAGCTACATATAACCGTATAATATTATAGAATAAAGTGGCACCACACTTATTATTACAGTCAGCTTTAATTCCCAACATTTCACCTCTTCTTGAAATGCATCTTTCCTAAATAAATTTTCCTAAAGATACTATTTAAAAAAGCTTAAATCAGATTCAGTGAATCGACATACTGATTTGTTCCACTTGTCTCTCTGTTTTATTTACGCATCTTCTTCCTTGATTATGCCATGTCGTTGTCAAAGAAAGTAGTTGATACCCATTTGGCAGACATTTCTTTATAACGTGTTTTGGATAACGTGCATGACAATTGCACACCCATTTTTTCTTGATCACCTTTAATAAGCACCTGCATTGATCAGCATACCATAATTTGACTACTTCATGTTGTTCATAGTTTTTTAGTTTACTACCGCATGGAGTATGTGTTATTTGAGTTTTGGGACAAACTGTAAACAAGAGAAAAGAAAATCATAATCACAGAGATGTTATTTCCGTAGAATGAGTAGGAATTAAGTGCTGTCACACATGATTACGTTTAGTTCATATTTTCAGCTATTTGCCTTACCCATGATAAAAAGGATTACATGTCACAGTGTGGTGAGAGTTGGCTGTTAGTCGAAATTGGCGGACAGTAATTTACGTCAATGTTTATGTCCACAATATTGGTTGTGAGAAAAATGAGAAAAAAGGTTTTGCGTAGGCGGATACAGTTAACATATAGATGATCTGACATTCAAGAAACAGCCACAAAGAGATGCAAGGTTAACTTTCTGTGAGAAACAACCAATCAGAAGAGTGTGTTTTTCTGCTAACAATAACCTATGATATGTACATGAAAATTTATCAATATGTGTTGATTTCCTTAATAAACGATCAGTTGCCTGGCCCTTGTCTTCTGTTGTTACAACAGGATGTAACAGTGTAATTTGCACTTCTGTTAAACAGTTCATATGAGATTTTTCCAATGAAATTCAACTTTTTAGAATGCTTTGGAATGAAGCAAATTAGTATTCTTTTATGTCAGCTTTATTCTGGAAAATATATGTAAACACAGTACAGAATTCTCTCAGTAATTTTATGCAAAATATTTACACCACGCATAGAATCCTCATCTGGGTTTGGACACCCGGCTGACGCACTCCTTTGCCTGGCTTAGCCAGTAGTAAGCCTGGTAAAGAGAGGAGGTCGGACATAAAGCTGTCTACTCCACCTCGTAAAAATAAAATCTCTGCTACCGAAAATTCAAAGTTCTGGCTTGAAGATCTATTTTCCACCCAGAATGCAATGGTCTACAAAAATATAAAATTGAATTTTTTAAAGTAAATATTCATTAACAGTATGTCGTATGACGCAACCATATTCAATCCTACACGACATTTCCCCTCATTCTCTTTTTGAAGTGTGCAGCGATAAGTTGGAAGCCAATTATAAATTTCCTTGAGTTCATGTCGCCATCCAAGAAAATAATTGGATGTTTGAAGCAACAAGAAACGGTGGAAACTACGTGTGGTGTCTTGCATGGAGATTTAAACAGTACAATCGTTTAAGCGGGCCAGAATAGGAGTTTAGATTTGATAGTAGCATTCACTTGCTGGGACTAAGTGCAGATTTTAAAATTACGTTTGGTTTATTGTATGTCTTAAAGATGTTGTTGGCATTCTTAGCTATGTTAGTAAGTAGTTGAAAAAACTTGGAAATTACTAGTCAATTGATTTCTACTTAATGGATAAATTTATTTTTAAGCCTTCGTTGAAATGAAGACAATTATTACACCCTTCATCTTATAAGGGAAATAAGAAACTAACAGAGTAAATAATTCTGATTCAACTGAGGCATTCCTTTCAATACAATTGATCACTAAGAGCTGTTTCTAAGCTGGGATTAATTAACTCAGAAATCTCACGTGGTACCAGTCATTGTCATACTGGAGAAGTGTGACACTGGACATTCATGAATACATCCATGCTTATAACAATGAGCATCAACAAATGAACATGGTAAGATTATATTACTTACTTCGAACGCTAATATTTTACTGAATGTACACGTTGTATGGTGAAGGTAGATTAGTGACAAGCAGTTGAAAATAAAGGATAATGTTTTTATCAAAATTTGGTATTATGCGAATGAACTTACTCAGTCTCTTAAATTCTTTTGTTTTGTACATTTCACAGTTATTCAGTCTCTGGTTTAATTTATAGTAAACACGTTGAATGGATAACAAGTTGTGTTTAAAGCACTTCTTAAACACTTGTACAGGTGGGCATGCACATCGAATGCGTCTTTGTTCAAGTATTTCAGGTTTACAAGATTTCTCCGTCACTTGGTAGGGATTTTCGCCTCCAGTAGCAACACTTTTTAATCCAACCCATTTATGTAGGGCCCACTGGTTTATGCATGCTCCAGGAATATGACGTACAGCGGTTGGACAACCTTTAATTTACAAAAAAAGTTGGTTATTTTCAAAATCACAAGCTTCTGTCTTTACATGGACACTAGACTGATCAAATTAAAATGAACTATGCAAACTTATGGCGACTTTACTACAATGAGAGTTGATCTCATTTTATATGTGTGGTGAAATATATGAATAAGAAGACACTGTCATTTAAAAAATGAACACATTCTTTCATACTCATCAGGGGAGTTTCGAAAGCTGATTATCGACTTTTCGTATTTTCTTATTTTTACTCTTTCGCTCTTTATACCACCTTGTGTTTATACTCTGAATTGCTTTAATAAGTAATAGAATCTGTCAAGATCAGTTGGAGTTTCTATGATCATACAATAATAAATAACATATTTCTGTTTATCATCAAACAAATGGATACACGGCTAAATCTGTTTTATACAGTTGAAGTACTAGAAAGTCCAACTTATGGGTGAGGGTATAATTTATTGCGACTGAAACTTGCCGCACTAGCGTCTCATTATACTTTCATAGATAGAACGGAGGCGGTAGCTGATTTTGAATTACGGGCCTAAAGGAATGCTGTAATCTTTTCATATGTTACCTATGGCTATTTCAAAGGTGTCACATCAGCGTTTTACACAACTGGAATATCTGCTTAAGCGTTTGATATACTCTGAAAGAGAATACTTTGTGACAGTTTTAACCTCGTCACTAACTTCTATTTCGAAAAAAATATACATGCCATCTTTCTTCTTCTGGTGGCTCATAGCAGAAATGACCTTTAATTGATCATCTTTATTCATAGTCTTACTATTTATTTTGATACATTGATAAGGTTGCATACAATGTTCTCAAATAATAACTAACATTTTGTTAATAAATCGACTTAAAATGGTAGCCATGGTGTGGAGGTGTGATACAAACAATGTGTGCCAACCGAATATTAGTCTCACACAGTTCAATTCGGCATTAACAACAGAACCCGATATATCTACTTGAACATTCTGTTTGATGTTAGAGTCAGAATGTTATTCCCACAGTTCACTGAATTGGCAATAGAATACAATGTATATTTGAACATTCTATTTCATGTCGTTTAACGTAAACCGAAATCATACGCTCAGGTGATTGGTTAACGAATATAAACTGTAGATATATAAACAGCGGTTTGATCAATGGAAAATATACTTTGGCTTCCGTGTCTTGCCTTCTGTTGTTACAATAGTAGTGTTATTGGCTGTATCTTATTAGTTAGTTCAATGAAGAATAAAAATTTATTTACCTCTTACGTATACTGCAACTAAGTAAAGATGTCACAGTCGCACTTAAGTTCTAGATAGTAACCAGCTCTCATAGCTGACTCAGTATGGATGAATTTGACATACAGTAAGGGAAGTCCTCAGATCAGATAAGGTTTCAGCTTCAGTATATATATATATATATATCATCTCGGCATAAAGTATATCAGCAAAATTCAATGTACAAAATGATAGATGTTGATGGTGTATGCATTTCAATGGTAGTTTATGGGAAATAAATCAAAATATGTGAGAATAAGGGTTTTAAAGGGATTTTCTGAGAAACTGTCCACTAATAAATTCACTTTTTTTAGTGTTAAAGAAGGCCTTGTCATTTTAAGTGAAAACTAAGTTATGATGACGTTTGAATAAATGTGGTAAAATTAATTAAGGGACTAAGATAGCAGTGAGACCTAAACCAGTGGCCTTTGGATAACTGTCTCAATGATTTACTCAGAGAGCAAATAAGCATCATAATAAATTTATTTTATTGTTCCCTCGGCTGTTTCACAATCACTGCCAACCTTTATTAAAGAAGAAGAAGAAGAAGACTACCGTTTGGTTATCGACAGTCAAGCAGTTTCAAGTGCTCCTGCTCTGAATACCTCTCGGCACTTTAAAGAAAAGGCTAATACAAAAACAGAGCCCGGGTACTGTTGTAGGATGCAGTTTCTTGAACGGGTTATTTTATGCCTGTGTGCTACACTAAACATAATTATTCTGTTATGAAATAAATGGGCTGAATATGGGAAAAACGTACAACTCACCACATCTTATTTTAAGATTTTGTAGAATTTTTTGTTTACAAGCACAGTTTTCAACTATTGGCTTCAATACAGTTATATGATGGAATTCACCGTCACACGGTTTAACCCGAATTCTCTGAAACTTTTGACCACACTTCACTTGGATAGAAATCTGTGAAGATTTTGGTTGACAGTACGATTTAAATGATTGTGTATTGTTGGTTGGTGTAATAAGTGTAAAATGGGTTTGTTTCTGTACAATTATGTTCTTCTGGTGATTACAAACAGGTTGTTTTGTTAGTGGTTTTGGGCAACAGCATATTTCGTCAGTCACCTTTCTGTAAACATATGGAAAAAATAGATAAAGAAGTGCAAATTTCAAAAAAAAAAAACTCTTCAGTTACTTTACCATTATTTTTTACTATTGCATTATTTACTATCGTATATGTATGGCTAATTAATTGACAATATTTAATTAAAGGAGGCCACATAACAGGCATAGACTGTACGAAATCCCTAAAACCTAAGTGGTTGAAAAAATAATCATCTTAATTTTGGTGAATGAATCAAAGAAATCTACATGGTATTCAAAGACTGAAGTAACTACATTTGAAAATAATGTTGACAGCCATGATAAACTGATGTGCATTCGGATGACAAACTTGAACACTGTTATTTATTCTGAAAATCAGAATAAGTATGCTGTGTTTAATTATCACTGGGTATTAATCCTGAAAAGCGGTTATTTGGGCCTCAGTAGAATTCTCTGCTTAGTATATGAAAGACCTTCTATCTCGTGTTCCAGCTGACACTGCAGTAAGAGATGCTTAGGATATTTAAACGTATGACGTATAGTGTTCATTGCCAATCTAATATATTATTAAGTTGCTTGAAAAATGTAAGGTGTCAATAAAGTTGCAATCTAAGTGGGGTTTTAGGTACCTTTTTAAGTACCCTTCCATTTCCTTAGAATTAGCACTTGAAAAATCGGTAATTTGATCTTGAACACATCAATGGCATCAAAACTCCACAGCTTTTGTTTCAGCAAAATAACCACCAAGTAAAGCACACAAAGTGAAAGACGATTACATATTCGTGTATGTAATTAACCCTTGAAGATTAATAGGTTGTGTGATCAGACAATTAAATAAATACTCAAGGGATTTTAACCTGCGTCGGTGGCACAGTGGTTAGGACTCTCGCCGACCATGCATATGGTCCGGGGTTCGAGCCCACACCGACGCACACCTGATATCTATGGTCGGCCTGCAAAATTTGGGCTACCGATATCCATGCTGAAAATTCCATACTTGTACCGAAAATACATTGTGGAATCAAGCTGTAAATCAAAAAAAAAAATTCGGTAAAGTCTACCTACGAAAGTTATGTAAGCGAAAAATTGTGCTACAGAAAACCCATTGGAAGCTAGCTTCATCACTAAACTTCACTCATAACTATAAGAATGATGCGAATACTATGTAATATATGTGTAAAACTTGGGCATTGTGATAGTCAGTAATTCCACATTAGTTTGTTTATTAGATGTATTACACAGTGAAACAGTATTATCATTTACTGGATCTTCTAACTCTCTCTGTTGGAACTGGAGTTGGTAGACGTAGGTACTTAGGAATGATTTCATTTCTTAAGCATCGAGTAATCCAGTAAATAATACTGTTCCACTGTGTGATACATCTAATATTTAGAAAATCAAAACAAGTGATTCAGCGAAGAGACTCTTTTCAACGAATTTATCATCAAGCTGTACAGTCGTATATATATGGTTTTTTTTAATAAGTTATATCCAGTGAGGGAATTGAATCTTAGGTGTGAATGCATAAAATAATAATAGTCATATGAAGTTCAACTAAAACTAGAATGTTTGTGATTATAATCGTAGTTAAATGTCAAGTGGCAAAGCAGATTAATGTCATATATAGAATAATTCATAGGAGGGATAGAACTTGAAAAAGGATGTGCAATTATAGGATTAGTAGACAAACGAATAGAACAAAAACGTTACGTAATATTGTGTGAAATTTAATAGCATAGAATTTATCGTTGTAAAAAGTGTATTTAATGAGTGCCATCCTGCGATAAAATTCACACTCGAAATGGAGAACGAGTCTAGCATTCATTTCCTCGATGTGAACTTATCAAGAAGGACCGATGGAACTCTGAAGAGATCGATTTATCGTAGGCTGTTATGGAATGGTCAACTGACAAATTTCTATAGCTGGGTACCTATTGGTCGAAAACGAAACCTGGTCCGGTCGCTTGCCACTCGTATTCGGCGCATATGTAGCACTGATACTGTGGAAGATGAGTTATACACTTTGAGGAAAATCCTAATGGAAAATGGATTTCCACCACGTTTTATAGATAAGAATATACATTCAAAGCCTACAAAACGTGACTTATCAACCGCTCCCAAGAAAATACTTTACATGAGCTTAGAATTCAAAGGGGACTTAGCTTCCGATATCATGAAACGAAGGATATCACAGTCCCTGAAAAGAACATTCCCTGCTGCCTCTCTGAGAATAGCTTTTACTAGCCGACCATTATTGTTCAATAACCTGAAGGACAAGATCCCAATGTTGACCAACTCTATGTGCGTTTATCAATTCACCTGCTCTTGTGGAGCTAGGTATATCGGTCGTTCGACTCGAGTTTTGTCCAAGAGGGTGCAAGAACATTATCCTGCATGGCTACGAAAAGGTGGAAGTGGAGCAATAAGAAGCGCGATCATAGAACATCTGGTCGAAAATGATCACCCTATCTCTATAGCCTCCGCCTTTAAAGTCATCTACAAGGCAAAGAGCAATCTACCTAAATCCCTACGTACCCGACTCATCTGTATTGCTGAAGCTTTGGCTATCGAAACAGAAAAGCCAGATCTCTGTGTACAGAAAAAGTTCGTTCAACCCCTCCAACTTTCATGGTCTTAATCCCTCTATGCTAAAATATGATAATCCCCAATCATATTTTAGCTCTACCAATTTTTCATTTTTCATTTTGTCTATTCAATTTGTATACTCTTCCTTATTAAGTCAATTGTTATTATTACTATTCTCACTTTGAACTGTCCCCGGTATTATTTCACTTGTTCCACTTGTCATTCTAAATCAATTGTTTTTTACAACGATAAATTCTATGCTATTAAATTTCACACAATATTACGTAACGTTTTTGTTTTATTCGATTTGCCTACTAATCCTATAATTGCACATCCTTTTTCAAGTTCTATCCCTCCTATGAATTATTCTATATATGACATTAATCTGCTTTGCCACTTGACATTTAACTACGATTATAATCACAAACATTTTAGTTTTAATTGAACTTCATATGATTATTATTATTTTATGCATTCACACCTAAGATTCAATTCCCTCACCGGATATAACTTATAAAAAACCATATATATACGACTGTACAGCTTGATGATAAATTCGTTGAAAAGAGTCTCTTCGCTGAATCACTTGTTTTGATTTTCTAAATGATACATCTAATAAACAAACTAATATCGAATACTATGTAGTTTGTTCTAGGTAAATGATTTACCAGGAAGACTGATTAAATTATTAATAACTGTCCTATTTGTTCACATCTGTCTTTAAGACTGAATTGCATCTATCTTGATTGGTAACTTTTACTTGCTAACACGTTTTGACGAGTGGCCAAGAGTTCACGAAAATGTATTCCTATCACAGGTAAATAAAAGGAAATATACAAAATTATTCTTGGAATAAAAATGGCCAAAAGATTTTACTTACTGTAAGATTTGACACTGACAGTTTTTAACACTGAAACGGAAGTCCGAACGTTTTGCTTTACAAGTAGTTGGATCACATTTTCCAATATGAAATAGAGGTCTTTTACTGAAATCTTTTTTAATGTGAGCACATGGATCCACCTCAATTTCTTGCTGAGATGCTTTGCATTTATCTCCTTCCAGATTAAATTTTGTAATGATATGCATCAGCTGCTGCCCATTGTTAATACAGCGTTGTTTTTTCACTGGATTTGGACATTCTGAAAACATCAGCATAATTTTTAGGAACTTTCATGATTAAAGGTCGACATAATATAAAGAGCACTATAAAATATATGAAGGAGATGTCGTATTTATTCTTTAAAAATAGTTTTTCTAAGTGCTCCTTTATGTTTATTTTCCAAGCGGCTGATCTGATGCTGAAGTGTATTCTTCCCTAAATTACCTTGTTTGCATAACAATATGCAGGCTAATAATGTTTCTAAAATGAAACTAACTTTTCTGCAAGCCAATACAGGAAGTTGGAATGCTTTCAAGATTTAATCTACAATATATGATCTTAACGTAAATCATAAAATGATTCGGCATATTGTTGACCAAACAAACGTTCTAATATGATGATAGACGGGTATTTTAAGTATTCTTAAAGTGATCTTGAAGTCTCTTCCAATAATGATATCTTAAGTTCAAAAGGGGAGAGACTACTGTACTCTTGTCTGCTAATCTACTATGAGATAGCTATTTTTTGCAGATCAAAAATGGAATTTATTCAAATCCAGTTATTAAAAGATGAATAATTCTTCATTACAGCAAAACAATCAGTAGAATTAGTGAGTACAAGTAATCAATATTTTCCTTGTCTTGTATTACTGAGTGACAAATTGTGATTGACTTTCAAGCATAGCTACTTTGGTTACAGTATTACTGACAAACCTTTTTTTGGTTTATTAAGTCTTAATGACAAATTGTCGTTTACTGTTTTTCTTTATGAGGTTTATTAAAGTTACTCCACATATTTTGTTGTTTGTTTTTATTCGTCATATTCAAATATTCATCAGCTGATCATAATATGTTGGCTTCATGGTACACCATGTGCATCTACTTACCTCTTAAAAGCTGTAAATTCAGATTATGTTTGCGCAGTGTAACTGAATTTAGGACTATCATATTATTTTTCCCTAGTGGAACATAGGGCTTTCTCCTGCACGTCTCCACTTGCTTTTTGTCTTCTGCTGTACTTTTCACCTACATCCATGTTAGCCCATATTGTTTCAACTCCTCTTCACACAATCTCCTCCATGTCACCCTTACACTGACGTCCCACTTGCCACTTCCCTTTCCGGTTGCACTCGACCAGTGGACTGATGCGCGATGTCATCCAGAGGCCTCCTTAGCGAGTGTTCAATTCATCTCCACTTTCCCCTGCATATCTGCTGTTTGTGGGCGATTGGTTCTTGTTTTGTTTGTTCCCATAGTTTCCCATAGTTGGTGATTCTTTCGGACCCGGCCATCTGATATTCAGTATAGAGCCAGCGAAGACAGTTGTTGATGAAGGTCTGCAATAGGCCGTTGGAAATATTCTTTGTGACCCGCCCGCCAAGTTTCTCATCAGTATAGAAGAACTGATTGATTTGACGTTTGTATTGAAAATTCGACTGAATTTTGTTGTTGATGCTGGCTGAGTGACGAAGATTTCCAGATTGGTTTCAGGTTGATGAATAAATGTGTTTCTCGCCTTCCCGATTCTCGATTTGATATCTTCGTCCGTTCCTCCTGTAGTTGAGACAGTGTTACCTCCCTAGATAAGTTAATGAAGTAACCTCTTTCAAATCCCTCCCGTTGATGGTGATTGGCGCTGGATTTTGCAGTTGTTGTTGGCTGGTTATTTTCATAACCTCCGTCTTGTTCACCTATGTTCACCTGGAGTCCTGTCTTCACTGTCTTCTTCTTCCACCGGTTTGTCGGTTTTCGTTTGTAAGTCTTCGATTTTGTGTGACATCAAACATAAATCATCCACGCGCGGAACCTAGGTCTTCTAGGTTCTTCACATCGATCCAGGATATCCCTGTCTTCTCGTTTCCCACTGTCTGACGCATAATCTAGTCCACCACAATTACGAATATCATTGGTGATAATAAGCACTAAGACTACTAGTTAAAAGCATTTGATTAGATGAAACTTTTGTAAGGTAATATAATAATAATTTCATTCACCATATCATTCCTTATCTTCGGAAAACGTATAACTTACTACAAATTTTCTTCTCGGAATGTTTAACTCTCCAAACACATTGACAGTTTACCGCTGTAAGGATTAATTCATCTATCTTCTGCGTCCAAACAGAATCTGGACCGATTTCGCATTTTCCAACACTCATTCGTTTCAACGGTTTACAGTCTATGAATTAGGTTGAATAAAGTTTGTTTTAAGTAAAAATTAGTAATAGTAAATGAAGTAACCATGCTTTCATATAGTTATCATACACGCCCTTATATTCATGGAACCTACTATGGGTAGGGAGAATGCTAAATCATTTTTAGGAACTTGTGTACTTAGTGTTTACTAGTAAACACAAGCTAACTGATAAAGAATATTTCTTGATGTCGAGTTTTCATTACATTCAACAAAACACTATATTCACTTACCTCGTAGTAAAATGCCCAGTAGATGGCTTCATATTAAGCCTGATGCTTATGATGCGGTTCTAAATGACAATGGAAGCTTAACAGCCAAACCATATGTATACTAGAATACAGAGTAATTGAAAAGGTGTATCATACAGTGATTTGAAGGCATGACGAAAGAACTTTTTAGAATTATTTTAGTGGGTGGAGGATTTCATCGTGAGCTGAGAGAAGCACTGGATAACCTGGGAGTACTGGACAGCTGTTTCTGTTGTCCAAGTTTGGGACTCTTCATCAGTATGCACCCGCCGCCAGAGTTCGAACCCAGGACCTTCTGGTTACAAGGAGAGCTCGTAGACTATTGAGCCACTGGGACCCCATCCAATGCCCAGCCCATGAATTCCAACTTCTGCCAATTCATGACATAGGGCGACGATTTGGCAGTGTCTTCTTCGATGAGTTACTGCTTAATCTTCAACCTGCTGTACCCTACTGGTCCCTACAATTCTTGAAAATTATTTTAGTGTTATATAAATGCTACTTAAAAATATTAGAGTAGTAGTTTATCTGACAATGAAAATAATCTTACTACAGGTAAAAAGTATTTACAGTCGCTTCGTCCCATTTTTAAAACTCACATATGTCTATAGACTTACTTATTGGTTTCTTATATACAGCTTCACTGTGCAAACATTTATCTCTCATCAGGGTTGAAAATCTCCGTCTCATTAATAAAAGATTGTTGTTCCTGCATCGTTTTGAAACAACTTGTGGGTGTATTAAACTGCAATCTATATAATAAAAGTTACATTATAACAATGCGGTTAGTGAGATGAATCGTTGTCACTTATTTAGACACTAAAATCATAAAAACTTATACATTTATTTAGATTGTCTTTAGCAACTTTATTATCAAGCACTGTTTTTAGTGTACATGAATTTCTGCTGAGAACGTAGTGTAGGAGCATTACCAATGATATACTTACGGAATTATCAGATAATCAGTTATTTACTGGCAGTTGCAATATCTTACATGAATAGGGGCCTTAGAAAATTGTCCAAACTAATTCTAAACAGTGATGCTAACACTTTAGGTATAATAGTAACGCGTTGCTGACGGAATATAATATCGTCTTGAGCAACACTTCTGACATCAATAAGTCCCTTTATCTTAACTGCTACAAAATATCTTTGATGATTACCTATTTTCCTAAGAATTCAGATAGAAGCTGCGGGAAATATTCGCTTTTTTGGCCCTTAAGCTACCGTTAGTAATCTAGGTTTCTAGAAACTCACCACTAAATTCTTATATTCGATAAGCAGCCAGTTTAGGACCTGCAATAGATCTACTAAAATTTTACGAGAAAAAAATATATATAATCACACTATTTATGCTTTTCATCTTCTTGGCCTGGACAGTAACTAAATTCCAACAGCTTCTGTCCAGTCGGCTTCAAGAAAGCTGTCGTTAGATCACTGTTTACCCTCACTGAAAAGATATGTTTCAAAGAAAGAAGACTTCGCCATTGCTGAAAGGTGCCTTCGAAAAAATGGGTATCGTCAAAAATTTACTGATAAATATAAAATTGTGCTAAGTGGGAAGGTTAAATCAGATACAGTGGGAAAGAAACCTGTCTTCTTGAAACCTGGACTTATAGGTGATGAAGTGTCCAGAAAACGAAGTGCAAAATAGAAGCAGTTCCGAAGAGGACCTATCCAGCTGCCGAATCAGTCACACTTTACGGAACAAGTTGATCACTAAAACAATCCAAGGTTAACCAATCCCCATTCCATTTCCCCCGTAGTTGTATCTGTCAGCTAACGTGTATCTGTTAAAGTACATGTATTAAACGAGTAGAAAAAAGATTTGTGACAAAAAATCTGAACAGATTTCGAAATTCATCAAGGGAGCAAAATGTAGGAAATTCCGAGAAAATTGCGTCGGAAAGGCATGAAAGTCTTGGGCAGTGCAAGCACTCTGTCCATGATATATAGTATTGATAAAATTGAGGCTTAAAATCATTTAAGCTAAGTTATATTCCAATATATAGCTCAAGCGGTAATCAATAGAAGATTAAAATCGGACCTGTACATTCAGGGAGACATTGTTGTTAGTCTTGTGAACATAAATTTATGTTGTTCTTGCTATTTTGGGTATTTATTATCACCTTTAATTCTGTCTTTATCCACACTCTTTTTTTTTGAAACTAGCTTTTATTCATTAAAATATTAGTTATGTAAATTTTATTTTGACTATGAGTGAGTGGGATTTTATTGTGATGTGACTAAAGTGTATAAGAGAATATGTAGGAAGGTACACTGTGCGTTATGTTCATTGGGAGGTCTACAGTTGCCGAAATCTTGAGCGAAACACTTTTTCACCTCACACTTTTTTTAAGGTGTCTTTTCTATGTAAGTGACAGTATCTTAGATACTGACTATGACACTCGGTTGTCACATATACCTTTACCAAATTAATCCAAAAGAAATAATGATTAACGACAACTTACTGCAAATCTTTCGTTCTACTTTCACCTTTGGAATACAGCTGCAGTTTTGTCCAACGAAATGTTGAATTTTACTGACTTTGTAACCTCGATTCGGTGATTTTGGATCATTATCACATGGATAATTTTGCACAGTTGGCTTGGGACAGTCTGTTACACAAAAAAGATATAAAGAACTTTAAGCTATAACATAAGCGTTTATATAAACAAGCCACTATCCTTGTCAGTGTTGATATTAGTTCACTAGAATAATCTATTTCACTAACTCATTTGGGTAGCACAACATCTTATTGTGCCATGGTGAAAATCTGAGAGTTGGTTAAGGGTAACATAAAGTACTCATTTTCTGGTATTTATTAACGCAACAAGTTATCCTGTCCTACGAGTACTTCACATCTCTCGATTGTGATAGAGTTTTGTCAATCTTAACAAAGAGTGGGTAGTAGCAAGGATGTGAACGATTTAGTCTTGCGAAAATGGTTATTTGTTAGACAGTACTGCTTTAGCCTCCTTCATCACACTAACGTAAATATAAGTATATCAATTAGGACTAAGAAAATTTAATCTAACTAGTAATTCGGGTACCTCGATTTTGTAGACAGTCTAAGTTAAGCCGATGAGCAAGAAAAAGCATCAAATCTAGTACCACACCCTCAATATCCCCCAAGAATCTAAACCAAATTAGAGCGTACTGTAATAGGGAATGTTTCAGGTTGACAGTCACACTTGAAAGTTAACTGGTAGTGTGGTGAGAGCTGGCTGTTAGTCAAGATTGGTGGACAGTAATTTACGTCAATGTCTATGTCCCAAGTATCGACCGTGAGAAGAATGAGAAGAAAGGCTTTGCGTAGGCGGATACAGTTAACATATAGTTGTTCTGACATTCAAGAAACAGCCACAACCGGATGCAAGGTTAACTTTCTGTGAGAAACAACCAATCAGAAGAGTGTGTTTTTCTGCTAACAATAATCTATAATATGTACATGAAAATCTATAATATTATATATATATATATATATGTATATATATATATATATATATATAATAAACGATCTGTTTCCTGGCCCTTGTCTTCTGTTGTTACAGTAGAAGTTAGGTAGTTATTCAACCTAAACATTAACTACTACCTACTTATTGATATCAACGAAAATTAATCACTTTTTTTTTACACTTATTATCCCACTGTAAGTGAGATAACTGCTTATGTAAATTCTTGTCAATAGATATTGTGAAGGTTGAATTTTTGGGTGGGAATAAATTTCACTTACTTAGCCGCTTTGAATACTTCATACGTTTTGGTATGCAATCTCCTTTGACTAATTCATATTTCCAATATCCAACAGTTGGGATAATGTTATCACGACACTGGTAAACTTTTCTATTTAAATGGTCGCATCCTAAAACGTTAATGAACAAAATAAGAAAGTAACTTTACCACACTGATATAAAAACTACAGTGAATATCACATTTGGTTACATACTATTCTCACATTATTACAGACAGTTCTAATGAAGTAGAGTCGGTTTTTCGCGTTGATAATAATACTTTCAATATCATTGAATATTTTTCATCACGGTGATTACAGCGTAGTTATCCTTATTAAAAAGTTGAACTTTTGTATTTACTACTGAGTACTTCATCAGTGTTATAATTTTCCAGTAAACACAACAGTCGGGTCAACTGACTGGAATCTCAGATGAATATATTTAAAATTCCACAACACACCAGGGATTCCTAAGGAAATATTTATCATCCCTATCATAACTTTGATGTTATGCTAACGTTATACAACTTTGTATTTTTTATTTCAGTTACCTGGATAACTTTACCATATGATTATTTTATTCTATTCATCTTCAGTATCACGTCATTCCTTTTATACTGCGTAACACGATTTCACTTTCCTTCTACATATGCTGTAACCTTTGACCAAGAATTCATAAATGACACCTTATTTTTCAACTTATATATTTACAGATGAACAGTTATGAAAGTTAGTTTTTAGGAAGAAGTTATTTCTGCAGTCGTGTCTTTCTTTTCTATGGCGAAATCAAAGATTGACAATCATTTGAAATGTTGAAATAAACAAATACTGAATTTCTGATTAATTTGCGAGACATCTCAATTTTATCCTTGAATGAATGATGACATAAAATGATAGTTTAATATCTGAAGATGTTACAGAGGTGATTTTAAGTAGACAGAAGTAGTTAGTCATGTTTCAGATGAGTAAATCCGTAATCGAGTGCAAGAGCATTTTTTTCCTTCACGTTCCCGGTGAAACATAGGGCTTCAAGATAGTGGCTTGAAGTTTTTGTACCAGTGTTTATTTATTTTACAGGATGAGGTAGCTAGCCTCATCCCCAACCTTTCCCCTTCATCAGCATTATTTCTGGCTTAGCGAGGTAAAGGAGTGAGTCGGCCGGGGATTGAACCCCGAACCGTGTGCATGGTCGACGAGCGTCCTAACCGCTGTGCTACCGACGCTAGCATTTAAAATGTATTTATTCCACCCTAGCATTTTCTTGAATGCGTGGTACTCATGTACTAAGAACCACTAATCAGATTTTACATAATGACTTTTGAAGCAATCAAATATTGTTTGAGAAGGAAACTGTAAGCCGATGTTGTAACTGACCACCTACTCACTCACATTAATTCATTCTGGAGGCTATTAGCAAGTTGATTAGTGCATGAAAGATCACATAAATATGGTCTATCACTTATCCAAAGCATTTGGTCACATCCTGATAACTGTAACAATTATGGTATTTATCTGAGTTTTCTACAGAGATAAGTATTCCTGTTAAGAAGTCTTACTTATATGATATTACGATATTTAACCATCTTTATTCTATGTATTTTAAATTCAAATAATTATTCGTTTGACACTAGTATCATAAAACATGCCTGTTGTTTGGGGATTTGGGAAAAAAGTAAGAAAAAGAATACATTTAGGGTTTACGACTACATTTTTTGCTTACCACAGAACTCCGTCCATTCATTTTTGACTACAGCAACACATTTACAACTAGTTTCGTTCCTCACAAAATTAACATATTGTATTACATGTTTAAATTGAGTCTTCGCACTGCACTGTGAAACAATACGATTTGTTGGGCGAGGGCACTCATCGTACCAACGTACACAATGTTTTAACAGTCGACAAACGTGTGTTTTAGGATTATATACATACTGTGTATTACATTTGACCCAGCGTCCATTACCATCACAATAGATACGATTTATAGGCTGTGGACAACCACAACGTTGTTTACCAATTTTCTCTTGTCTAACGCATGTTCCATTGACAAATTTAAAGGTAATTGTTCGTTGATAACGGAAATTCTGTTTGCACTCAGATATCCATCGGCGAGTCGGTGGACAACCTTAGACAGTATCAATTGATTAAGTTAGACACTGGCATTTATAAATAATATTTGATTTAATAATGGATTTATTTATAAGGGATTCAAATGTGTTAGTTCTCAAACTGATCTCAAAATATTTACATAATAATCTGTTGTTATTACTGTATTTTCGAACAGGTAAAAGATATCTAATAATTGTAGTGATTATACCGTGAATGTTGCTTCAAATTAAGTCAAATAAATAATTTTTTAATGAAAACAGGAAGTTGGTTCAACTTGGCAGAATCCCATTGGTCATTCTTAATGAATCACACTCTTTTTAAGCAGGTAAATATATCTTAAGCTAAGCCATTACTTTCACATTTCATTGAGTCTGTTATTTAATCGCTTTTTGTCCACTGCCTTAAAAACTTTAAAAAAACAAGTTTGTCAGTCACTTTCCGTTTCCCTCTCTCTCTCCTTTGCTGTGCATATATGTATATACATATGCCATTGGTTTTCCAAATATCTTCCTGCATGGTTAAGCAAGGGACAAACAGGATCCATTCTTATCACTGTTTTAGCACACCTTATTTATACTGATAAAGCCTTCGAAGTTATGTATCGCACTTAAACTAATATTAGTTTTACTTTACGAGCTGAGGCCATGGAAATTCAATTGAAGAGGACAGGCTTGTGAATTGGGAAAAAATTCGTCCAGTAACTTTTCTTACAATGGCCACTATTACATGGATCTACAAAAACTGGTGATTTCTTCCCCCCAACCCCCCCCCCTTAAACCTTTTACAAGTTTTCATTTTAGTATATATGTTCTTATTCTGACAACTTCATCTTCAGTTGTTTATTACGTAATCAGTTCGAACACTTATTCATTTCTTAATTACTCCGCTTATTTTTTTTCGAAATTATGCATTATGTATTCCACTTGTCTAATTTTTGCAATTATTTCCACCCTTTAATTATCGCACTAATTTTCTATCACCCCCTTGACATGCTGATATTGACTAATCTTGGTTAAATAAATCTGCTAAAGCACTACATTTCAAAAGTTATCTCTTTGTAGTTTTTCTTCCGAAATATGCATCTCTGATGATACGAAAACACCAATAAATTCTCAATAATCCTAAATTGAACTGCTTTTACTCTGTACATTATGCTTCACTTCCCCTGCCCAATGTACTCCGAAAATGATATCAAGTAAAGCGCTACAATTGGAATAAGTCTTGTTTTATTGTCGAAAAAACTACACACGCTTTCCAGTGGGACACTAATGACTATTTAAACAGATTCAGCAAGTTTACATGAAAACTGAATTATTATTTCATCATAGTAGCTATCTGAACTAAAATATCTCACAACACTTACTTCTCCATCATATCACTTTAAAGAATAAAATGTACACGTAACAGGCAGAACTTTAAAGAACAGCAATCTTGCTTGCCTCCTAATTAATCTATGCTGTGTACATTTATATGAGTAGTGTCAATGAAGGATATGGGATCAGTTTCAATTTTTTTAATGTGTTCAATTTAGGTGTCATTTATATGTGAATAACATCACAAAACTCTGATAAGGAGTTTTTTTTTAATTTAAATTACATCTAAAACAGTATTTTTTGCCAAGTTCATTAAGTAATTAATTTATAACTTAAGAAGTAGACGGCGAAGTACAACATTGCAAGCATAACACTAAGTAACGAAAAATTCAAAATCTGTAATGTTAAAAGCAATTTCCAACTAACCACATTTCCCCCTTGTCACCTGCTTTACCGGTCTGCATTCACATCCGACTTGTTTATAATGTGTATTAACTCTGGTGAGTAGGCCAGTTTTCTTATCACAATTTTCATAACTAACTGGTTGTGGACAAACAACAGTTTGGTCTCGTTGTTCACTGGTCACCTTTTCTATCTGATCATAGACAACTAGGTCATCTCTCTTGAATAATACCTAAATGTCATATAAATGAATATATAGAAGTTAGAAATTGTCTGAAAATCTAAAGTACAAGTGAATATCGGTGTAAAGAAGGGAATATTATGAAACAGCATAGTTGGTTACAGACTGTTGCAAAATAAAATCGTTCTCTTTCCATTCTACTTCTTTCCTGTCAATTTGATCTCCATCTAGCCTCTTGTATAATTAGACTAAAATCTGTAAATGTTACATTTAACGTATATTATTTTAATAAGTGAAGTAAATTTCAGTCTACGGCTTGATCAGTTGGTTAACATTTATTGACTGCAATTACAGCAGAAGTACAGATATATTTGAGACATAGCGCTTTATCTATCCATTAAACTTGATAACAGCTTAATATCAGGTCTTCGTTTCGCACAAAGCGACAAATCACTAGATAGATGTGCAACAGACTCAGATGTAGAGGACGTCCTTTAAAAGAGACTCATATCATAGCAGCAGGGTTAACTCTGACTTGGAAAGAGGTGAAAAACGTATTTTTTTATAGAAAATTGCATGTTGTACTTTAATGAATGTATGCAACAGACGCTAAACTTACAGCTTCCAAGATCATTTGTTTTGTAAATGATCTATATGAAATACTACCGAATCAGTCACTGTGTAAGTGCAGAAATTTCATCATCAATACTAGAGAAGTAAACATACTCATCACTCTCTTTCAAATCTATGCTAAGTGTCAGTCTCAAAATAAAATAATCATACAAAAGCCCATATTATTGCTTGTAAAGCCGAAATGATTGGCAGTAACTGTTGATAGAAACCATACGTAAATTTGTAGGAAAAACTAGTCTATCTAAGTGAAATAAATTTAACAAAATCTTGAAGCCCTTAAATAGACTTCAGATGGGCTGATTTGTGGCGCAGAAGTTGTGATATGCATTCATCGTATTCATAAGACTGAAAACTAATCCGCGGAGTTACCTGCACAATGGATTTGATCAATTTTGTTAACTTTCATATGGCATTACAAGCACTGTTGTCTTTAATTATATAGTAAGATAAATATAATTACCAGGGAAACAATAGCAGAAGCGTTAAGGGGGAACATGAGTGAAACAATGAGATATTCACAACACTTCGTGCCAAACATTGTTTTACACAGTGTGAAAAGTATCTCTGAGCTTAGAATGTAACGACACTTATTACAGACATTTTCGCAGCAAGTAATACTGAATTGTTTATTTATTTACCACATATTGCCCATTATATATTTTATATTATTCTCAAGATGTGAAACTCTTTGCAACACTAACATGTTGACGAAAACTAGCAATTTTTTTTGTTCATACAAACGATTTTCAGAAAATAAATAAGAATTTTAATCATCTTGATTCAGCTTTTAATAAAATAATGTGGAAATAATTGACCACAAACTCATCAGCGGTGAACTTATCTATAAATTATATTGAAGACATGATTCTTATTTCCGTAAAAATTCCAGAATTCATCACTATCCAGTCACTATTTGTAAATTTAATACTACAATAAGTCTGCCAGCTAAATGTTCCTAAATAACATTAATGCTTCTATAATTCTCTTGGTATTTTTTACATTCTTATAATCTACGAATTTGTTAAATGAGTAGACAACGTATGGTGAGAGGTGGTTTTTAGCCAAAATTGGTGGACAGTAATATACGTCAATGTTTATGTCCCAAATATTGATCATGAGGAAAATGAGAACAAAGACTGATTCAACAAACAACCATAGCAGACTTTGCGTAGGTGGATACAGTTAACATAATAGAGAAGATTTGTAGCTCAGGTGGATGATTTTGATGTGGTTTTGTTCTCTGAGCTGGATGGTTAGTTTGCGAAGCTTTCATCACCTTACTGGGTGACATCTTCAGCGCATACTTCAAATTGAAGTATGCGCTGAAGATGTCACCCAGTAAGGTGATGAAAGCTTCGCAAACTAACCATCCAGCTCAGAGAACAAAACCACATCAAAAACAGTTAACATAAAGATGATCTGACATTCAAGAAACAGCCACAAACAGATGAAAGATTAACTTTTAGCGAGAAACAACCAATCAGAATAGTATGTTTGTTTGCTTGAATAAGCTATAATAATGTACATGAAAATATATCAATATGTGTTGATTTCCTTAATAAAGGATCTGTTTCCTGGCCCTTGTCTTCTCTTGTTACTAACGTACTGGAAAGTGGTATCTCTTTAACGTCGATATTTTCAATTCAGATGAAGTAATTAATTAGTAGTTACATATCCCAACAGTGTTGGTTTACTGGACTTAACGGTCATTCTTGGCAGAAATTGATCAACACACTTAGGACTGAACACATTTACTGAATACTATTCAGCGTCTAATTTACATAAATAATCTTGTCGTAGAAGATCTAACTCTTTTGTCCGAATAGTAAAATATTATACGCTGCAACTTTTTCAACGGAAGATGAAAGTTTATAACACACTAGGCTTGGAATCTAGCCTCAGTGTCTTCAGTCGTTTAGTTTCTCTTAAAAACTGATAGTTTAATATCGTGTATTAATATTTCTAAACTTTTCATTAGACTACAATAAATGTGATATTAAGTTGAAATTATTTTCGCCTATGAGCTTGTTTACTTACTGATCCAGGAGAAAGTACATAGTTTTCAATCATTTTTACCCATCGACCTTTAACTGGATCACAAATCTGTTTCACTTTTGGTTCACTTGTACAACATCGACGTTGCACTTGTACAATTTTCATTTGACATTTACAATCAACTACAGTTGGTACACTTATCTTCAATGTTTCGAAGCAGTTAGGTGTATTTGTATTTATTTTATTTATTAGTTGTTTCTCACATGTTGACTTTTCAATTATTTGAGCTTTTTCTTGACAACCTGTTGATAAGAATGGATATGTGAAAACAGTTAGTGTGAAGAGTTTATTTATCAATCGGAAAATGATAGAATAAGATGTTGTAGATGACTACCACTTCAAAACACGCGTAAACACCAAGTAATTGGAAATAGAAGGAATATGATAAACTCTTTATCACCGCAATGACTCTGGATTTTAGACTTGATGATTGACTGGAGTTAACAGGTCTGTTCTCATATTGTGTTATAAAGGTTGCTAAAAATCACTCTTTGTAGGCTCAGTAATTTTAGTAGGTAACCATTGGTTAAAACTACTGTATTCTCTTTCAAAGAGTAGATGATTTTAGTTGCATAAAATGATCAATGGTCTCCTAGACTTAGGATTACTTAGAGGGTCTAGGAGACGTTTCAAAGCTAAACTTGATCAAAAAAGTAAAATATCCTGAATAAACAACTAAAATTAAATGGCATCGAATACCTGTCTCTTCACAGTTTACAGCTCCGTATGAACGTACTTATTTTTCAGATAGTAGTAAGCAAACCAACTAGGAGCAGATGTCAGAAACTAAGAGTAGAAATACTGACAAAGAAAGACCTTTATTCCCATATTCCTCTGATGAATAAAAGTGTTTATTTCTTCAGTTTTGATTGATTAACATAGCTCATGGATGTTAAATTGATGAATTTAAGTGAAAAATTAACATAAGAATTTTATGATACAAAGAAACTCTCACTTTAAAGATATATGTATGTATGTGCACTTTAGTTAAGCTAATATTCTTATCTACAGAAGTATGAAATTACTTAAGTATATACCTAATACGTAGACTTTCGACAAGCTGAGGTAACTTTTATGATACTGTGTTTCTTGAATTTACTTTATCGATCGGATATCATTCGAAACAACGGTTAGATTGGTTACTAAATAAGTAACTCGTGTATAAAAGATAAGTATATAAGAAAGACAGTTAACAGTCTAATTTAAACTTACGAGTTTCAGTAGTTATTACTTCTTGATCTGGTAAACACTGCCCGCCAATATGTATAAATGTATTTTTATAAATTGCTAAATTGACAGTATCTAAACATTGTTTCTTAATTGATGGTTTAGGGCAGGCACAAAGACGTAGTATTTGGCGACGTTTTATAACACATTTACAATTCACTACTTGTTCCCATCGTATTTCTTCCGAATAATAGATACCATCCGGACGTTCAATGTTGCAACCACTAGATTTGATTACTTGATGCTTAGTTGCGCATACTGAAAAAGATACTCCAAAACTTAGTGTTTAAATAACAAAACTTCTGTTCACTTATTAATTTAGATGATTAGGTCCACAAAGTTAATTTCGTCATGAATGTTAATCAGATAGAATAAGCGCTGAATGCCAAAAATTATTAGACCGCTGATGAACAAGCTGAGTAAATTGTCTTTCAGTCCATCCAATTAGCTGAAGAGAACTACAGTGAACTAAGTCGAACTTCGTACACCGCCAATGAGGTCACCCTCGAATGGCTGAAACGGTTGTCCAGTGTTTACAGCACTTTGACCTAGCTAGCAATCACCACTGTTTGATATGAGTTGTTTCTAACCCCTCATATCCGTTGGGCAGTAGTATTTATTATTTAAGTCATCTCATTTATTGACTTATGAATTCAGATTTTGTTTTCATTTACTGCATTCAACAAAACACTTTTAAAAGCTTCCAAAGATGTTCATGTAAAAAGCCTACTGTTCCACTCATAAACATTGTATCAGAACTAGAATTTTCTGAACGTCAATTCTTGATTTCTGTCTGACAGCTATTAATCGTCTTCATCTCCTTTAGAGACGACTTATTCCCACTAGTGATGTGTTTTTAAAAGCACGGAATGATAATTTCCTTTCTGTTGTCTGCAAATGATTTCTACTTAAATAGTCTGAATTCAGACTACTTGAATACAGTTGTCGCTTTATACAATCTAGCGGTCTTTTCATTTGGTGGATTGTGACTACCAGTGAAATCGAGAATGTGTACTTTGTCCGATTTGAGATTCGTCAGCAGTGCCTGTATCGGGAGTGACTGAAGGTGTATCTAATGAGACTTGAACTCAGAATCCGTCGTCCCGAATGCCAAAGAGATACCTTTTAATTAAACACTGATGGTTAATGTTTGATGTGAAATTGCCTATTATCAGATGCTGAATAATTAGTGTTTTGGGTTGTCTATCGACATAAATAAACACAGATATTACTTTTCTTTATCCTAAGGCAACTAAGGTTGTCTGCAACGTGTTCCAACACTAATGCTTGAACTGAATCAGTCAATAAGACCATTCACAAACATAGTTTTCCGTCATGATGCATTGCATTTCACCGTTAGATAATAAATAGCCAAAAACCAAATTTCTAGTGTGTAGTGTAGTGAAGACAGTCGTTTTGAAAAGGCCATAGTAGAGAATTTCTTACTCCTTGTTAGTTATTAGTACTAATATCACGGTTGTCTTACAAATGAAATGAAAAAGAAAAGTATTTGTAGGCTTACCGACAGGATGTACACTTCGTACATTCGATTTTACGCATCTTCTTAAAGCTTGACTGAATACATGAATTTCTTTGTTTATTACACGAACTCCGTTTTGACAAGATTCTGTGGTGTGATTATTTCTTCCACAATCTATCAGAGGTCATTAAAATGTTGTTGGAAAACACTACTTAGTTTTATTTTAAATAAGTGTTAAACCAATAGCTTCATCATTTTACTTTTTAAACATATCGAACTTTTATCATATCATGACTGTATTCTGAATCGAGTTGTCAAAGTAGCTGCAACTGTTCAGTTACCTATCAATATAAATGATAGGAAGTATATAAAATATCTGGCTGTTTGAGTGACTTAAAATGGCTGTGATGTGATGCCCTTTCTCTCACAGTATTAGAACAGACCATTATCAAAACAAATATTTCAGTTTCGTAACGTGATATATCATCGTCTGTGCTTAAGATGAAGAGTGATATCTAAATTTCGCGGCTTATTCATTTGAACCCGAAATCGTTTCATGTAAATTAGCAGGTCAACTGAACGAATTCTTTTCCAGCACTGATGATAAACACAAGCTCAAGGCTTCTTTTCAATTTCCTCCAACCATCTAGTATTTATTCGTCAAATTCCTCGTGAGCATGTAAATACATGCATACTAAATCGTTCCCAATATTTACTTGTTTTTTTATATTCTACTTGCGAATTCCAAACTAGCTGTTACTTATATCTATATGAACTCAAATAAACTTTATAATTATTTACTTCGTGGTGATAAGCATCAATAGAGTTTGTCCTTGAGGCGTCGGTGGCACAGCGGCTAGGACGCTCCCCGACCATGCACATGGTCAGGGGTTCGATCCCCGGCCGATGCACTCCTTTACCTCGCTAAGCCAGAAATAATTCTGGTAAGGAGGAAAGGTTGGGCATGAAGCTAGAAACCCCATCCTGTAAAATAAATAAACACTGGTACAGAAACTTTAAGCCACCAGCTTGAAGCGCTATGTTCCACTGGGAACGTGAAGGAAAAAAAGAGGTTATCACAGGTTTGTGTAAGAACTTCAATATATTGAAATTTGATCAACTGGTGTAATATCAAAAGTGTTCTCCATTGAACTGAAGCGTATTAGTACATACATATATGTCTTTGTTAAAGAAACACCTTGTGAAAGTATCCCCTTATTATTCATCATCTCATTGAATAACTTAATGGATTCATAAATGTAAGATCTGGGGTTAAAGTAGCCGGAAAAAAAATATTTTTTTCACCAGTTACTTTTCTATGGAAAAGCTAAAAAACATCTTACCACATTTTTCGTGTTCGACTTTCACTTGGTTTTTACATTCACAGGTTTGTTTATCCAAAGTTTCTTGCATAAAAGTAACACGTTTTACCTCGTTTATGCACGGTTCTTCTTTAATGCGAACAGCATTTATTCGACAAGTAACTGGAACTTTCTTCATATAATGACGAACAGCACAAAACACCCTATCATTTCGGTTGACAAGATATTCTGCTTCTTTTATGTATATAATATCACCCGCTTGACATTTTCTCACAACTTTAGGTGATTTACAGTCTAGAAAATAAATAAATTTTAAAACTTGTATTAGATCATAAATAAATTTATGATGGATACTATTTGTACCAAGGGAGTTTTTCTGGATCTGAAAAGTCACTCTGATAGATTAAATTCGACAATGTTGTATGGTGTTATGTTTCAGGTTTTTAAAGAAGTGTATATTTTCTTTTTCATCCACCTTTGAATAAGGACGAATAGGAATCCTGAAATCAAGCGGCTTCAGAAGACCATATAACTTGTTTTTAGTTTGTATGAGAACAGAAGAATATCAGCTGAGCTATTATTATTATCATCTATGTGGCAGCTTTATTTCACTTTTGTTACTAAATTTGTTACCAAAATTTTTCTTATTACTGTTTCGCAAGATCGAGTGCAGAATTACATAAAAAACAAAACGATTCTTCTGATAATTTCATGAGATAAATATAATAGAAATTTTGTTGTTATTTATGCTCAGGTTTTTGTCTGCAGGCTCGTTAAACGTAATCCAGGTTTCCCTAACAATGGATTTTTTTTACTGATGATGTCTTCTGCTTAGACAGAGACATAATTGTCAAGACACTTATTACCTAAGTAGGGAATATTCACCACTGCACTAACGGTCTACTTGCCTAAGTTAATTAAGATAATTCAGATGAATTTTCTTGGGAAAGGAAACTTTTTAACAGGAGTCTTTGGTTCTCGCAGACAGTCAGATGTTAAACCGAAACAAAATATTAACTAATAATGTATTCATATCAATTTTCTCCGGTAAACGAGTACAACTAAATATTTTCAGACCAATAGAACCCTTCATACCGACTACTTCAGTAACTAGTACTACTTTGGTGAGAGCAGGCTGCTAGCCAAATTGGTAGACATTAATTTACGTCAGTGTTTATGTCCCAAATATTGATCATGAGGAAAATGAGAACAAAGACTGACTGAACAAACAACCATAGCAGTCTTTGCGTAGGTGGATACAGTTAACATAAAGATGATCTGACATTCAAGAAACAGCCACAAACAGATGAAAGGTTAACTTTCTTTGAGAAACCACCAATAAGAAGACTGTGTTTGTCAGCTAACAATAAGCTATAATAATATACATGAAAATTTATCAATATGTGTTGATTTCCTTAATAAAGGATCTGTTTCCTGGCCCTTGTCTTCTCTTGTTACACTACAAGTTATAAATAAAAATATCGCTCTTAGAATATATGTCAGCACTGTGAAGAAACAAAACCAAGCAAACGTGAATACTTTATATGTACGTGGGCTGAGTCAGTGCCTAGAACTACGCGTAACAGTGCACAAGTACACACTACTTGTATAATTATGATCTTAGAGTTCGACCTTAAGATGAACTATATATGCTAGAAAAATATAAAATAATATTTTGATGAATTGTTTTAGTAATTAATAATAAATTAGTCTACTTACGACAAGGTTCTTCAAATAGATATTCTTTTTCTTGTTCACAGGCAACTTTACCCGACTCATCATTCTTTCTTAGTGCATACGATATTCGCCACACTCTGCGAGAAGTCTTCCCATTTGTACAATTTTCTTTCAGTAATAATGGTAATGGACATGCTAGAACATCAGAAGTTGCAAAATAACACAACAGTTACTTTTCTAGAAACGAACTGAATAAAATTAGAATTTTAACCATTTAGAATCCCATGCAAATATGATAGTTTATATATCTTAAAAAAATATGAGTCCATTTTATTCTACTGATTTTTGTCATTTGCCTATAACCTACAGTACTGGGCATATATATATGTGGGTCGTTGGTATAGCGATTGGGACGCTTACCGACCATGCACATAGTCCGGGGTTCCATCCCCGGCCGATGCACTCCTTTACCTCGCTGAACCAAAAGTAAAGCTGGTAAAGAGGAAAGGTTGGGCATGAAGCTAGAAACCCCATCCTGTAAAGTAAATAAACACTGGTACAGAAACTTCAAGCCAGTAGCTTGAAGCCATATGTTGCATTGGGAAACGTGAAGGAATATATATATTATATATATATATATATACTTCGTCAGCAGAATTTGGCTGCATAACACGATCTCTGTGTTCGTAGACGGTGTTCAACAAAGTATAGGTACCTGACATAAATATTCATTCTCTTCCAAAAGACATTGAGAGTTGTACAATCAGTCATAAAGTACGTTAATTTTAACGAAAAATGCATTACAAGAAAAAAATAATAAACACTTGATTTTACAGTGGATAACAAATTGTTAAAATGAAAATAATAAGCTGTTATTTTTTTTCTAGAATCTTGAATTGACGTAAGTTTACGATCACTCCAAGACATACTTCAGAGGTATTTGTACCTAAAAGACTATTTCCATACCAAGCATTTAAGGAACTATGTATAATGCGACCTCAAGACACGGTTATACAGTATGGTAAATAGTCCTGCTTCTGAAAATGCCTCTGAATATTTACCCAAATACCAACTGTTGTGTTGGCAAGTTTAATAAGATTCATGTGCAGAAATATTAGGACTGAATTACTCAAATCAGTTATCCGGCAGTGTCGAACATGGAATTTTCGCTCCGAAATATCAAAAGAAAATGTACACCTTATAGTTTAACTGAAAAGGCAGCATAAAGAATCTATTAGAATAAGCTGTGAATCGTGCTCAGCTACATCTCAGCTGTTGAAGTTCAGTCAAGTAGTGTAATACAATGGAACATGAAGTATAGTAGTTCATACAATCAAAATGTTACAGATCTCATTTTGAGGAAATGAGATGAAATTTTACCAGTCATTAACTTACTGCATGGTTCCACTTTGTTCTCGATCTTCAGTTGACATTTACAATTAGCGACGAGATAGAAACGCCTCTGGACAGATCTTAGCTTTGTATTTACATCACAGTGACCCCGTGTGACTTTTTCTTCAGGACAAACTAAAGTTTAATTAACAGACAGAAAACATCATACTTACTTCACAACAGTAAATCGCTTGAGGAAAGAATATCTGAAGTACTGAACTATAGTGTTGATACACCTAGAAGTAGCTATAACAGACAACAATATTTTGAATGCCGTAGTGTTTTGCAATTTATATGCTCTATTTTAGCATTTTTCAAACATCATCGAATTTTTCATTTACATAGATTGTAAAATACTATTCTAGTTTATCGTTATTGATATTATTTCTTTTCGCAGTATGCGACTCCACCTCATTAACTCCACATACTGATTATTTCATGACAAACCAATTCACCACAGTTTTACTATCTCCTCTTTAATGCATATTTTGCACTAGTCACCCTTGCCAAACGCTTTTTTTAACCTTGAACCAATTTGTCAGTTTTCATTCTTCACATTGCATTCCGCCCAGCACTCATCTCGCGCAAGTATTTTTTTTTCTTCCTATAACTAATCTGTTATTCCATATGAAAACATACCTGTCAAGTAAATATTCTAATGACAACAAATATTTTATTTTACAACTGTAAGCACCTGAAGAGAATGTATTGAAAGGATTGACTTTTAACATTATTATCGCTTTATTTACAGCATGTGAGCTGGAATCGAGAAACAGATCCTGTTAACTATATACGTCATTACTATGAGACATTTCCTTTTAATGTTTTGAGAAGATTATTTTCCAGTGTTAAAAACGGAAGTCTTTGTTATACGCATGATAAAAATACAGAGATAGTGAATACAAATCAGTATACGTCTTATCAGCGAAGGACCGACTATATGCATGGCAATGCATTATTTACTCCACTGAGTTAATTTAGCTTCTTTGTGTGTGTTTGATATATTTGCGTATTAGAAAATAGGTGGTTATCAAGTATGCTTAGCTGCAAAACTGTGTAATGTTTATTTAATTCACACTAGACGTCCACCTTGGTCAACAAGTTAAGTAACACAACAATGCTCTGTAATGTGACGCACTGTAATTCATATCGACATAAACCAATGTCAAACAAGTTTTTATTGTGATATTACTAGTGCAGAAACAACTGACAAAAGTATGCCTAGCCTAGCAGCTACAGGCGTCACTTATCACAAGTACGAATTTTACTCATGAGACTAAAGTAGCAAGTAACAAGTAATAATATTGACGCTTGACTTTTATATATGATTACTGGACGAGGCGACATACACCTTTTTGTATGGCACAGTTAAAAATAATATATCTGCTGATAATGGTTTGCTTTCTCAAATACTGTTAAACTAGTTGTATAATAACAGAATTCAAATATTCTCAAAATTATATCACTTGTTTCTTTTTCGTTGGTAATTATCATATGGATGTTATTTTCCTATAGACTGCAGTAAATACTTCAAATCAGGCAGACTTCATTAGTGATTGTTTTGGCCGGTTTTTCTCTGCCTTCATCTACAGGTGAACTGAATTCTAACGAATATTTAATCAAGCGTAGCATAAATGATATCAGGCAGATACTATGAAAACTTTGAAGATCCTCTAAGTCTGTTTTCTGTTTGTTAGCCGGCCGCGTAAACTACAGAAACAAGAGTATTTTCATGAAATGAAAGCTGACTGTTGTTTTCTACCTCCCATGAAAATCTAATATGATCTCATATGGTACTGTGTGTAGATAGATTAAAAATTGGGTTGAATTTCATTTATCTAAACCAGCTTTTTTTTTTCTTCTGATTGCAATGAACTAGTAAACTGTAATACAAAATACACCTCACTGTAATTATTGAGACGAATTTCTGAAGAGTTATGCCATAAATGTATAATACTGTCAGGTATTAATTATCTTTTGAATTAAGATTACAAAAACTTACCGACTTTATTTTGGTCAACAAACTTTCTTGTAATACACTGTTTTCTAAACAATTCATAGCGATAAGTAACACGTGATATAATACCGTAATCTTCATGACATTTTTCCTGAAATCTTGGATTTGAGCAACAGCATCGTATATCTCGATGAACAATTTTTTTAATCATTCTATGACACTGACAATTTCGTAAAACCGTTTTCAGTAGAACTGTAACCAAATGACAGGTTTTTCTATCACATACGCGTTTTAAAAATCTCGGGCCGTGCACACCACATACTAGTAAAACAACATTTTTTAAAGATAAGGAAATTAATTGCACGCATAAACGGATATGAAATTTTATTACATGGAACTAAGTGATTATTTCCAAACAGTCTTCGTTACATTCCCACCTTAAACTAGTTAAAAAGACAGTTTATGAAATAAATTATGCTAGTGGACACCACTTTACAGTTTGATACGATTGCTTCTTGGTTCAGGTTTTACTGGGAACATTATCACTCACTAAGAGTCAGTTCTGTGCAACTGAAAAGTTTCAAATAAGACAAAACTCCCCTCCTGAATTCCACCGTCAAACAATATAAGGATTTTTTCACTAAAAATGCTTCTTAACAAGCAAGAGCTGAGCAGAATGCTCAGCTAACTGTATCTCATTAGGTAAGTTAAATTTCACAGCTGCTATCCATATTAAAATGCAGGATATAACACTAAAAACTGAAATTCAGTAGAATCACATGATGACTGTTATTCTTAGTTTCCTGGTTCAAAAAAAGATTTTCCAGACACTTGACAAATATGATACACCCTTATCTACCTTACACTGACATATATCCACTGTTATAACAGTGTTTACCAGTGATGTATTGAAATAATCCATGGATAATAAAACGAATTGTAACTTTCATGAGGCTTTTTCCGTCTTTCTAATGCACGACAAAAAGACCAACATTCTGCAATTTAATTTTTGCAGTCAGTTGCAAAATTGTAAATATTCTGTAAATTCTAACATATTTGTTAGACTTGGATACTGGGGGAGTATGGGATTTCATACTAATTTCTTATTGGATATATCACACAGTGAAACAGTGTTATGTATTAGGTGTCGAACACAACTTATCGTTCACAACCACATCAGTTGTGCTTACAACTTCGAAGAAAATTTATTTAAGGTATAGATTTACAATGAAATGTTAAATATATCAGCGTAATTAACTGCTACACCTGATTTTGTAGTAAAAATGTGCTAACTATCGCGATGTAATATTGAAAACGATTAATATACACATATAAGTGCATGTAGCTTCGTCATAATTATTTTGGTTTGTTTAGTGTGGAAAGGTAGAGGAAGGTGTTCAATAACATATCTTGGCAATTTATAGTATTTTTGTTAGTACACTAACTTACCTACGTCTTTTCGCAATAAATCAGTCTGACTGATGCATTGTCCTTTCTCTTCATCCAGATTATAGGAAATCTTTTTAATGAGTAACAGACTTCCTCCTCGCTGGCATTCGAGATGCTCCACAGGTTTAGGGCAACAACACTTTGACTGAATATACTCCTCTTTTTTCACACACTGACATCCAACTTTATTAAACCAACGTATTGTTGTTGTTTGATTACATGTGACAGGATCACATTTAACGTCCACATTCTTATCACTCGGACAAACTGATTAAAAAGACAACAAAAAAAGGGGCAGAATCAGAGTCGAATTCGCTTCGGAATAGATGGCAATTAATAGTACAGTATACTATTTTACTTTGACCGTACGAAACCATTTAGATCTTAGTCTGACTGAACGGTTGATTAACCTAAACATTCATTCATTCAGTAACCTTACTGATATCAGCCTAACGGTCCACTGATCGAGGTAAAAAATCCAAACAAATACTAAATGTTACATATCAGGTATTAGGACAAATCAGCTTATAGAAAGTCATGTGCCTTGTTACTTGACCTATTGACTTCATTAAAAACGACCCAAGAATCAAAACAATAAATCAACTACCATCTGGTTATCTAATTTGCTTAAAGTTGAAACAATTGTAATTATTATTCTATTGTTCTTACAGATCCACATGTTGACGGTGATACAAAGGAAATCGTCACAAACATTCTGAAGTTCACACATGTCATATGTTTCATCTGTTACCAGGACAATATCATGTAAAAAGAGAGCGACGCTGCATCTGCAATACTTGTAAATGCATACTACTTGCTTGTTACTTACCTACAACTTTTTTCATCCAGATTACTTTCGGTTGGCATATTCCATCTTGCAGCGTATGCACTATTTTCTTCTTCACCAACATGCCTTGTCGTTCGGAACAGATAGGACTTTTCATCGTTTTATCCAGATGTTTACAAGCTTTGAAGGTAAATCACGTAGAATATTCACTTGTCAATAATAAAGACACATTAAAGAAGAAACACTGAAAAGGTTTAATCATTTTTAGGCTTAAGAAGCCGTCAATTGTTCAGTCTCTTTTATCCTCTCTGTTATCTAGAAAGGGGAATGATCAGATTATCTAATGGGACTGTAAAGTGACAAAACATGACACTGCTGTAAAGAAGTTATCTTCGTATTTATTTCCCTTCCGGCCAGTATATTTATCTGTCAGATGTCAAAACTACTTCAGATGGACAGTCAGAGTTGAAATGTCAACAGTTATTGTTGGTCATTCTCATTCGAAGAATTTCGATGTCAAAATAATTGGAAACTGACCGAACATCACTACAAACGATAAGACGATATCAGTCATAAGTTTTTTTTCAGTTCGTTGATCGATAAGAAAACATATGAAACAAAAGCTTTAAAAGAAACAATAATTCCTCGAAAAATTGATCAAGAGGAACAGTATCATTTAATCAGATCTCTAACGTTCCGAAAAATTTCTCACAGAAAATAAATCAACTTCGCCTACCTGTGAAAACAAACTTAAATTGATGTCCAAATCAATACTGCTACCTGTCTGAATGTGTATGCATAAAATCAAGACTCATAAAGTAGGAAAAAGTTCTGGTGTAATAAATAATTTTAATAGAATCACATCAGTCAGATTATTCAGAACACAGAATAATAGCAGTGGGTGCGTACTGCCGATGATTCCCAAACTAGGATGGAACAGCAGCTGTCCAGTACTCCCTGGTTTTCAATGGTTTTCTAACTGATATCAATCCGTGATCAACTCGTAAAACATAACTAATCCTTACAAACCAAAAACTATAGAAATAGCATAAATGTTTGAAAAACAACACAGAAGTGAGGAGATTGATGACACGGTTACTACACAATAAGATAGAAATTTTCAGACTGTTTCTTTGTTTTTAAGTGAACGCAATGGAATATGATCTAATTCAGTCAAATAACTCCATATAATTCTCCCCTTTGAGGGATTTGAACAAATCGAGATAATATAGTTTCGTTTGCTATGGTTTCGTGGGATGTTTTCAACTGCTTACAACCTAAACAGTGATAAATGATATTAATAATAGAAGATATGAGTATGATTTGACACGTTTACAATGAGTTACTTTTAAGAATTATGTGTGGCGCAAGTCTGGAATGATGTGAGAGGTTAAATTAGGCGTTCAAAGAATTCGGTATTTATGGGATAATGTGTTGAATATTCTTGAAGAAGGCATATGATGAGAGTTCGAAATGGAGATGGAAACAAATTTTAACAAGAATTATTATTCTAGAATGACATATTACCTAATTACTGGAGATAATTTGAAAGCTGACCGACGATCACATGAAAAGAAAAAAGAACAGGATAGAAGACATAGTGGCCCAGATGACGTGATAGGGCTACAGAACTTTGTTTTGTAAATGCAATCACCAATATACTGCGAGGTTGACCATTGATTGTCTCTTTCTGTGTGTACATATTGGCTGCAGTCAGCTGATGGCGATCGCTTCAGCAAAACGCATCAGACTTTTACCTGTTAGTTGCTAGGATCATTTTTAGTCTGTTCACAAAATGATGTGTTAAAACAAATTCCATGTAAACGCACTACATAATATCTGTGAGCTCTATTATCTTAAGTTCAGTCTTCACCGTGTTCTAGCAGCAATATCATCACTGTTGTAAGGTATACAAGAATTCACAAAGTGATAGAAATAATCTTACGTTATCCTGTTATATTTATTCATTAATTCAAGTTTCTGAGTGAAAACATTGTTTTATGATTATTTTTATTTCGTGATCATATTAACGATTATTTTTCAAATAGTTATTAAGAAAACTTACAACAAATCCTTTTTCGATATTTAGTTTTTTGAACACAATTACACTGAGATGTTATTTTATCCCATGATGTAACAGTGTCCAGAGCTATTCCATTGGCTAGATTGCAAACACCTTTAATGATATTTGTTTCAGTTGGACAAGCTGTAAATGAACAACAAATTATGAATGAAATTCTCTGAAAAATTTTTATTGAATTTATGTATTATTTTCTTTTATTCCTTTACTTTCCCATCATTGGAACATGGAGCTTCAAGCTAGATCGTCTCTGAAGTTTCGGTAGCAGTGATGTTTACGGGATGGCGTTACTATCATCACGCCCAGCCATTCCTCTTTAGCAGTCTTATTACTGGCTTAGCGAGGTAAAAAACTGTTTCGGCCGGGGATCGAACCCCGAAACAAATGTGTAGTTGGCGAGCATTCCACTGCTGTGCCACCGACGCTTTATTCGAGCTCTTAAGCATATCTATATTTGCCTTTTTTGAGTTCTGTAAACATTTCAGTTAGGATGCTGTTATACACACTCGTTCTTTTTAAAGAAAATGTTTGGGATTTTTAATTTCATCGTTTCAGTCTTGCTAAAATCAAGAAATCGTCAATATATACTAATTATTCAACGGATAAGATGCATACGCAACTGTAACAATACGCAGCCGGGATTCGAATCTCGGACCACTCGCAACTGAAGCGAGTATCATACCCCTAGACCACTAGGCCGCGCCCCATTGTAAACAAAATCACGCTTCAAACTATCTGGAATTGATCAGTTGGGCTCAGTGACAGTAAGGAAAGGCACATGTAAGGTGTTAAATTAAAGAAGTGTGGTAAAACGTGCCTGCATAGCTGGATGGTTTTCGACACTAACTAAAGTAATCGTATTACAAATAACCTTACCACTGAAGGAGGCAGGTTCGAATCAAAGAGAAAATGAGTTTTTTCGAGGAGGAAAGAGCTAAAGGTGAGCCTTGCTGATGAAGGCCAGAAAAGTCTAAGTACAGACTGTTTAGTGTTTACTGGATGCTTTGGGAGTTCATCTTCAAGTGGATTCAAATCAGAAATATTAGACTGTAAATAGAAATCAATGACTGATTGACTTGTACATATAAAATTAATCTACATACACAAATCAATATGTTTCTTAACATCTTTGAATTCACAGATTCTCCTCTCTGCGTTAAAATGATACATTCGATTAATAACTTCAATTCTTCCATTAGTTGGAATACACTTTTTAAGTATATTGTTCTTCACTGCCTCACGTCGACAACAACATGGACGCATTTCGATGATTGGATGTAGACGATGACACTTCTTATCCTTTGCCTCAATGGCCCATCGCGTTGTCGTTGTTTGCTGGAGACATGTGATTGGATCACACGGTTTGACATGAACTGAAGGGGATGGGCAAGCTGTAAAGGAAAATTGACTGGAGGTTTATATGAACTAACTGGAAATGAAGCACTTTCAGCATATAAAGTTTGAAATAGAATGGTATGAATGGAGAAACCGGAAGTTTGATTAAACAACCTTTAGACATTTGTTATGCTAATAAGTATGAATTCAACAGAAATTTATGTTTAACACCAGTTATCAGAGACTTCTATATTAAAATAATAGAGAATACTAGTAGCTGAGGTGGATGATTTGCAATCAGTTTTGTTCTATGAGCTGGTTGGTTTAGTTGCGGAGCTTTCGTCGTCTTTCTGGACAACATCTACAGCTCAAGTTTTAGCCAAACATGAACTGATTTAAATTCACTTTGAGGAATTTGTTTACTAGATAAATCACACAGTGAAACAGTATTATTTACTGGATTAAGTTTCGAGCACAAATGACTGTTCATAATCATATCACTTCGAGACTTCTTTAGTGTTTAAGTGTAAATGACTCATGTATATCAAGAAAGCTTCGTTATTACCTCTTCGCGACTTGGTTTACAAGTAAGTAAGGTTTGGTAGTCAGAAACAGTTCGTATAATCTATTTCATTCTAATTAACTTGATACAACATAAATCAAGAACATTAGAGTCCAAAACAATGGAATAGTAGATTTGTATTAGGTTAATGACCGCTAGGGAAGTTAGAAATCAGTTGTTGTTCAGTTTTAATACCAAAAACTGACGTTTCAATGTCTGGTATAAAGTGACTTTTATCTCAACTTTAATTCTTACCTACATCTTAGGGAAAGGCATAAAGATTAGTAAATTAACATGTAAATGAACCGTTTACAGTAAAATTTATATTAATTGTACTGCATACCACATATTCTATCGCGTTTCTCTCGATAAACGACTTTGCATTCACAATCTTCAACAACCGATCGCGTAACCAATATCGGCTGTTTTCCGGATTGTTTGTTACATGGACCAATAGGTATTACATCTTGAGCTTTACATAAGGGAGGCGGTAAATTCTTCACAGAATTGACTTTGACACATTGCCCATTTTCAAAATTCCAGCGTTCAGTTGTCTACAAGTTGAACAGATTTGGCAAGTTAGATATCTGTTCACTTCATGACTTATTATTACTTTAAATATATATATATATATATATATATATATATATATGTATATGTATATATGTAATTATCAATGTTGAATATCACTCAGTTTGCCATCATCAATCCAACAGTGATGAGACCCATAATAACAGTAATTTCGTTTTGCAGTAAAAGTAAATAATAATATTAATAATGCATGTTTGTCATGTAAACTGCTTTAGTAGCAATAATACTACAAGTAAATATGCTTTTTCTCCAAAATCGAAACAAAGTGATTGAAAAAAAATTAGAATAACTCTAAACTCTCTGAGTCAACTACAACGAGATTTCAAGATTTCAGAAAAATATGATGGTCATTATAAAATAATTTAATCTGAACTCAGTGTGTTTAGAAGATCAGAATAAGATTTCTCTAAATATTTCAGCAAAGAGTTTAGGATTTTGACTAAAAAAAAACAGTATGTATAATCAAATACCAACGGATACATTAATCTTGACAAGAATAAAAATGAAGACCAATATAAACAAGCTTACCAGTGTTATAGTTCCACTTGGTGAACAGTGTTTTTTACTTCCAGCTATACGATTTGTACAACAGCATAATTGTGGTGCAGTGACCAACTCTCTGACACATTTACATCCTATTTTGTTCCATGTATAACTTCTTACCATTTTTAAACATGAATTTGGGTCACAATACTGGTTGGCAGTTGACAAATTTTGCTCAATCTTTTGTGGACAAATTACTTGCTTCTCTTCAATCTTAACTTGTTTTACACAGCGACCATTTTCTAATCTATTTGTTTAAAGAATGCTTGGTTTTAGTAAAATTGTATTATTAAAATCATTAATAGTATTAGCCATTAGATACCTTCTTAATTGATGTAATGTAAAATATATTATAGTAAGTGGCTCTTTTCAAATAATGTGTGTGTTTTTTAACACAAAATGATATCAAAACGGTTGCAAACAAATTGTTGAATATTCTTCAGAACTTCTTACTGATATATGTCACCGAAATTCAAGACTTGGAGTAATCTCCTGGTTGAAGCTGATCTCTGACTTTTTACATCATAATTCATGGTACTACACGCTACTTAACAAGTGTTATTTCAAAATAGACCTTAGTTACAAAATATTCAGCTAAAAAGAATTAATGATGGAACAGTCATTTTAACAAATACATAGACAAACTTTTGTACATGAGTATTTGTGTTCACTTAATGAATATTCATAGCCTAATGGCATCTTTATTTAGGCGCCTAAGGAAAAAGTGGTTTATTAATTGAAACTCAGTTAGTCATTTTAAAACCTGACTGAAGGTTTTTAATAAATGATACATCAGACTAAGAATACAAATGAAATAATTACAGTTTAAGTATTTTGCTAGTACATTAGTAGTTGAAGCATCTACTGATTCATTTCTATAGATTATTTATATTTATTCACTCACCGAACTCAAAGAAAGTATCAGACATTCCCTCGTCAAATATCACATTGTATCTCGAGTAAATGTAATACACATTTGCATCCTAATCCTCTGGAGCGACCACACAGTTCCCTTTATTCATATTAGGCACTTTGACTGAATGATTTAAACAGCTGAATTTCATACAATAGGTAACGAGTTCAGTCTGCATTACATCTAGTGAAGTTTCAACACCCAATTAGTACCATAACTTCACACAGTAATAGACTGAAAACTGTTGGGTTACGAGGTGAACACGCTATAATATATCAGCTAGATTGTAATTCAGTCGTCTATGTTTTGTAGCTTCTGTCAATTTTTGAATAAATTTTATTCCACTACTTAATAATGACTATTCACAAGATGAATTTCTTGAAGTTTTGATAAGAAATAAACACGTATACTATTCTCTAAGCTGAATATCAGAACATCTACTCGTCAATGACGTTGGTTGGCAGTGAGTATATAGTATGAGTTGTGGAAGCTGAAAATCAAAGCTGCTGAATTATAATCTAGTGGTTAAGATACAAAACGTCTACCTCGAAACCTTACTATACTGTGCTACACATCTTATGAAGAACTATTTTAAGGTTTAGTGAGATAGTTGTTTATCATTATGTTCATGTAACAATTCCTCCCTATGCAAATATGTATTATCCGTACTATCACGTGAAAGAGTTACTGGGGTCTGCTTATTGTTCATCTTGGATAGACATCTACAAATGTTCCCAAATTTAATCATATTGCTATATATTGGCTTTACTAACCAACTATTGCAAGTCTGACTTCCCTCCTCTGAAATCCTAAAAATTCACTGAAGAAATTCCTTTAAATATAAACAATTTGTATGTGTTTTTAGATAAATCATGCGCGAAGAGTTAAGATAGTCTCCTAAATTTCAGATCATCATACTCTGAAGTCTCAATCATCTTTTTTTCTCAGCAAGCCCCTTAGATGTCTTATTTTTCATTTACTTACTGTTGAATTTATAAACTAAGTTTTCCAATGAATTCCATTTGTTCTCAGTAACAAATTGGACCGACCACTAAGTTTCAAAGTGACTACATCGTCATCATACTGCGATTATACAAGTGGTATTCTGCATTTCTTATGGCAGGTTAGTTTATAATTGGATCCATATTTTGATTTGCTCTGGAGAACTATACATTTCTGGGTCTAGGGCTCTACTTTTAATTGATCCACGGTTGCACACTTAATCATCGCCTTAACTCCAGTGCATTAGGAAATGTCTTAATGTAATCTGCTTTTCACTTCATTTGATTTAAAACTGTTTCTAGGTTATCAGGAAGAGTGATTCCATGAACCATTTACAACACTTCTGTAAATGGAGCGATAAAATTGCTTTGTAGCATTCAAATGAGTAGCAGTAATTCTAACTTCCCGATAAATGTGTTATATATTCCCGAAATATGTAAAAATAAATGGAAATGGAACCTCTGTAAAATTTAAAAAGAACAATGGTAAACCAAGATGAAAATTCAACATTTCAACTCACTCATAGTAAATATGCTTATTTTCAATAATTCCTTTGTCCGTTAGACACCTGCTTCCCAATTGTTTCGGAGCCGGACAGCAACAACGTACGTATTGAATTCGTTCTACACGTTGACACTCACAATCTTTGATCACATAGCTAATATGACGTGTTGGTTTTAAGCAGGTACCAGTTGTATCACATGTACCCTCAATTACGTAAGGACTTGGACATTCTAGATAAAGTTATTTTAGTAAATATATTTTAGTGGAGTATACATTTCTAATGACATTCTATTGTTGGTTAACATTAGAAACCTAAATTTTCATACGTCTAACCAGTACTTATGCTTATTGATAACGCAGTAACGTCAGTATATATATATATATATATTAGGCCAGCGAACAGAGTGCATAAGACCTTTTGTTGAAAAACCGAAATCACTCCAGTGCTTTGAGATGAAGCTGTAAACTAGCAATTCAATTAAAAACTCACTGAATAAGCATATCATACATTTTGGATAAAAGATAAGAGAATATTTACGTTTCTGCCATTAATCTAGCATACATTAAAATGATAAAAAGTCTACTATCTACATGTACTCAGTTTTCAAGGTATAAATTACCGTCTACTCAGATTACTTTCAGATTTTGCCACGACTGATATAATCATGGCATGAGTCAACAGCCTGATGCATGAAAATTGACAGTATTGCTAATGTTTGGGAATATCACCTTACTTCTTTCTGTTAAATGTTTAGAAATGCCTGCTGTAAATTAAAACACTGATTATTGAAAAAAAGATATTCTTTCTGATAGCTTATTCCCTAGGTTCTGCAGTTATGTGAACATATTAGTTAGGGAATGATTGCTACTGGTCAATTTAAGGCTTTTACTAACGGTGAATCAGAGGATTTATGTTTGTATGTGAGTAAAGTTTTACTGTTCACTAATGTTAATAATAATAATTTTTCCTTCAGGTTCTCAGTGGAACATAGGGCTTTAAGCTAACAGCTTGAAGTTTCTGTATCAGTGTTTATTTTTTTTTTACAGGATTAGGTTGCTAGCCGCATGTCCAACCTTCCCTCTTTACCAGTTTTATTTCTGGCTTACCAAGGTAAAGAACTGCTTCGGTGAACGGGAATCGAACCTTGGACCATGTGCATGGTCGACGAGCATCCTAACCGCTGTGCCACCGACGCGTTCACTAATGTTAGGTTGTGTAAATAAAAAACCACGAAATTGAATTCAGAAAACAAAATGGTTTGTTCTTACGACTATCATCTAAATTTTGTTGGGAAAAAGATGGAATGTATGTACAGAACGAAAGATTTCACCTAAAATTTATGATGTATAGTATATCATTTTGAAATCGACTTATTGCACAACAGGCCAGGGTTACCACAATGACTGGTTTTCGTTAACACAGTTTCCAAAACTTAAAGCGAATTCGTATGCTTTCTTTGGTTTGGAATATTTCGTACCCGGTGGCTTTCAGCAGTTTATTAGATACACCACAGGAAATAATTATTCAATACTTGGCTTGTGATGTGTTAATAACAGTTATTCCTTAACTAATATGGGTGTAAAATACTATGAATGTTTTTCTATTCACTACTGTGTTTTTTAGCTGACTAATAGTCACACTGAACTATTATATAACCAAACTTCCAACAGAACAAGCCATCGGAAAAATGCTGTTAAATGTGGAACTGAAACCTTCCCTGTACTTAATCCGATGATACACAACGAAATGGAGGACCACTGAATTCATAGTGTGTACTAAGAATAGCAATACATGGAATGAAGACATCACTGGCAAATCTAAGCTACCTCCCAAATATTTGTTTTGTTTAAAATACTATAGTTAGCTACTTGAAAGCATATAGAGAGAATACGACCCAGAAAATATTACCTGATTTTGACTAAAAATTCAATAAACGAGGAGAATACAGCCACAGAAAAACCATTATTCAAATGAAACAACATACTTGGACATTTACGACGGACTAGATTCTCCTTAACACATCGCTCACTGACATTATCAAACTTATAAATTTGCTGTATAACTATTTTGCAGTTTCCAACACACAAAAGCCGTTGGTGTGATCGACTAAGGCAACCTGTAATTTAAAGAAATGATTAATTAAATATGTTTAAAAGGATAGTAGTAATAATTAATTGCTTTAGTCGAAGGTAGCACTCTTAATTCACCAGTCATATTCTGTATCAAAAATCGATTTATAGTGAATGCAAGAAAGGTAATATAACTCAAAGATGTAGAGTGACTGGATTTGCTTGTAGAACGAAGGTGAACTAAAGGCTAATATTTATTGTAAATTCTAACAAGTATGAAAAAGGATGATTTCTTTATTCAGTGATTAGGTCAGATTATCATCATCGTCAGCATCAAATCAGCGTCAATCTCGCCAGTCACGATAATAGAATCTAGCTGGATTCTGGTGCCAGCCACCACCTATCAAATAACATCAAAGTTGAAATTGAATGCCTCATTAAAGAGTCCTTAGTTTCAAGAAACATTTTGTATGTTGGAAGTCGTAAGTTATTGGGTCAAGGTAACCTTGTGAGTGGAGCAGAGACTTTGTACTCCTGAACAGACTGAAACTACTATAATTGGTTCTCTGTTTAGAATACCTGCTATGTAAAACAAAATTGTTGTTTATAACATATTTCTTCGATTGCTTTTTGTATTTAATTACTTAAAAGTATGAAACTAATTGACTTTTTGGAGGGAAATAGGAATTGCACAATCATATTTCCAAAGGAGTAATAATTATTACTTAGCTTTTTAAGAGAACGCATACTTGAAAACAGTATGCAACACAATACAAAATATCTTGAAGGAAGGGAGCATTAAGAGCTTGTAAAACTCATTAACTTACAACATTCACGTTCCTCTTTCACAATCTGATACTGTTTACATTTACAGTCATTTGGATCAACTATTGATTTGATCAAGAATATGGGTCGTCGACAAGTTTGAGGTCTACACTCACCAGGTTTTATCTTTACTAACTTTGAACAGCCTATAAAACAGAGAAAATGTTTTGCAGAGACCCTAAGTTATTCAAAAGCCTCAGCAAAAAAACAGTCGGTTTTATGATGTGAAAACATCTATGCGGTCAGGGAACCCATTCGTTTTCTCCAAACACATGTACAATAAAGACACAGGGAATTCCTTGTTAAATAATTCTCTTTTTTGACTACTGATTGCAATTTAAAACAAAAATTGTGCACATTTGATTAAAGACTTCCATAACAAAATTTGGAAAAACACGTATAAGTCAACAACATAGTTTTCATTTAGATTCCGCCAAGATTTAGTCTAATATACATAACTGTACGATTAGATATTGAATCATCCCTTAAATCTTATCACATCTTCATTAAGCGGACTATTCGCTTTTCTTAGCCTTCAGTCATGTATGTTATAGTTAAGCCTGATGGTATCTAATTTAAAACAGTGCTGTTCGCTTAAATGTATTGTTCTGAATTTTACGACGGGAGTAATCAATATTTTGAAATCTAAACAGACAATAATAACTTGTCGATAGGATGATAAGAATGTGCATATAAGTTGTGGGGTTGGTCACCATTATGATAATATTAATAATAGTTCACTCGCTAGGGGAGAAATAATGACTGAATGAATAGTTTAGACTTCGCATTTCTCCTCAACCATATTCAGTAAACCAATTACAAAGACCATTAGTGAAGATTCGATGGAATGCGACACATAACTCTCAGTGTTTTCGTTTTGTTTACCGAGTGGCTAATATAAAATAAATGCGACAAACTAGAGCTTCTCATGGTGTTCTATCTGCTCCTTACTAAACCACTATTATAGATTGTCTATGGTAAAACCAACACAATTATCTCCACAGGAGTAACCGAAATGAGAAATGCATATAGTTAACTCCTTCGTTTGAGTCACAATCATTCGCTGAATAAAACAACAACAGGTTTACCAAATAAAGTGTTCTCCGTATGATTTTGGCAAGTCTCTGGAACAGAATTTCACAGAACTAGACTAATCACTGTTAAATAGTCACCTAATAAACAGAAACTTCTTGCCTTCTGTTATCGTATGTGGTTTCCGATTTAATTTTTTCACGTTTATTAGTAAAACTACTCGTATGCTCCACTAAGGAGTGGTGAATATATTCAAAATGTTTTTTCTTAAATGATATTTGAAACTTACTTTTTCACTCAGCTCTTAAGACATTTAGCAATATTTCTTTAATATTTAGTGCAAAAATAACCACAGAAGCTCACGTACTGTCCTGAGAATGTTTCTTTTCAACAACAAAATCCAGTCGCCTATGAATTCTAACTTCTGTTAGTCGATGAATAAATCAGAATTCAAAATTCATAATTGTTTATGAATTCTTGTCGAAGAATTCCCAAAATAAATTGGTTGCATTACTCTATTTATATGTGTATGGATGACATTCGATCAACTAATAAGTATCAAAATATTAGACACATCAATAAAAGCAAATGGACTCAACCTTGGGTAACCAAACTTGCTGTACTAGCCCGTTAATTCGTTATATTAACAACGTTGATAATGCAAGACACCTGCCATTACCAACGTAGAAGATCCTCTTAATTAATATTGGCTCGCCTTTCCATTGATGAAACCAAGCTAAAAAGAAATTTAACCTACCAACTGGGACAGTGCGTTTCTTGGTAGACCTTATACACTTCCAGTCTTCCAGATGTGATCGATGAACGTAAATGTCTAATTGTCCGTTCCTGCAAAATGTCTCCCTCTCCTCTTTTTTCGGACAGCCTATACCAAAAAAAAGTAGATGGTTGTGACTGATTATTATTTTTAAAGAAGTGATAAATAATATTATCATAAAAGCCTTAATTTTTCGTCTGGTGGTTCACACATCCGAAAGAAATGGATTTGCTTACTTAAATTGTTAACTGTGTATTTCAGTGAATTAAATTTCGTATTCGGATTTGTAATGAACATCATCTGACTCTAAATTTAATTGTAAGCGTAATATAACTTCATGTTAGATAATAATAAAAACTGTATCATACAGAATTTTCTTATTATTATTTCCTTTAGTTGCGAATGGAACATTGGCCTTTAGCCCCACATCTTTAATGCACTCGGCTCGCTCTGCCATCCTTTCCATCTGGCCCCATGACTGTTCAGAAGTTTTCATCTCCTCATCACATTATCTTCTCCACGTCACCCTCAGACCCAAGCCCAACTCATCGCTTCCTACTCAAATTCCATTCTAGGGCCTACATTTCGTGAATTGTCACACGACAGCCTCTTCAAAGTAGATCCAAATCATTTCTGCTTCCTTCTGTATACTTGTCGAGAGATAGTTTCTTCAGTATTTCACTACCCATCAGTTTCTTGTTGCTTAGCTTTTCTGTACCCAGCAAAAGCAGATGCTGATGGAAGTCTGCAGCAGTTCGTTAGGAACGTCTGTCATTAATATTAAAAATTAGGATATTGTTCCATGTACTGAGTACTTGAAATCTCCACATAGATTTAAGAGTGCTAAACAATAACTAAGTAGTATATTCATTCTACATTATTCACAGATTAATTATGAACCTTCAAAGTCAGTCATTTAGAGTTAAAGAAAAACACTTTTGGTCTAATTTTGGCACTGTAAAAATACTAAACCGTAGGCTACTTAAATAAAGATGTAAAATATCCAAAGAAATTCTTGAGTGAATTTAAAAAAATATGCATTTTATTTCAGTTATTGATATCTTTAACTGAAACTTGCTCTCTTGGTCTGACAAAATGATAATTTTAAAAAGCAAATATCAGGCTGCGCAACTGTAATGATAAGATATTCTTTCCTCGCTCATGCGAGAGCTTGATAAAACCTTTGTTGAATGTAATCATCAACCAGACCTTGCAATTCAGTTTGTAATGCGTGGGTCTACCAATTCGCAATCTACTTGTTCAAATTCTGTTGTAAAACACGTTTCCATTTAAGAGTGTGGAATATTCCCATACTATGAATTAAAAGTCACTCTGAACGAAGAATATTCTTTTCAGTAATTTCAAACCATTACAAGTGAACTTGGTTTGGACATATATAATTTCTCTTCAGGTTCTTGCAATTATAAAATATAATATTTTTTGTCGTTACAATAAAGGCCAGTTGTGCGGCGGATACATTTTTAACGTAGAATAATAAATTAGTTATGGGGTGTCAAATTAAATAGTCATATATGTGTGACAAACGTGCTAGTGGTATTTTGACACCCCATAACTAATCTGTTATTCTACGTAAAAAATGTATCCACCGCATAACCGGCCACTATTGTAACGACAACAAATATCATATTTTATAATTGTAAGAGCCTGAAGAGAAATCATTGAAAAGAATATTCTTCGTTCAGACTGACTTTTAAATTTTGACCCTTTATAATCTGTCACCTTTAATCACTGGCCATAGAGGGCACTTCCTGAAGCGGACAAAAATGCTATTGGTCGGTGTTTACTTATTAGCTATTCTATCTATTGTTTTAAATTCGTATCGGGAAATAAATGTTTTCTATTCTATCACCACTAACTTAGATCAGAGGTTGTGCAAAAAAATTTTTATTGGTCAGTTTTTCTCTATTGAGTTAAGAGACAAACTCGGCAATTATCTCTCACACAAAAGAATTACATTAGGCCAGTTAAATAGCAGAATTTATATAAGTGAAGGGTTTTGAGTATAGAAACATTTTAACACCTTTATTCAAGACCAAATTTCTCCTATAGAATTAAACAACCTATGGTAAACCATATTTCCACTTGAATAATTTGCAATATTTGCGCAGCGATATGGTGATTTCTGTGAATGAAAATTAAATAAGATATTGAACTGTCCAGTACCACTTTTAACTACACATAGACTACAAGCTACTGAATGCATTTAATTTGGTCGAAATGCGGTCATCATAGCTTAGTTCACACTGAAGAAATTAAATAGCTACCATCCTTTACACCGTGGCTATTATGATTAAATTTGTATTTCCAATGAGGATTTCACAATGAAGGGACTGAAGTTAAAAAATTACCGAGAACCAATAGCCTTTTTGTTCCAGTTTAGAACTCCTCAGAAGTGAACACCCCTGATATTAGTTAAAATTCTTAAGAATCCAAATCTTGAAAATTCGTACTGTTTAGTCAAGGATTTCTTAAGGAGAACATTTTCTCCGAGGAAAGGGAAACGAAAAGGATTGTTAACAGAATCTACTAACTTACAGCAGGTTCGTGTGTGAATAACTTTTTGAGTTAATATACACCGACAGTTTTTAACTTCATACATTGAACTGATAAAGGATTGTTGACATGTTGTTCTATCACAATGCCCCCAGTAAGATTGTGGTGCTTGTGGATAATTACTACAACCTACAATTAGATCAAAGAATGCATTATTGACAAAGAAGTAAAAGCAATTGCAAGAAAACAACCACATTTGCATACGTGTCGTTTATTTTAATAATAATACCTCGTTCTCATTTTCCACTGCATGTTAGATTTAGTACCTTTTCTATTATCTTTAATAGCAAACTATCTCAGGAGACTAAAGAACCTATTAGGCTGATAACATTATCATACAAACACTTCCTGACTATTAGTGTTTTCTGCCAATGTCGGAAGCTCAGTGAATTATCAGAGATAGGGTGGATGGTGACTAGCACTGGAATCGAGGATGCTCATTTCGTCCTATTTTGGACTTGTCACTGGATGTATCTGCATTATCCAGTGCGTGATGGTGTTCCCACTAAGGCTGGATTCCACTGCTGGTTACCACTCACCAAACTAATTCAAGTTATTCGTGAGACGACAGGTGGTTGACAAATAAAGTTCACCTTCATTTCATTTGAATACCTAAAGTAACCATATTAAATATCTGGAAATCAGTGACAGGTCTTCGGAAGAAGCTTTATGATAAAATCCAACCGTTTAGGCTCATTGAGTACTCCACTAAAAAAAAAACTTGGAAAAGCTCACGCCATTATATATTTTTCGTTATTATAAAGGTGCTTTGAACCGTAGTCGGAAGACGGTTCATGAAGTCACAGATACATTAACAGAATAAAAAAATATATACTTTTATTATCTTCATGCATATGAACACTGGAAACCTCTAAAAATATAGATGATTAATTTGCCATTGAAACCCTGAGTTTTCAGCATTCTCACTGGTTATTACTAAGAATCGTTCAACCTTCATTACCTCCAGTTACACTTGAATTTCGCATTCACTTCGACGAGTCTAACAAAATTCCACAGCAACCTATGGAATGCTCCACCTGTCAAGGTATCTTGTCAGTTTTTTAAATTATGAAAAATGATCATCAGGATATTAGGGCGAAAACACATGAGTTTTTTGTATTTAATAGCAATTCCCCTCCTTTTTTTTACTTACAAGAAGCACTACTGCAAACATGGATCCGTTGAAGAGAATATAAGTATATCGTGAAAAACAGAACTAAAGCTTATGGTGAGTATGTGAATGACAACTTTTTAACATGTGAGACCTATGTGTAACAAGAGATAATAATTCCCTGAAGTTATGATCCAGGCATATTTTAGTTCTAATCGAATTCAAGATATTTTCGAAGTCTCGCTATTTAAATGTTTCAGTGTGTAAATTTTCATTCAAGTACAAAATTAACTTGATATCTAAGGATGTTCTGTTGGATATATTGCCTTTCATACGTATTTCTTATTGTTCCTTCAAGGTACTCTCTTCCTCGTTTCTAATATTACTGTAGCTTTATAAATTGTCCTTACACTGTGAATTTACGGCAAATACATCATACTGCTGAGTTTACCTGAATCAATAAATTGAGGTTAATTGACAGTTAAGTAATATTATTCATTATTGATTGCATTAACTTACTCATCTGATGCCTGACAGTTCTCACACGTCTCATGCATTCATGACCACATCGATGTTGTTTTGTTGTATAATATGTGATATCAACAATTAATAAACGATCATTTTCACATGTGTAAGATAAACTCGGTTTTGGACAGCCTAGGAGAGATAAACGAAAATGATAATAAGTAGCATTAACTTATAATGTTCAACAAAACACCAAGCGCTCAAAGTATTTTCCTGCAAATGAAATCATGGTGCTGTGACGTGAGTGCACACTGGGCAGACAGGGGAAGTGACGTTAGCAAGCTGATAAACAGAAAATCTATGGGTCTTCGGTTCCCAAAATGTAGAATGTTAGTTCGGGTAATAAAAATCTAATGTCCGATTCATTGGTGAATTTTCGTTTTTGGTTGGTACACAGGGAAAGTGAAAGAATTAATACTGCCCTTCGAAAAGAACTTTAGTTAAAAGTAACATTCCAGTCTTTACTCTTTTACAGTGAACAATTATAGTTTTTGTCAGAATTGTCATCAACTTTCTTGTGTTCTATTTTATTGAACTTTTGGACTCTGCTGGGTGATTACAACTGCTATAGTCGTTAAAGTGAACAGTGATCAATCTTCGTTCACCGATATACAGATGTGTGTATGCTAAGTTATGTCGTGAATCTTCAGTATACTCTAAATACTGACAAACAGAGCTGCACACTAACTGCATCTTTTGCATTTTTGAACAAATGAAAGTGTTTTTCAGATTTCCCAGTTAACTGACAGTGACCATAGACATATCACATGGCTATTTGGTTTATAAGGAGGAAGTGTCGACTCACAGTAAAGTTTAACCTACAAGGCAGATCATCATATACCTTTGAATTAAAGTCATAAGTGGAAAGTGAGAAGTTAGTGAATATTTTGTAAATAGTCTAAAAGACAGCCAAGATATTTGTATTAAACATTCTATATGCATACGAAAACTTTTTGGTAACGATAAAGTCATTGAATATTAGGAATCTACTGTAAAGCAATTTTAAGATAATAGCAGATAAAAACCAACCAGATGAATTATAAGTTACTAGCAAATATACTGTGCACAAGGGATTAAGGAACCCAAATTAGATGGAGGATTTCATTATAAGCTGACATCAGTGAGAGAACCACTGGTAGAACCTGGGAGTACTGGACAACTGTTTCATCGTAGTTTTGGACTGTTCATCGATACGCACCCACTTCACTCACTTCAAAGGACTCCTGCACCAACAACCAGCTGCAACTCGTCCAGCAGCCATAGTACTGTCAGGGGACAGCAGTCCTCTGACAAAAGCAGAAGTTTTGAACGCCGTGAAGCTACTGAAGGCAGGGTTGGACGGAATTCTTCAGAAAACACGGAAAAATAATCCCGAGACCTTAGAGGATATCCTTACACCACTACTGCAAGAATTTTGCTAAGAAGGAAAAGTACCTACTGGTTGGAAGAAAGATTACCTTATCGAAATTTCAAAGATAGGCAAAAGCTGGCACAGAATCTTGCTGTAGTCCACCCCAACTAAAATGTCAGGCTAGGAGACATTAAAAGATTCTCCGAATGCAGAATACCGCTCGGAACACGCTGGACTAGGAAAAGGCAAATCATGTGCAGCTTAAACTGCAACGCTACGCATTGTAATCGAGCAGATCTTAGAATGGTAATTCAGAATAAATTTCTAAGCATTTACAGCATGCTTGTGATTTACCTTGAACATTTAAAGTAATCCACTGAAATTTATCACAGAATTCTTTCATAAGAAGTCATTTGCTCTCCTTCACAAATATCACTAGTGTATTCTTATTGTTTAACTACCGTTGTGTTAACTTACCACAGCATGTACACCTTTTTTTACTGACTAATTTCCAACCACATTTACAGGTACTTGGGTTGTATTCGTTCGCATATGTTTCTAATCCTCTTGTACACGTGGAGCGATCACATTTAGTTTGAAGATGTCGATAGAACAATGTCTGATATTGTTTTGACTTTTCTAATCCATCAGTTTCTTTACACACCGGTTTGTAACGTGACTGACGAACAATTTGTTGACACACTGATTTGATTTTATTCAGTTTAAATGAAACCTCCTAAAATAATCATCACATTAATGTTTATGTCAGACAAAAGTAATGAGCACACTGATATAATTGGCACTATAGTTGAGTATACTTCCTTAATAAATAATAAATTAATGTGACGTCTTTTACTGGAAAACATACAGAGTACAATTCACTTTTCATAAACAATTCAAGAAATATACTTTATAATTCTATAGCTTTCTAAAATTTAATGGACTTCAGAGTAAGCTTCTCTAAATGTTTATCTATGAAATCGAATCATCTGTGTTACAGAAGTAAAAAGGGATTAAGAAGTTAGTCGCTTTCTTCACCTAGCTGAATAAGAATTTCAATCCTGCAGTTGTGTTTTACTACGCTTTATAACTTTAAACAACGTTAGTAAACTGCAACCGACAGAATTTTTATCGAAGTAATTTATTTTAGTAATCGAAATCTAACTGACTGAGATTAAACATTGTATATATTTAATTAGTTCTTTTGATATCGCAAGGTATTTGATATATTAAACTATTCTTCTTCAGTATTCTTCTTCTCTCAATCAAGTGGAATCACATAGTTCACAAAGTTTCTCCGTTAATGAGTTTAAAGGAATAGATGCCATTCTAATCCCAGCTTCCTAAGAATCTAGGGCAGAATTGTGCAGGTGTTATACTTGAGTGAAAACAACACAGTGACTACCAGTCGGTTCCTAACCATGCTTCATTTATAAGTTTCATTACTCTTTATTTTTATTTATTTTTCGGCATCACAAATGTTTAAAAAAGCTTTGGATAATAGTTATTGGCTGATAATGAACCTTCAGCATACTAAGCGGAAGCTCCAGATTCAATTCCCGGCCAGCAAACTCCTAAACTTCGCCTAGTTCACCAGTTGGCTGTAAGTTCAGAGAGAAAAGAAGGTTGCGAGTGAGGCAAAAAACCCCACACCATATAACCTTGAAAAGCCTAAAGTTGTACGCTGCACTTGTAACGCAGGGAATAAAAAAAGTCAAGCTATTTATTTAATTCTTTTTGGATTGCCCAACAGGGTCGCAGTGTAATGCTTGCAACAAAAGCACATATTTTTACATTAAAATCTAGTACTAAAAGTCATGTAAATGTGTACAAATGTCGTTCAAACATGACCACACTTACTGTGAAGCATGTAACTGAATAATCTTGTTCTATGGATAATTTATAAATTTTTTAAACTGGTCAATACAGAACCTTCCTAAAAATGTGTATTACATGAATTTAACTCCGCCACGAATTCGTAGTAAATTTGTCTACGCACAGAGTCTTTTAAATCCAGATCAATATAAGAATAATTTGCAAACGCATATTGCTTCAGAGTGTCATAAACATTTAATAAAGCTAAAATGTACGGTTCCCTGTTTTACGCTTCCCTGTGTTAATGCGATAGATATTACTGATATACCGATTTCACAATGAATGAAATTCTGATTTCGTACCAATTCCCTTATTGAATGAAGTGATTTACTGAAGGTTACAAGTCAAAAGATTCTCGACAATGTATTATAGCTTGAACCAATGCCACGACAGTTAGGTATTAAAAACAGAGAAACAAAAATATGTTCCTATCTATTTATATGACTAGTATTACCGCATGCTTTTTTAGTTGATGAAAATTATTTTGTTAACGAGAAAGATGAATAACCTACCGTTCGAATAACAACTCCGTTGTCACACTCTGTATTTACTTTTTTCGGAGGACACTGACAAAATCGTTTTGTTTTCACGGATTGTTTAATTACACATTTCTGCTCATGATCGTCCCATCTTCTTTCCAGTAATATTTCCTTCCAATAGGCACGATTCAAACTGCAATTTCCAATACGTATAATTTTAGTGGGGCAACCTATACATTTGTTAAAAGGCAAAGAAGCAGAAAAAATTACACTCTTGACTATTTGTTAATAGAAAAAATGCTGTGGACAAATACGAAGTACCTACCGCTGCAAATCGTTTATAAATTTTTCATGAAAACTTACGACAGTCTCGGTTATATGTTCTTATTTGTTTTCTGCATGTACAGTTATTAACATCGGGAACATTGTGAATCACAGTTTCAGACAAAGTCCCATTTATGCATTTTCCACGTACAATGTTGGCTCTGGGTCGACATACTGAAATGAAACAATGAGAAATAACAGTTTCGTGTGCATTTCATACAAAGTGAGTATGGGGCTTATCTTATCAAGTAGAAATATTTACAAAGAACAAACTAAAAATTAAACGGTGGAATATGTTGCTAGTAAAATTTATCCAGACTCAACATTTGTTGCTGATATAAACGTATTCCTTCTCACCAGTTGATTAGAAATTTGGTGCTTGAGTGTCAATAATTTTAGGCAATGTGGAGCCATAAGAAAGTGAAATGTGCCCGATTCTTAGTTGACGTGCATGATTAGAGAGGATAATGAAGTGTGACGAATTTATTTCTGTTTACTAAAAGTGGAAACTTACCAACTGGTACTGTTTTTACAATATTCACTTTTACGCATTTATTGGATTTGTCATTCCACAGATATTTATACGTAACTGTCTGCAGAGTGCCTTGGATGGGATCACATTTTCTTATTGTCTGTGACTTCTTATCTGTACATCCACATGGCTTTGTTATTATTTGTTTTTGTTTTATGCAGTGACAATGACTTCGTCGGTAGTACGTTAAAATTAGTGGTCTAAATCCCGTTTGGATATTGCAGGGTTTCCATTGTACGATAGAAGGTGGACAAACTGTAGATTTATAAAAAAAAATTAATAACAGTTTAAGTAAATTTGGAGCTGACCGTTTATAAACTTTGATAATTACATGGAATACGGTTCTCATAAATGCAACATGAGGAAACATAACAGAAATACAGAGTTAAAGAAAGATTATAATCAGAGTATTTTCAAATTAGTTCACCATATATATATTTAAGTAAAACGTTGAACAATCAGGAATAGTACTACGGCTCACATAAATGTTAATATAATTTAAGGAAAATAAAAATCTGTCTGACATTCTAACAAAATGCATCCATTAGCGAAAAAATATAATTGGTATTACATTTATTACTAATTTCCTACCTAAGTAACAGTCATGTTGTCTGAATTAAAAAAGAAAATGCATTTCCAGCCTTCTTGGGAATTCATCAATTCTTTCATCCTAATTACATGACTATGATAAATTACACTAATGATATTCATTATCAGTGTAGCAGTGTTTTCAAAAATAATCATAATAACTGGTCGATTTTAAGAAAACCAAAATGTTTTAGCGATTTATGAATTTCCTGAATGAATTCAACCGTGGTCTCTAGACCAGTGGATGCTACGTTATTTTAATTGCTTTTCTTCTTTAGGTACTAAGTTTTCTTCATTCGGATTTCATTACAAACAGATATCACTTAGAGAACCATTTAAAGTCCTGAAGAGCCGGACGGATGTCTCATCCCAGTTTTGGACTCTTCAGTATTTCGCATCTATGACCCAACCAGGTACCAAAATCAGGATCTTCAGATTACGAGGTGAGTACGCTATCATACAGCCAGTGACGCAGAATCTATTGCCTCATGATACCTAACTGCATCTAACTGAGCAAAAAATGCACACTCTTGTCACACACAAGGTTAAAAAGCATTATGGACTACTTACATGTAGGTTCAGATCTATGAGTTACGTATTTCTGACAAATTAAATTCTCCTTGTCCAGTCGATAATTGATAACTTTTCGAATCCATGAATTTGTTCCACTATCGCAATGCATTAAGGTGTGTGTTTTAGGACATTCTGTAATGAATTGTAAATGGTAAGAAGAAGAACATTTTAATATCCCGCCAAATGGATATTTGTCATCACTTTTCAAGAATTTGCTTAATACAAGCTCCATACTTAGTAGACTATTGCGTGATCACCTGTATTCACTTGTACCCTAATAACTTGGAACTCAGTGGTTGCAATTCAATTCAATGGTGTAATGAACCACTTTTGTTCTACGAGAGAAACGACAGATAACATAAAATAGACGAAATTCCCTATCGATAATTGCCAACAAATTAGAAATTAAAGCCTGTCTTTCCGATCACATTCTAAGTATCAAATAACAATCAACACTAAGAATAGTGTTCTCCAGTGTGTGATAATTGAACGCCTGGTTAATACTGATAATTCCATCTCAACAAACGCCTCCTGCTTCAAAGTAATCTACAGAGTCAAGCATAACCTACCGAAGGCAATACAGTTTCGTCTTCCTTGTATCACTGAAGCTTTGTCCATTCACATAGAAAAACCGGAGCTTTGCATACAAAACAGAATTACTCAACCACTCCTACTATCATGCTGAAAACTTCGTTGGTTTTCGATCACTTAATTTTGTTCGTTTGCCTGTTTCTTTAGTTGCTTATAATTTTTGTATTCATTTAGAACTCTAACGTAATTTCGTTCTTTTTACTTTGGTTCTATGTGCATCCTGAGTACAACTCAGTCATCAAACCATTCATATTATTACGTAACTTCATTCTAACAGCTGATCGTGACAACTCATCACCTTTGTTACTACACTAGGCTCATTAACTCCCAATTTTCTGACCGCTTTTGTATTATGTAACTCCACACAAAACTTACTAATTCTCACATGTTTAGTTAGAATAACCATAAACAATTGTATTTTTTGTTTGACAAACTTGATGCACACATACATATAAAATAACCCATATATATTTGCTATTGTACAGCTAAGGAAATGAATTCGCCGAAAAGAGATTCTTCGCTGAACTACGTGTTTTCATTAATGCCTGGCTGGCAGTTATTCTTGAATCAAAATGTTATTTAACCGGCAATTTTCAAAGGAGCTGGAAGTAGTATTTGTTAAAAGTCTACTTAGCTTCATTTACTCGAGATTCTACTGTGCACTGAAAAGTTGTCTCGTATTGTTCCGAAACTCAACATTAGCAAATTAGAACGTTTCGCATGTCAGTAACATGAAATAGTTGAGTCTAACAAAAGATTCTTCAGCCCAGTAGGGTTCTTAATAGAAACGAGTCAGTAAATTAGGAGTTGAGTGTATATACTTTATTTGGTGTTCAGAACGTATTCACTGCCTAGTGATTTAATGTCAGTTGGAAACAAAACTTATTTAAAAGTAAACTTGTGAACGTTTAATATGGTGATAAGAGGTCATATAAATTTTACGTAGAAGCCCATTTAAGTCGATTATTATTATATTATTATTATTGCTCCCTTGGGTTCCTAGTGGAACATAGGGCTTCAACTGCACGTCTGCATTTGCTTCTGTCTTCTGCTGTACTTTTCGCCTGCATCCATGTTAGTCCATATTCTTTCAACTCCTCTTCACACGATCTCCTCCATGTCACCCTTGGACGTCCCACACGCCACTTCCCTTTCGGGTTCCACTCGAGGGCTTGACGCGCGATGTCACCCAGCGGTCTCCTCAGCGAGTGTCCGATCCATCTCCACTTTCTCCTGCATATTTGTTGGGCGATTGGTTCTTGCTTTGTTTGTTCCCATAATTCCTTGTTGGTGATTCTTTCCGGCCGGCCATCTGATCTTCAGTATAGAGCGAAGACAGTTGTTGATAAAGGTCTGCAACAGCTGTTGGAAATATTCTTTGTGACCCACCCGCCAAGTTTCTGATCCGTATAGAAGAACTGACTGACTTTACGTTTGTATTGAAAATCCGAATTTTGTTGTTGATGCTGAGTGACGAAGATTTCCAGATTGATTTCAGGTTGATGAATGTGTTTCTCGCCTTCCCGATTCTCGATTTGACATCCTCGTCCGCTCCTCCTGTAGTTGAGACAATGCTCCCTAGATAAGTGAATGAAGTAACCTCTTTCAAATCCCTCCCGTTGATGGTGATTGACGTTGGCTGCTGTTGCTGTTGTTGGTTGGTTATTTTCATAACCTCCGTCTTGTCTATGTTTACCTGGAGTCCTGTCTTCACCGGCTGCTTCTTCGACCAGTTTGTCGGTTTTCGCTTGTAAGTCTTCGATTGTGTGTGACATCAAACATAAATCATCCGCGAAATCCAGGTCTTCTAGGTTCTTCACGTCGGTCCAGGATATTCCTGTCTTCTCGTTTCCCACTGTCTGACGCATAATCCAGTCAGTCCACCACAATTAGGAATATCATTGGTGATAATAAGCACCCTTGTCTGACTCCTGTGTTTACTCCAAACGCCTTGCTGAGTTTTCCGTTGTGGATCACTTGACATGTTCCGTTGTCGTACAGCTGTTGAATAAGGTTGATGAATATTTGGGGTACGCCGTAGTACTCGAGTAATTTCCAAATTACTTCACGGTCAACGCTGTCGAAGGCCTTCTCAAAGTCTATAAAGTTGAGGTAGAGGTTTGATTGCCATTCCATGCTTTGTTCTGTGATGATGATGCGTAGAGTTGCAATTTGGTCAGTACATGATTTGCCTTTCCTGAATCCAGCTTGTTCTGGTCGGAGTTCTGTCTCCAGTGCGTCCTTTAATCTCTCCAGGATGATGCGACTCAGGATTTTACTTGGCGTCGATAGGAGCATGATTCCTCGCCAGTTCTTGCAGAGTGCCTAAGTCGCCCTTCTTTGGTAGTTTCACGAGGTAACCTTTCCTCCAGTCAGTAGGCACCTTTCCCTCCTTCCAGACCTTTTGCAATAATGGAGTCAGCATGTCTGCTGTAGTCTCTGGGTCCGCTTTCAGTGCTTCAGGGGGTATTCCATCTGGTCCGGCTGCTTTTCCAGCTTTCAGAAGCTTGATTGCATTCAAGACTTCAGCTCTCGTTGGAGGATTGGTGTCAACTTGCAGTTGTGTGCGCGCTGTTGTTGGTATTTCTGGACGGGTTGCAGGTGATGGTCGGTTCAAGAGTCCTTTGAAGTGATCCGCCCATTGTTTAATCTGTTTTTCTTCCTTGGTAATGGGTTCCCTTGGCTGTCTTTTATAGGTTTCGCTTGTGTTGATCTCTTCCCGGATAGAGATTTGGTTATCTGATATAGTGTCCTCAGGTCCCTTTTGCCTGCTGCCTTCTCAGCTTCAGTGGCGAGGTTGTCGTAGAATCGTCTTTTGTCCTTCCTAGCACTCTTCTTCACTTCTTTGTCCAGTGCTTTGTAAGTTGAGCTCAGCGTCTCCTTCTCCTGTCCGTCCTTGCATTGAATCATTTTCTCTTTCACCATTCTCCTCTCTTCTATTAATTTCCAAGTGTCCGTTGAGAGCCATTCCTTGTCTTGTCTCTTCTTTCTTCCTAGAACCGTTGAACACGTTTCGTTGAGAATCGCCTTCAGAGACTTCCAATGTTCTTCCACGCATGATTCTTCAGTGATGTCGCGTAGTGTTTCCTGCTTTGCTCTGACAGTTGCAGTGAAAGTGTCTTTTGTGGTTGTGTCCTTCAGTAATTGAGTGTTGAACTTGCATTGTGGCCTATCCCCAGCTATCCTCGAGGCTTTTAGTTTCACCTTGAAAGTCCCTTGTACTAGATAGTGGTCTGAACCCACATCTGCTCCTCTCCTTGACCTTGTGTCCAGTAGGCTCCGTCTCCACTTTCTTGAAATTGAGATGAAGTCTATTTGGTTCTTGGTGTTTCCATCTGGTGAAATCCATGTCGTCTTGTGTATATCCTTGTGTTTGAACACACTACCGCCAATCACCAAATCATTGAAGGCGCAGAAGTCTGAGAAGAGTTCACCATTGTCGTTCATTTTACCGAGGGCCTCACGACCCATGGTGAGTTCTCTTCCTGTGTTGTCTCCTCCCAGCTTCGCATTCATGTCGCCCATCAGGATTTTGATATCGCCATTTGGGACGTTGTCCATTATTGCTTGTAGTTGTCTGTAGAACGCCTCCTTCTTCTCTTGTTCTGAGACGTTTGTAGGCGCATAGACATTGAATGACTGTAACTTTCCTTCCTTTTGAGTTGAACCTGGCTGTCATTATCCTGGAGGAGATTGGTTCCCACTGCATGAGAGCTTTGGTTGCTGTTGGTGACATCATGATGGCCACTCCCTCGGTGTGCTCATGGTTGTCCTCTAGGTGGCCGGAATAGATTACTGTCTCTCCAGTAGGTAGTTGGCACCTTCCAGTTCCGTTCCATCTGCTCTCGCAGATTCCCAACACTTCTATTCTGTACCTTCTCATTTCAGCGGCTATCTGGGCAGCCTTTCCAGTTTCGTACATTGTACGAACATTCCAGGTACCCATCCTTACTTTTGCTTTCATCGAAAGAAGGCACATCGGCTGACTGGCTTCCCGAAGGCTTTCACCAGCCTGCGTCATTTCACTTCCCCGATTCCAGCGAAAAGTAAGGCTATTGCTTATGTTTTTAGAATTTTTAATATATTTATTCGTTGAAGTTTCTGTAGCGATTTGGTTGTTTTACAGGGGTGGAGTTGCTAGCACCACGCCCCAACCCTCCCTCTTTACCCGGGCTTGGGACCGGCGAGAAAACTAGTAAGCTAGTAGCCTAGCAAGCTAGTATCTGGCGAGGTTTTTAAGTCGATTGGTGACGAGATATTATAAATCACATTATAATAAACCAAATATCTTTCTTAGATTTTATATTATCCTCTTTGTATGTATGTAATGGGTCATGAATAGAATGAAAGTCTATGAAGCACAAGCCTTCAGACTACCAGCAGTCCGTTAGCCCAAGAGCATCAAGTGTAATTAAATATATGAATGAACTTGACCCGCATCTATGTATAGAGTTAATATAAATTCAGTGATTTTTTTTAGTGGGTGATAATTTGAGGTGAAATGAAAATCTGGGCCAATAATTAGATTGAATCAGGTGTCTTGGAGTTGCCGGCCAACGGCTCTTCCCACCTGTTTATGAGATTCAGCTGTCTGCCGGGTTTTCATTACATTACAGTGACTGGGAGCTTGTCCATTTACCATGTATATAGTAATTAGACGCTGGTGTGAATTATTTAACAAGTCGGCTATTCATTTCACCTTATGTCATCACACCATAATCGGAAATCAGTTTTCTAGCTTCCAGCTTCCTCAAATGGTTCATCAGTATTTTCTCAACGTCCTCCACAACTTCTGTGAATTAAACCAGTTCATGTCTAACCCATAGCTGCTAAGATTAAATGATTTGACGGGTTAGAAATAGAGTTTTTGTGGAATAATTATGTGCGTCGGTGGCACAGTGGTTTGGACTCTCGCCGACCATGCACATGGTCCGAGGTTTGATCACCTGCCGACGCACACCTGATATCTATGGTCAGCCTGCAAAATTAGGGCTACCGATATCCATGCTGAAAATTCCATAATTGTAGCAAAAATAAAGTGTGGAATCAAGCTGTAATAAAAAAAACTTACTACATAAACCCTCTTGAAGTATTTGTTTTACACGAACACATTTACAATTTTTTGGTACCCATACGTAGGTAAATACCTGGGCTTGGCCAGTGACACTATTACACAACAGCTTCTTGATTCTTCGACCATTATTCCGTTTTAATTCTCTCATCATAAAATCACCACAATTAACTGATTCTTCGATTACTTCTTTTTGAGGCAAACAAGCATTATCCAGAAGTTCATAACGCGTTCTTACAGAAATTAACTTGTTATTTAGTGCATTGCATTGTTTTTCACTAACACGGTCCTTTGGACAACCTAATAAAAGTAAGATACTGTATTATTTAATATGAGTTCACAAATGTTATTCACTTTCAAAGATGGTCAGAAGATTTTACTGCTCTAAGTGTGAAAACTGTTCACATTCATATACTATTCACAACAGATTACCAATTATAAGGAAGAATCTTTGCTTACGGGAGTGAGAAAATGTTCCAAATTATTTCAATCAAATAAAATAACTAAAAGACAAAACTAGGGTCTAGAGCTACTTGTTGACTGCCTCTTCACTTCTCACTAACATATGGTGTTTCGATGTCTCAAAGAACCACGCCAACTATCTTAGTGGCCAAATAAAACATTTATTCAATGGATCCACTTGCATCCTCCAATATGTGATTGTTTCTTAATGAGATAAATGAGTTGTCTGCCATCCGAGGACAGATTTGTGTGCACAGCTGATTAGTGTTAAGTGATATCGGTTGGCCATGGAATGTCCTTTAAAAACAGTGAAATAATAATGGTGACTGGCTTTATTCCAAAACAGTATATATGATACAGTGTGTAATTGGTATAATATTGTATCTAATTTACTCAACAACAGCAAGCAAATTAGTTACAGGGCATAGGTAACCAAAATTGATGATAGCAACTTTTTAGTGCTAGCAGTGACGATGAATTCAAAGGTGTACAAAGAGTGTCAAATAATTATAGTAATGTTAAGAATTAAGATTATAAGATAATTGAAATACTGTCACCATAAATTACAAATAGGAGGACATAAAAGACCCATGTATTATGCTAATTACATAATAAGTTTCTCGCTTGACATTATTTCAGTCACATAGGTTGCGAGCCAAATATGGTATCGCTTAGTTTTTGTACTTGGTTGTAAGTACATATAACCCTTTATAATTACTTCTAGTTGTATCTTATGAGATACAAGAGGAGAGTTGAGAATAGAGGGGGTGTTGAGAATCCAGGTGTCCATCAACTACAGTAGTAATGATCTAACTAATTGGCATACCACCTGCTCTACTGGTAACCTTCAATACCATTCACAGTATGACGTAGTCTTTTTTAAGTAGCACAATAAAGACTAAGGGAGCAGTAAATCAAAATAGATGAAATTCAAGAGTTAACAAACTGTAAAAGCAGAAGTTGATTGATTGTGGATTATCTTAACTTCTTAAACTAGAAGGTTAGACGGGACATTTGATCAGAAATCAACAAGAAATTGGATGACAAAGAGAGGTGAGAAGATGGAATTATTCTGAGGAATTTTACTCTTGACTCGGTATATATTTCAGTGCACTCTCTACTGGAAGTATCATATGAGCGAAGCAGTTCCTGTAGTTCACATTTATGCCTAAAGGTGATGTTAATAGTTTGACATTTAGAGGGATTTAAGGTAAGACCATTTAGCTTAGACCACTGGCTGATATGCAACAAAAGGCTATTTAGTTTGAAACAGTCAGATCGGAACGTAAATGGCTGCGAGACAGTCAGATCATCAGCGTATTTAACAAAGTTCATTTCATCCGAAAGAGGTAGGTCATGTGAGAAGAAAGAAAAAAGGAGTGGAGAGAGAACAGCAACTTGTGGGACTCCAGCTTCAGTAAGCAAAGCAAAGGAAGATTAACCATTATATGCCATACACTGCATTCTGTTTGAGAAATAAGAATGCAATCAATTAACGGCATAGGATTGGGTTTGTGTCAGAGAAAGCCTACTTAACAAAAGGCATTTGGGTACAGAGTCGAAAGCAGATATGTAGTCTAGGAAGGTACATCGAACATATTTGGCTCCTTTGTCTTCACAGGAAACAATCTTACGGTGCAAGACAGCAGCAGCGTCTTAAGTACTTCTGCGCTGTTTATATGCAAACTATATATGATCATTAAAACAAACTCTGAAATTGTATTTTAAATCATAAGTTAATTGGAGTCACTACTGGCTGTAATTCGTGATTGTTTCACTCGTTATTTCCGCATTTCAGTCGGATTTAGTGAAAAGTCTTGAAATCAAATCAAATCTGAGTTCTTTAGTTGTGTAGCAAATACTTAATTCAAATGACTAAACAAATAAATTAACATTGGAGATGGTATTTAAACTTAAGAGAAAATTGAACCATCTAAATCGTATTGGAACAATCTTCAGTATGTATATTATTCCTTTCATCAGGTAATGGCAGGGTGTGGGGGGAGGGATCCACAACAAAAGAAAACAGTAAGAAAAAAAATACAATGATAACTGCTAGATAAGCTTACCACAACGTCTTGTTTTAATGGTAATGTTTTCTTTACATTCACATCCCTTCTGAAAATAAACTTTGTACGTTCTGGTTTCTATATTCGTCGTTGGAGAACAGTAGGATGAGATCAGATTTGTGTATTGAGGACAGACTTTTGTATTAAAAAAAAAAGAAAGAAAAGAAAAATAATTTACAGTTTTGATCAAATTTGACAGAATATGTTTGGTTTTCACATTATTAACACTGCTTTTTTCGACATTATGCAATACCCTAGTGCGTTGGTGGCATAGCAGTTAGGACGCTCACTGACCATGCAAATGGTTCGGGGTTCGATCCCCGGCCACCGACGCACTCTTTTACCTCTCTAAGCCATAAGTAAAGCTGGTAAAGAGGAAGGTTTGGGCATGAGGCTAGAAACCCCATCCTGTAAAAATGAACACTGATACAGAAACTTCAAGCCTCTAGCTTGAAGCCCTATGTTCCACTGGGAACGTGAAGGAAAAGAAATGCAAGACCATAAGCACACCATGATCAAAATAATCAGGATATTTCACTAAAATCCCTGCATCCAGGGTTCAGCCATAGAATGCTCGTCAGTCAGACACGTAGTCCCGCCTGTGCACTTCTAAACCTCAGCTTGTAGTAAGACCGGAAAAGGGGTAAGTTTCGACATAAGGTTATTAATGGAGTGTAAGTAAGATGTCTCATTCATATAACTCAGGTGGATTATCAGCAGCTTATCTGACATTAGAATTTTAGCGTAAGCTATTATTCGATGGGCACCAGGATAGAGTTTACTGTTGCAACATAGACTATCTGTTAAGCAATATAAACTTTTCCTTCTTTCACCATAAAAGTACTTGTCAGATTCTTAACCCAACATATTTAAATTGTAAGTGAAATAGAAAAAATAACTTTAAATCAACTTACAAACTTTGGTCCGTCTTTTATAAATTCTTGTCTCACAAGTACAACCAATATTGACGTAGTCTATCTGTTTGTGTAGCAATTCACGTGAAGCTGAATCACATTCAACAGCATAAACTGATTTTGGACAAGCTGGTAGAAAAATAAAACAAATAAAAATTTCATGAAATGAATAATCAGGCTGAAAGCTTTGAAAAACACCACAAAATTAGGATTCCGTCTTTCAGAATCAAGTACAGAATAAAGTCTTAAAGTTTCAACATACAATTAATTTATTTATTCAGAAATATAAACAGAAGTATACCGACAAAATGAAAAACTGTTGTCTTAACTCCTTATAAGACAAGTGCATTCTGAAAGTTGTATGTCTGTATCTATAAGAAGACTGACCAAACAAGAAACACAGTATGCATTTACACTATTTAAGATGTAATAGTCTGCATAGTTTCAGGACTTGTAGACAACCTACTATAAATTATGGAATCAAAATCAGGGGGAATCTGACATCCATTTGGTAGTGCCAGTGATTAATACTAAACTTCTCAGTAGTAAGGAAGTCAATTATATTTTGTCCTTGTAAACAATTTTTTGATGACGTTTGTAATTATTATTATTATTGTATCCTTTAGTTCCTAGAGGAACATAGGGCTTCAGCTGCGCACCTCCATTGACTTCGGTTTTCTGACAACTTTTTCACCCTGCTCCAAGTCTGCTCACATGCTTTCATCTCCTCCTCGCATGATCTCCTCCAAGTCACCCTTGGACGACCAACTCGCCGCCTCCCTTTCGGGTTCCACTCGAGCGATGGCTTGTCTAGTGATGTCACTTGGTGGTTTCCTCAGCGTATGGCCAGTCCATCTCCATTTCTTTCTGCCTATTTGTTTCACAATCGGTTCCTGATTGGTTCGCTCCCAGAGACCCCTGTTGCTGATCTTTTCTGGCCATCTGATCTTGAGTATTGAGCGGAGACAGCTGTTAATGAAGGTTTGAAGTTTGTTTGAGATGCTCTTTATGACTCGCCAAGTCTCTGATCCGTATAGTAGCACTGACTTCACATTGGAGTTGAAAATCCGGATCTTATTTTTGATGCTGATTGCTGTTGACCTCCACACAGATTTGAGAGTAATGAAAGCCTGTCTTGCTTTTCCGATTCTGGCTTTGATGTCCTCGTCAGTTCCGCCCGCCTGTAGTTGAAACGATACTTCCCAGGTAGGTAAAGGAGGTTGTTTCTTTCAGATTCCTCCCATTATCCTGGCTGATTGTTGTCTGTTGTTGTTGTTGCTGTTGATGTTGGCTAGGAATCTTCATCATCTCTGTTTTTTCTATGTTCACGTTTGTAATAGCTAATCCCAAAAATGAAATGAATTATAAGTCCAGTAGCAGCTAATCTTTGACAGTTCGTCAGGTGGCTTCAATCGCTCATAAGACCCAAAGTGAAACAATCTAGTCGTTATCAGAATTTTGAAATGAGTAGCAATATTTTTGTTATTTATAATAATAATAATGCCATTCATTATACTTCTGCAGTACGTGATCTGAAAAGAACTTCATGTTATTATTCAACTGAAAGAAATCTAAAGAGCTAATGTCTTTCCTGACTATCTGTTGTTTTTAAACGCACCAGTTAACTAATACGTAAATAGTGAGAACATTAAGCAATAAAGGTGTGCTGTTAATCGGTACTTCAGTTAAGACACGTTAAATACACATCTGCTAGTTCAATTTTACGCAGTTATGCATAGGCATATACGAAGTAGCATTACTTTCATTAAATTACATCTTGCTAAACTGTTCACATAAATTAAAAAAATTTTTTTCCTTCACGTTCCCCAGTGGAACATAGGGCTTGGAGCTGGTGGCTTGAAGTTTCCGTAGCAGTGTTTAATTTTACAGGATGGGGTTTCTAGCCTCATGCCCAACCTTTCCTCTTTACCAGCATTATTCCTGGCTTAGAGAGGTAAAAGAGTGCGTCGGTGGCCGGGGATCGAACCCCGAACCATTCGCATAGTCGGTGAGCGTCCTAACCTCTGTACCACCGACGCACAAATTAAAAAATTAACTAAAATAAATTCAAAATCTGACTCTAGCATGAAACAACCTATTCCCCCTTATTATGAATACTTTTTTGAAGTCTAAAAAGTACAGAAAAGTGACATATGTTAACAAACAGCTTACTTATTTGTTAGGTAATATAAATGTACGAAGAATAGTCACTTACATTGATTACATATCTTTTCTTCAATACGTATTTTACATTTACAGTTATTTCTATATCCAAACACTGACTGAATATATCGCATACCATTTAATCGTATATTTGTCAGCTTTTCGCTTAAGAGTCCAATTTTACAATGAACAGGTTTCTGAATTCGTTGAATTTTCTTTGTACACTGTTCATTTTTCAATATCCTATTCTCAGTCTCACTTATGATTTTCTCTCCATCTTTAGTGCACATATTTCGGACTTGTTTTAAATTGCTGCAGCCTAGATAGTGAAATGTTCAAAATGCACAAAATTAATCTTCTACAAGTTTACAGAATCTGTCTTAAACTTCGCTGAAATTCATGGGTATTATCGCAGAATCGCTTAAATAAAATTGTGGATGGAATAGCAATAAAGTAGGCCGAATCAAATACCGTCGAATTAAAGGATGTAATAGTAAGCAGTTAATGCTAACTGCAAGATAAATGAACATAAAATGAAGTTTCAGGTTGGACATGATACCATACGGTTTGTGTTTGTTCTATTGTGCATTACAGTTATTTGAGTGAGAAATCATTAGAACACATATGAAAGTAGGATAATGTAAGTTTAAACAACCAGAAAGTATTGTGGTTACTTAGTGTTAGTAATTAAAGTTAACTAGATAGACTGTGAAAGCATAATTTCTTTTTAGGGATTAAAAACGGGACAGAGACGACAAGATGAAGAACGTATATAAGCACAGCGTTGTATGATGGGGATTAAAATAGTAAGATGCGAGCGGCCAAATTATTATTATTATTATATCCTTTAATTCCTAGACGAACATAAGGCTTCAGACAAACGTCTCCATTGCCTTCTGTTTTCTGACAACCTTTTCACCCCGCTCCAAGTCTGCTCACATGCTTTCATCTCCTCTTCACATGACCTCCTCCAAGTCACCCCACCCTATCACTGACGACCAACTCACCGCTTCCCTTTCGGGTTCCACTCGAGCGATGGCTTGTCTAGTGATGTCACTTGATGGTTTTCTCAGTGTATGGCCAGCCAATCCATCTCCATTTCTTCCTGCCTATTTGTTTCGCGATCGGTTCCTGGTTGGTTCGCTCCTAGAGGTCCCAACCTGTTGCTGATCTTTTCTGGCTGACCATCTGATCTTGAGTGTTGAGTGAAGACAACTGTTGATGAAGGTCTGTAGTTTGTTCGAGATGCTCTTTATGACGCGCTGGCCAAGTCTCTGATCCGTATAGTGATTAGCACTGACTGACTTCACATTGGAGTTGAAAATCCGGATGTTATTTTTCATGCTGGGTGCCGTCGACCTCCACACAGACTTAAGGGTAACGAAAGCCTGTCTTGCTTTCCCGATTCTGGCTTTGATATCCTCGTCAGTTCCGCCCGCCTGTAGTTGAAACGATACTTCCCAGGTATGTAAAGGAAGTTGTTTCTTTCAGGTTCCTCCGATTTATGCTGGCTGATTGTCTGTTGTTGTTGTTGCTGCTGTTGGTGTTGGCCAGGAATCTTCATCACCTCTGTTTTATCTATGTTCACTTGGAGTCCTATCTTTGATGCTTCTTCTGCCAACTTGTTGCTTTTCAATTGCATATCTTCCAGTTTGTCGGAAATCAGACATATATCATCGGCGAAGTCCAGATCCTCCAAGTTCTATTTTTGTGTGAGTCCATTTTATGATTGTTTCCTCATTGCCCGTTGTCTGTCTCATTATCCAGTCTACTGCAATCAGGAAAATTATTGGTGATAGTAGGCAGTCTTTTTCATGATTTACACAGAACACATAAATCTGTTGGTCATTAGTGATAACTCACTGAATCAGTGATAGAAAAAATTAATGAAGTATACATTTTGTTGAAATCTTTCACTAAATTAAGTCTTCATAAACATTAGTTCATTTTAAATTAACGGTAGTTCATTTTTCTTGTTCATCCATGAGTATCCTTATCGAACTACGAGCATTACCCCTCCTGATTAGTGAGTTGTAGATATTTTTAAATACCACAATATATCCGCCTGTGCGATCGGAAGCTTTATTTATTAAATCAAATGTCTTCTCTTGCAAAATATTTCATTGAATTTCTGTTCTATTAAATAGACACAACGTCTCTGAAACCTGCGTACTAACCAGTGGATATCACCGTATTGTACACATCACCGCTACAGGAACTATAGATGTTGCAAAAATTTGTCTTAGTTCTTTATCATTTAAAAACAAGAACAGCATCTAACTTATTAAATCCGCTAAGTAATCGTTTCCTATTACACTCTGATCAAATATCTGTAGTATCTGACTTTGAAATAGATAAAATGGTGGCTTAAGTAAAATGTTCTTATTAAGAATATATAATTTCCCTTTAAAGTGTTGGTCAATAACTTCACTTAATTTATTTACAAAAATTAACTTTATAGCTCACAGCTAAATAATTGCATTACTTTTGCATATTAGTGAACACTTGCTTGTCGATGCCGAAAATTCAGCATTTAATTAACAGTCGAACTACTGCCGATTAAAAAATAGTTTTCCCTTGATTTAATCATGAGCTGACATTAGTTAAAGAACCATTGGAAAACCTAGTTTAGGACTCTTCAGCAGGACCTTCCGGTTACAAGGCGAGCTCGTATACCATTAAGCCACTGGGACCCAATCCAATGGTCCTTGAATTCTAACTTCTGCCAATTCACGACATAGCGCGACCGCTAGCCAATGTCTTCGGCGAGTATTTGTCCTCACACCCGACCCTCTGCAACCTACTGGTCACGACTTCCCAGGTAACTACCTACCTGAATAGGGCCAGTAGCCAGTGAGCATCTCATTGGTAGTCAAGTGAACTTTCCCTTGTTTCTAGAATAAATACACATCAACCAATTACAACTCATAGCTGTGAATCAGTGTCTCACTTTTTACTCAATATACCCGATTTTACAGTAAAACGCACAAAAATGTATGAAAACAATAATAGTAAGATGTAAAACTTACAACACGGTTTTACAATCTTTTTCAAAACCTCCACCTTACAATGTCCAGGATTCTGAAGGTCGTAAACAAGTTTTTGCCAGACAAAGATATCTTGACACTTGTCATCACAATTTTTACTAGTTGCGTTGTGACACCATGTTGGACACTTTTGAATTTGTTTCACTGGCATAATTTTAGCTTCAGGACAATCACAAGCTTCTAGCAGAACTTTGGGTTTCGGTGGTGTACATACACACTGCTGAATATTTGATTGTGTGACCAGCAATTGACGATAAAATCGACGGTCTTGTTCGTGTCTAATATTGCATTCGGAAATTCGTTTTATTTTTTCGTCCATACAGTCTAATGGAAAAAGGAAAAGAAAAAAAAGCATTATATACTGTGCATCAATACTATAATTTATTTAAACAGAAGACTAATCATAGAGGTGGAACCTGAAATAATAATTACAAAGCTTTATTTCAAATAATATATGAACATTTGGCACAGAAATTTTCAGAGTATTTAGCTGCAAAGTACTTCCTCTTCATACAAGATTTACACGTAAAGTAATAATGTAAAGTATATCTTGTGACATGGCGTTGTTGTATACAAAGAGAGAACCAATCTACTAAGGTTTTTCTTCATTTCTAGCAAGAATTGTACAGCGTTTATTTGAAAGCTAATTAAATATGCTCGCAAATTCATGTAGTGGTCTTCTGATATAACTCCACGATTAAAACAATAAGAAATGCAGAAGAGTTCAGGTATTTTAATGGATGGAAATTCCTGTAGCCCAGTAAATTAACGAGTTGATCGCCACCTACTGAAAGGTCTGGGAAGGATTACAACTATCACATATTAGTTTCATCTATAATCTCATGAAGCCACAGATAAAAGTATATCAAATATTTTCCTATTATTTTCTAAAACGTTCGACAAATACCTTTCGTCTAATGGAGAATAAATATCAAAAACCATTATATTAACAAGTAACTTCATCATCATCAGGTAGTACTATTAGAATTTTCATTTCAACACCCGGGGCGTAAGTTGACTGTAGCATAGTTTAAGATATTCTTGTGTTTCTCCATTGATGATAGTTCATTGCTTGAGAACACTCGTCTTAACTCAGTTAATTTATTATAATTATTCATTTAGGTGGCTAGATAGTATTCACGACAGCATTTTTCAAGTTGGCGTATGGTACGCCCGATGCACTCAGCTCCACACGAGCAAGTTAACCGGAAATTATCCATTTCCTACCGCCGATTTCAGCTGGCTCCACGACTCTTCAAAAACATTCATTTCCTCTTCACTCAGTCTCCTCCACATCATCTTCAGATGCTCATTCCACCAACCTGAATTCCGATTCCGATTGAGAGTCTGTACAGAGTATGATTTCACTGTACGGACTCCTCAGAGTATTTTTATTCCTTCTTCATTTCCTCCTGCGTATTTGCCGGGCAATAAGTTCCTGGATGCTCCACTGTACTGCCTATCCTTTCCAGAAAGCTGAGCGAAGATAGGTGTTGAAGAAAGTCTGTAGAAGCCTGTTCGAAAGGGTTTTGGTGAGTGTATCACCAGATCTCTGAACACTATGAAAGCGGTGACTTGACATTATTTTTAAATATTCGTGAGTTATTCATTGTGTAAATGACACTGTCAGAGACCTTTTCAAACTAGACAGATATGAGGCAAACAGTTAACTGCTGTTGTGAGCTCCGTTAGATGATGATGCGTGACTCGGTCTTCCTGAATGCAGTCAATTTTGGGGGCAGTTTATCATCTAGAAAATCTTTTAGACGTTATGAGATGACGAATTTAGCTTCGGATAGACAGTGGCCTGATGACCATCAAATTCTTAAATACGCTTAAATCGTCCTTCTTTGGCAGTTGGATGAAGTAACCTTTCTTCTGTTTTGCAGGTTCTTAGTATTTCTCTTGCACCTTCAATTCAGTTATTTGAATCTAGCTATTTAACGGCTTTTGTGGGGCTGCACTCAGGGATTTTAACCTTAGGCATTCTTGACTACATACCATTTTTAAAAATTCCTTTATTTCCCAGTGGAACATAGAGCTTCAAGCTATAGCGTTTCTGAAGTTTAGATAGCAGTGGTGTTTATTTTTACGGGATGGGGTTGCTAACCTCATGCCCAGCCTTTCCACTTTATCAGTCTTATTACTGGCCTAGCGAAGTAAAGGAATGTGTCAGCCGGGTATCGAACCTTGCACCGCATGCTTGGTCGGTGAGCATTCTACTACTGTGCCACCGACGCACAGTATACCATTATGAGTGGAAAAATAATTAGCTGGGTCAATAAATGGTGTCGACTGGGACCATTTTGTACACGGAATAATGTTATTTTTTATAGTTGAAGTTATGGGAAACATTTGGAGGATATCTTACTTATGCATACAGAAAAATTCAATCTTAGTGAATATGTCGGTTTGTCCTAAGGTCAACACAAAATTCATCATCTTTATATCACCTTATCTTACCTTCAATACATCGTAGTTAAATTAAGATTTTACTATTACCACAGTTATTATTGTTATTAATGTCATGGAACATTTGTCATCCCTTAAGCCTACAGTAGTCCTGTGACTTTTCTGTCATGCTACTGTTTACAATACATACTGCACATTTCGTTAACTATCAACCTATAAACTTTACGTTAATTTTTTGTCACGTTATCCCATTGAATACTTCAGGCACAGTCAGAGTTAACTAATTACTGTTCGTATTCAATTCTGTGATAATGTTTTTGATATTTTAGCCTGATAACGATTATTTTACGATAAGATTTATAACTCTTGTGTCAGAAGATGGGATCACTGAAAGTAGTTGCTTTAAATATTCTAAAACATAATTTTAAATAATATTATCTAGGTCCAAACTATTCATAAGTAGGCTAATCATATCATTCATATTGTTGAAAAGAAGAATTTGAACTTGCTTTATACACTGTTACACAAAGAAGTAAATTTCTCGTTTACATGCATAACTCTTCTCACTAGTAGTCAATTTAAAATAGCTATCGCCACATTTTAAATAAATCTCGTATACCGACTACTGGCATCACTTATTTTATTCCTTTGAGTCCCGAGAGGAGCATAGAGCCTCATGTTTGAGCTTTGAGGTTTCTGTATTGGTGGTATGTTTTATGGGGTGAAGTTACTAGCCCAGCCTTCCCTCTATGTCAGACTTACAACTGGCTAGGGGATGTAAAGGTGTGCAGTGGCCAGATAGTGAACGCCGGAACATGTGCATGGTTGGTGAGCCTTCTATCGCTAAACCACCTATGCAATGGCATCAGGTTAGTGTCAAAATATTCTACACTCGACTTTAAATCAACTCTCTTGGCGAATTTTAGCAGATATTACAAAGTTAAAACGAACATCATGTACTTACTGATTCTGTGTGACTCAATTATCTCCATCTCTTTACATGTTCCATCTTTCTGTATTTCATATTTTACAGTTTTTATGGATTTTATGCCACTTTCTGAGTCACAATGCATAAAACTTTTAGGATTTGGACAATCTGTAAAAGAATGACAAAGTTTAAATTTTTCCTACAGTGAGTGGTGAACAAATTTTTATTTAAAAATAAGTGCACTAAGTTGCATTAGGTTTAAATATTTAACATAGTTTTCCATAGACTAGTGATGATTTGAAGCAAATCCTATATTTCTAGTAAATATAGCTAATATGTTTCGACTGTTTAATATGATAAAGGTATTTTCTTTAGTCTATTGTATAGCAGCCCTAAGGAAACCACATGACTACATTTTCGGCACAATGTATATTTTTAGAAGAAATGAACAGATCACACCTCTGACTACTGGTAGTCAAAGTACTTAATCAAATGAGAGAAAATCGAATACCTTTTTATTTACAGACACGTAAAACATAGCGATAACTAATCCAAACTTCTGTTTAATGTTTCAGTGAAATTTTATATATTGTGAAAGATTGAGATATTTCAACAAATTAACAGGATGCGCATACTGAAGATATCGAAGTCAGTACAGTGGTAAATGCATATTTGCAGACACATAGATATGGCATAATTATTTTTCAGTCCACTGAAAAGCTCCTCACGATTATGTTAATCTAAAGAAGCGCTGACTACACACTGTTTTTAAATCAGTCGAACTAGGGCAGAAAATAATACTTGGTAAACCGTGGCTAACTATCATATTTAAAAAAACATACCAAAAGGGCTAATCACTCACAGTCTTGTATTTAGAATTTGCTTTACTCAGACTATTTAAAAGGAATAATTAATTGACCAGAGCCATTTGAGGCTGATGAGTTGTTTGCTGTAGCAGACAGTCATATCTGTGAGTCTGTCTTTAGCCTATGATCAGGCAGTAAAATAAACAACCTTGTCGTTGTGACAGTATGAAAGTGCTTGTTATATTCTGAAAATGTTAATTTGTTAAAATCTGAATAACATCCTCACATTTGTGGCCTCGAGGTGCAGCACTCTGACCTTCGAATCTAACGATATGAGTTCGAGTGTTGGTAAGACCATGAGTTCTTTAAAATAAAATAATTTTAACTTTTCAGGAGCAAGTGTTAAAACCATTTGCATTATTTCTAAAGTAGCAACTAAAAGTACACTTGTCATATAATTAGCCTGTTAAATTGTCACGAAGTAAGCGAATAAGTCAACCTATCAAATTTCAATAGACAGCTTGGCTACTGAATACCTTAGGCTTACTATGAAACTGCGCTTCAAATAACACACAGGTATTCCAAATTTTTGACATCTTTTAAATAACATATCACTTAACATACACTTAATTAAACAGAATCATTAAAACAAACTTACTACACCGTATTGTGAATCTAAAGACATGACGTTGGCAGTAGCCATTGACAAGACTGTAATTCACATGAACTACATCGGATAATCCATTCTGACAATCAGACTGACTCTTTTCTGGCTTCGGACAACCTAATTTTTAATATAAAATGATTGAAGTAGTTTAAAAATACTCATAAAAAGTTATTCAAGTACAGTACAACATGAAAGGAAGTAAGGCACTTTTAAGCAGTTAGATTCGAAGTAACTTTGTAGAGGTTTATATACTAGTTATGTTTGTAGGAACCTCGAGGATATCGAGATAAGTGATTTTTAGCAAAGCGGCTTAACTCTTCTCAGGTAAATAGACAACCACTTAAATACCAAGCATAACATAAAATAAAAGTTCCATCCCATTGATATAAGGATATGAAGTGAGTACTGTAGAAATATAAAATTCCATCGCAAAATTCTGTGTTATTGTGTTTTTATTCAAAAAAACTATTTTATGATGGAAAGTTATGTCCCAAATATAATCTTCTTCACTCACATCCAAGTTACGCATAGTTTTGAAGTTCTGAATTAGTATGGTTTCGACTGAATTCAGCTTAGATCTCTCATCGTAGAATGGTCTAAGCAAAAATACCATCAAAAAACAAGGGATCACCGGATGGCTCTGTGGTTCACTGTGACAATGAAACGTCCGGCTTTTACACATACTTATCTTCTATCTTCATTTAGTTTTTGTGGCGGTTTTGGGTCAAGGTTTGTCAAAGCTAACATAAATTTCTTAAAGATCTGTTGAGGATTAAATTTTATGACACGTAGCTATTCCGTTTAAATTTTAAAACTAGTCTGTGTACTCGTACACTCCTGGAATATATCCGTAATAGATTTGAAAGGAAGTAGGCGCTTTTTGATCATGAACTTTGTAGCCGTTCATTTAACCTTGACTTTACTTACTTCACTCTAGACCTGGAAGTCGTTTATTTATAATGCTTATTTATGTATCACGCAATAAACACCACTATTTGTTTTAGAATATTGATTATTTTTCACCTTGTTAGTTATCACTTTCTGTAACTGTAGTAATTTACTTGTAGCCTAGTGACAAATGTAAGATATGCTTGTCAACATAGTCAAATAAAAAACATTGTATGCATAAATATATGGTTGTTTTTCAACTTACAGCATTTTCCTGCCCTATGAGTAACTTCTACTTGTCTACATTTGCAATTTTCTCGAATCCATACGCTACCGATCCAATTACGTTCACATGTATCAGGATTACAATGAAACTGGCCGGATGTTTTAGACAGTGGATATTGATTTGCTGATGGACAAGGTATTTTCGGTAACCAAGTAATATTAGTGTATTCAATACAGTGAGTTCTGTTTGGTATATAATAGGTGGTTTTCACCGCCAACTGATCTCTATCAGTTATACAAACTGGACTAGAACGTTTAGTTTGTGGACAAGCTTTAGGAATAAAGAGATTATAAGATTTAATGTCAGTAAAAAGTTTCAACGCTATGGAATAGATCAAATAAAGCATAATTATATTTCAATGGTTTACACACAATGACATATAACAACAAAACTTATCGTTGTGTGTAAACCATTGAAATATAATTATACTTTATTTGAAAATGTTCACCGAATTGCAGTGGTTCATTTTTGTCAAAATGATATAACAATCAATAAACAACATTCACTGGAACTCAAGTTCATGGAACTTCACTGTCCTCATTACCATGAGATGCACATTTAAATTTGTGTAGGTTTTGCTTAGGGAAAACCATCGATTACGTTGTTGTCACATATTAAGTAACTTTATTCAAAAGTTACAATGTAGAGATCGCATTGTAGCACTGAATGGTACTGTTTATTAAACGACTATGTGGCCAGTTACATCTTAGCACACACTTTTTATGCTTTTGCTTAGTCATTGGATTAACACAGAAGCTATTCAGATCTACGCCGCTACAAAGACTTGTCTAACATTAATATGAGTCGCATAGCCAAAAATCACAATTGCTGATGTGACGTTGTCACTATATTGACATATGATTGCTTATATATTTGCTGTATACCAGGACAACTTTTTTTCAAAGCTTTGTTTTGCAAAAAATGATCAGATATTTGATAACCACGAAAACAAAAGCTCTTCGACTGGCCTGTAAAGTCAATGAGACTGAGTGGAGTGAGTTAATGCTATATAAGTGATTCAAACAATTAGCATAAGTTAGTTAGGATACAATCAACCTATTTATAAGCTCTATTCAACATCATTGATTAATTTTGAATGTAAAGTGATGTAAATGTTAACAGTTCAAAATCTCGACTTGGTATGCGGTTGTATTAAAAATAATAAAGCTATCATTACATCACCTCACCGCATGGTGATAACATCAACTCAGTGAAGATTGTAGCCAGGATAATCAAATTTTCAGGAAAAAAAAGTTTATCACTACTATTGATGTTACTATCACAATGATTTCAGCACTACATAAATCAATAAACGAGCCCTAACACAGACCTGACTTTAATTATTTACTACAATCTATTGTTTACTATTCAATTAGTATCACTGTTATGCGTCATTACGTTCATATTAATAGACAATATACAACCAGCTATAAAATTCGGTCACAATGTTTTTAGACAGTAGTTAGCTTAACTTCAGGAATTTACTTCACAAAAAACTACTGTTAAGAATACATCTGTTAAGTAAGCTAGCTGATTGCAATAACTGCAGCTTATCTCATAAGATTTGAATTGCTCAGTTAATCAGTAACTCTTAGCCACCTCCAGTGGACTAGATGTTATTGAGTAGCTGAGGCAGTGAACCTCTCCATTAAATTTAATATTTCATTGAAAAAGATTTACTGTGCAATATCTTACCGCATATTTCTCTCTCCTCACGAGAAATTAGTATACATTTGCAATTTTTAGTAATTTGTCTTGCATACACCACTTTTCGCGTTAGACCAACTTGTCCTTCATTAGTCTTCTCGCATTTACCACGTTTTACCCAACTTTTTGTACATTCTAATTCATCAAATAAAATGAGAGTTTAATTGAAGGTGTTTTTATAATTAAATTTTTCCTTTCTTCTGATAATAGTAATGCATCTAATGTCCTAATTTATTTATTGCAATCCAGTCCATTTTTTAGATTTAATAAATTCTAAGCTTCCCTCAGCCACTAGGAAATTAGTAAAGATGTCATGGAAATGAGTGATCCACAGTTTCCTGCTGAGTTAACTGTGTTCCTCCTTTTTTTTTAAGTTAACTAATATGGGACCAGGAATAAAGAACAGTTGCTCCCAAACAGTTCAAATTCAGATAGTCTAAATCGCTCTTTAGAAATTCGGGTTACTTTTTTGCTGTCGAATTTCAGCCCTTATATACTAATAATATGGTTCTTTTCTAACTCCCATGGAATTTTATTTATCAGGATGGTTTCATGTTGTTTTTATAGTCAATTAGCACTTCAACCTTCTAAAAATTTCGATATTTATGGTACTACGCTTACAATAAGCCATAATTTATTTGGTGTTTTTAATACTCTGCTGCACTTCCAGATTTATTTTGTCTAATCATTTAGCATGGATCTAACCAATACCATGGTACACAGTATTACTAAGTACTGAAACACACTGAATATCTACTCTGTTCTTTTTTAGACATCCTGTAATGTGCTTCTGTCGCTATATAAAGGATATAAATTGTTATCATGTCTAGTGAGTAACGTATTAAATATTTAGTGACTGCCTTGAAGTCTAGTGGTGTGTCTTCTAATTTGCTCCAGTTTAAGATTTAGAGGAACATTTATTATAACTACTTTCAAAATAATCAGTTTTACACAAACGAATGAATTGGACAGCAACAGTAAGCGCACTAATGAATAACTTGAAAATAAACTTCCCAAAGTTCCAGTCAGAATAATCGACCTGTGTTATATACCTTTCCGTTTACACAAATGTTTAACGTAGTTATCTTTTCTGAGGTGTTAGAAACATTAACAATTTAGTCTTTTACTAGTTTTCGGTTTCAGTAGTTGTATGTAGAATATGGCAATCTCTTGAAAAACTACTTTAAAAGTAATCAGTTGTCTAGAGTTCAGCTGTATATCGAGTTCACTTCGACTAACTTATCATGTCCTGTTGACTAGGTATATCATCAGTTGTCCGTGCTTGTCAGACGACCTGTTTCACTGTGCATGGATGACCAATGAAGACATAAGTCAGTAAAAGGACTGTCATAAATCTCAAAATTTTACATTCTCTTAAGATAATGTTAACTCATTTAGAAAGAAATCCATCTTGACTGATTGAATTTCTAATCTTGAGAATACTTCAGGTTATGGCTTGTCGCGGAGATTTTTCCGTTCATTAACCAGATACATAAACTATTAAGTGATATGTGAAGGATAGAACAAGTATACTATTTCAGTATTTGAGCCTAATATGCATTTCTGCGTGTATGAATAAGATTTTTATTCATTCAACTAGAATAGCATGTAGAACTTACCAACAGGTTTACCGAACACATTGATTTTTCTGTACAAGCATTTATCGCATGACGTTTGCACTCGAACCATAGTTTTAATGATTGGGACTTTATTTTCATGACAGGATTTAGATGCAAGTCTTATAGTTTTGCAAGCTGCAGAGAATTTATTTAAAAAATACAAATAAAAGGCTAAATTAGTTCGTCAATGTGTTATAAATTTCAACTACACGCCAAAACTTTTATGTTTTCATGTTATATATTATACCTAAATCACTATCTAATTTTCAGTTAGAGTGAAACGCTGGATTTGAGAGTATACGTCACTGGCGTTCAAAAAGAATGAAATCTCCGGGCAAAGTAAATATGACGAACATGGTTTTTCAGTAACCTACAAATGAATCTACGTAAGGGAAATAAATAACAGTAAGAAATCTGCTAAATACCCGAGAGTGGATATGAATGAAGGTTACATACAAAAAACAAATTTGTTTTTTAGAACAGCATAGTTATTATTATTATTGTTCCTTTGGGTTCCTAGTGGAACATAGTTACGTGATGCAAAACTGTTATAAGTAGTTTCATTAAGTAAAAGGAACTGCTCTCATACAGAAATTTAATAATAAAGTAATGGCAGTTGGAAAAACTTGTTTGGTTTTTCTTTAAATGGCTGTTTTAAGAAACTTTCTGATTTATTCATGAACATTATTTTTGCACTGCACCATTTGCATCTCTAAATACTAATTTGCCATTTCCTTTTCTGATTTAAGACATCTTAAGAACTTCAATGCAAGATGGAGAAGACATGATTTATTTGATGTAACAGAGATGCAGATCACTGGTCTAAGCACTTGTATTTCAGCTAGTGGGTTCTAGTTTCAAATCCTGGTCAACCTGATTCAGTCTAAGCAACTGGGAAGGGTAATTAGCCACCATACAATGATTGTGGTACGTGAGAAATCTGCTCCAGGTAACTTTTATTCGACAAAGTCATGAATGGTATGAAGTTAAATGTGAACGATTATTTAACGATTTAGTGATAATATTGTTCCCAAAACAGGTGTAGAAAAGCTGAAAAATTTCACGAACTCACAGCACTGTTCTGTATGTGTACGCTCAATCATTAGGCATCTTTTAAATCCACTGTCTTCACGGAAGAATGTACGTAATCTTATAATGCGATATCCTTTACAATAATCACATTTTTCTGGGAGTCGTAAAACTCTTGTCGGACATTCTGTAAAAATAAAGCAGCGAAATAGTATTTTGAAATATGATAGTGTGTTAGGAGAGTATTTCAATTATAGTCTTTATCATAATAAGCAGGTGGATTAAACCCACTTAATAAAATATCGTAAGCTGTTGTTAGTTTATTGGTTTCCATTATTGCTTTTCGTAAGTGTCTACCAATAATAATCTATATTGTAATCTACGCTTGTATGGCGTATTTTTCTCTGAATAATAAAACATTTAATACCGTGGATCTCGTTTTATTTGCTGAAACTTGAAATAATTTGAATTTTCCTGAGTTAATACATTATCAGGACATTTAAACTACAATTTGAGTGAAGTATTTACACTTTTTTTGTTTTGCCAACTCGGTTTTACAGTAGCACCAGCGAATGACATAAATCTCCCATTAACACAGCACACAGTTTTCAAAAATGGGTGTTAATTGTTAGTCATCTGTTCAGACGTCAGGAAGAGAAGTAAGTTTATTATAGATAACTTACAAAGTCATTGGTGTATCTGCTAGTATGACATTAATAAAAGATAAAACCACACTTACTTTGTATAGTAAATGTTTTGGCCAACTAAAACAGATTTTAGCGGAATAAACTTTTGTCAGTCACCAGTGATAAACTAACCAGTATACACTTTTAGAGTATAGTCGTAGTGTACATTTAACCTATACAGAGATTTTGAAGCGCAAACGTTTATTCACCATAGTTACTATCTTAGAAAAATAGATTAAAAGCTATGCTGTGAAGTTAATAAATTCGTCACCAAATTCATTTCTTATGTCTGTAGGCTCCTAGGCTTCAGATTATATCTTAAGTTAGTATTCATATGTTGAATGTATAAGGGTATTTAATAATTCACCTTTATTGAGTTACCTTTCGATAGAATTTTCAGTTATTAGGCTTATTTGATTTGAATTTCAGCTGGTTATTGACAGAAAAACGTATGCACCTACCTCATAATGATGACATAAAAATTATTAGTGAATAACTAAATCAAGATGGCCAACCCTGCCTAGTAGCAAAACAGACGATACATATTCCGATAATCCAAATTATTGTGAACAACTTACGTTAAGTTGTATGCAGATTATTACACCTCTACAGTATCATATAAATTCACGCTATTTTCGTAAATGAAAATCCATCGAAGTATCATAAATGCTGACAGTAAAAGACATGTATTTAAGGTATTCAAAAGATGTGTAACTACGAGCAAGCCAGCATCCGGAGAGATTCGCTCCAGACACATGTCTTATATCGTCGGCCTATTATAAGAACAGAAGACACCGTAGCAGCCAAATTTCCTGTGAAATTAATTTTGCCAACTGTGAAAGCTTTCACACAATGAATCAGCTTGACAGTGCTCGTTACTAGTTTAATAAATTATTAAAAAAGTATGTTACTATTACCTGTTTAGAATGAAATTAAACGAAATATAGTAGTGGACGTTCAGTACCGTTTTTCAATTGGAAACTCTATGTAACTAATCTACTCTACATGATGCCTTTAAAAGCAACTGTTTGACTTCGTCATAAACAAACATTAATTACAGGATCATTGAATAACACGGAGCACTGGACATCTGATTTCTTAGTTGATGTTAATCTGTGATGAAATCTATGGGGAGACGTTTCAAATCACCACAAAACTAACATCTAAACGTCTGCGTAAATAGTCTCTAGTACAGTGTGGTTGGTTCCTCCCAGATATTATTTTGTACTTAAAAACACTTTTTATTGCTTTCTTATGAAATATAAAGCACGGCTGGTCAATAGCATGAATTCCTCTTCTCGTACAGCTGATTTTGTTAGGTACATATCACAATTATCTTGAAGGTGATTTATTTGTCACTACTGCATTGGTTGTTTTTCACATTCTGTAACGTGCAAATATCCCAAATTTCCCCATTACTCGACATCTAAGTTCGTTTCTTCCTTGTTCCATTACTTAACTGTACACTTATAAGATTTTTACTGCCAAAAACTATGCAATTAATTCACCGTATGTTGTTAGTTAGGTACCAGTTGAATTTAAAACTGATTTTTCTAGCGGTTTGGGTTTCCAATAAGACTGCAAGCATCATAAGCTTATCCAACAAATAAATATGTTGTCGTAAGATGAACAGTTTATAAATCGAAAATACAGGTTTTAAGAATTATTGTTGTGCATGCTAAGTGGTTTAATTGAAAAGCTTTCACTGCCTATTTGGATATCTTCAACTCTTCTCAATAAATCATCCGACTCAAGAAATGCATCAACAAAAATGGCTATCTCAGCTCTAAATCTCTACCATAATATAAAAATAGATGTTACAGAATATTTGTCAGTATTTCCAAGTTAATCAGTTTAGTAATCCTGTTACTGTGAGACAGTGACTGTAGCTAGAACTGAGACGTATTTCATTCGCTTCAAAGTTTGGTCAGAGTGAAAGCGAACAGATCTGCACAGTAAAATGATAAAATCTGACTTTGCATTCTGATGAAGCCGCGATAAATCATCGAATTCTACTTCATTTTAATACATAATTTATTATGATTTACTTGGTGAACTATTATTTCTAGAGAACTACTTACCTCCACATGGACTGTATCTTCTTGTGATTAACGGTCTACAACTACCGTTGCTTTGAAGCTGATAGCATATATGACGTAATTCAATGTTTTTAGTTATTGGATTGCAACTTCCAGCCTCTATATGACATTTGGGACATCCTGTCATTTGTAAATAGAAGAGAAAAAATATGCAGAAACTGTGTTCATAGACGTTGGGTTTAAGCATTTGCGAACTATCCATTACAGCAGAATACAGATTAAAAATGAAATAAATCCTGAGTGATTATCATATTTTTTCTACTGACAAGTAATTCACTCAAGAGATTTATTCCTGCCACTCGGCAGTCACAGAATCCTACTAATATCTTCCGACAAATAATGATACATTCTTTGACTTTCACTGCTCTTACTGATTTCCAGATTCTCTCATCCCGTTTGCTTACAAGGAAGCTAAATTTGAAACCTGAAATGATACTAGACTCTCTACAGACAGAAATTCCAGTTGCACAAAAATAGTGAGTTATGAGACTGAGAGCTGTGAATATTTACCAAAACACTTTCATTTTTGTTACTCATCTAAGTTTTAAGTTTTACTTTTGTATTTGGGCAAGTGTCTTCTATCAGCTTATTATCACTTCTCCACTTGCATATATCTAATTCATCGAAATCTTTGTCATGATTCAAAATTGTAGGGAAAAGAGAAGAAGACGAGATCGGACAAGTCATCTTACTGAATTATTCCCTACATAGCTGTAGAAAAACTTCCAAGGTAAGTATCTTATTTTGTTACTCTATAACTGCTCTTATAAGGTCATTTTTTGTTTGTTTCATATCTTCCCATTTAATCTAATTGTAAGACGTGCTGCCTGTTATTTAGCCCAAATTCTTTTGCTGAATCTATGTGGCTTGTTCTGTTGTTGAGTGGTTGTTGGCGTATACAGATATGTATCAGCCCGTCGAATTAAAGCTATTTCACAGAAAGTCTCCCTAAAATACAATTCGTTGACGTTTTTAATTATCACTTATTCGAAAGCTTATGCGATTCATTGTTCTCACTTGAATTAGCAATTGATGCATCAAATTAAACCTATATCTTATGCGAATACCTTCGAATACTTGTCTGTTCCCACTGGACAGTGTTAAGCTCAACTGATAAACGTTCAAACACTAAGTTAGTTAACATTTATGCATAGATTACAGTAGATAATGCTAGTCAAGCCCTGTGGACAGTAATATAGGCTGCTTCACGGAAGAATACTATAAAGTACGAAATCAGTTTTAGAAATGATGGAAAAGATTTATACTTCAGATGGATGACATTGGTATAGTTGTTTTCTGTGAGCTGGATGGTTTGTTTGCGAAGCTTTCATTATCTTTCCGAACACCATCTTCACCACAAACTTCAATATGAAATGAATTTATTTGAATTCTTTCTTTTGACAACCAGGTTTTTAAAAATCTTTTAACGTTTTACTCATATTATAATTGAAGCGTCATGAGTTTCTCCTAAGGTCAGATTATTATAAGTATTTCAAAAAGCAGTGGAAATGAACGTGCTAATGTTTGCATGAAATACGCTTGAATCTAAGTGGAATAAGACTTCACGGCATGTAGCGTAAATGGATACTGCATGCAAAATAAGAGCTCGGAGCCGGGGTGTAAATAACCTTATTTAGCTTTAACACTAAAAAAAACCTAACACTTTTCTAGTGCGCAAAAAAAAAACTCTAATGAAGCTTGAGTTTCAGTATGACCAAGTGATTGATAAGAATATTTATGATAATTAGTGGTGCTCAATAGCTTGTACCAAAGTTACCTAAACACCATACGGATATTTTATTCGTTTGGCAGAAAGCTAAACAGCCATACACCTTAATTAATTTGGTTCACACAACCCAATGATTACCGTCCACTTGTCACCTTACTTGATGCCAGTAATAATATCCATATTTAGTTTAAAGAGTTTCGTAATCATATTGAAATCACAGATGGGGTCGAAAGTTTCTTCGAAAAATTTCTTGAATCTCTCCTTATCCACAACTGACAGTTATAGGCCATGTTGTATATTGTATTGATAAAGCTAGTTGATTAGTTCTAAACATATATAGCGTACTTATCATGTTTTCAAATCACTAAATATTTAGAAACGATATTTTTGGAGTAAATGGTTTAGAAGTAATATGTTTAAATGAAGTGTTGACTGATGGGAGATTATCAACTCCCTTTAGGTTGTAAACACAAACTATGAATGAACCCGACTATCGCGCTTTGGCTACCAGTCAGTAGATTCTTAATTCTGAAACTGTTTGAAAGTTGATGGACAATCTCCCCTAAAATCCGTTAAGTCTTCTAACTAAGAATAGTAAATTCTAACGAATATTTAAGACTGCAACAAAGAAAAGGGAGATTAATAAAGCCTCTTTACAACAGGAACTTACTGCAGTTTTGAGGTGAACAAGTCAACATGCACATTGACTTATAAAAATCTTTACTACACTCTCCTCGTCTTTTCATGAGTTCACATTGGGATGTGGCAATTTGATCTTCACATGGTCGTTCACAGTGCTGACATGTTGCCCGACAAAACTTTTGCATAATTGTTTTATCTTTTTGACATCGACCCTCAGCTTTCCATTGTTTGCATTTCTCGGTTGGTTCACGATCAATACAAACTGAAAAGGCAAAGAAATGCACCCATAGCTTCCATAGCAAATGCAATCGGTTTTGTTTGGCAGGCTTTACTACTACCACTGTTACCAATATACAGTATGTGTCAAAACAAAATTTCACATCCCTTAGTTAATTAGTCATAGGATGACTACCATAAATATTAAGTAATTGAACGAAATATTTTCTCTGTGTTTCGTAGATATAGTAGACAGCTGGTTTGAAATCAGAAAGCCTGACCACCACTTTTGACTTAATTTAATAAGTTTTTAGATCTAATGTGTAGGTGCAAGTGAATTAACAGTTTAAGTATGAAGGTTAACCGTACTAGTAACATCTTTTAAAGCTAAGGATTGGAATGACAGTCAATTTGAAATTCAATGCATCACAGATTAATAGATTAGGGGAATTTCCTTTAGTGTTATCTCTAAACGTGGTACTACCAAAGCTCACGAAGACCTCTTCATTAAACTTGTGTTTGATTAAGCTATTGTTCCTTCGTATAACATAGTATATCACATTCCTAGAGGATTTCATCTCTGTTGTTGGCCAAACATCTTACTTTTGTAATCCGATATTACATTTCTGAGTCTTATATTTGAATCTTATATGATGTAAATTTTTAAATACATTGTTTGCGAAATCCACAGTCCAAGATAAGAATTGTACGAATAAATGATATCCAACTTTGAACACTTAAAACGGTTTCTGTTTATATCACTTACGAATCAGAATTCTGTATTTTGAGACCATTAGGCTCATAGCCGAATGTTGTAGATCACTACGCTAAATAATAACACCAACTAACTTGATCAAGGTGATCTGAAAAAAGCACAGCTGTTTGGCTATTCTGCAGCTAAGCTGCAACTACAATATTCCTAAACACAATTCAGCTGTGCTGTTCTTATCTTGGACTGTTGATTTTACAAAACTGAAACGGCTGTGCTGCTTTCAGATCACCTTGATCAAGTTAGTTTGTGCTTTTACTTGCTGGTGCACAACTAATTGTCTAACTTAATTGTACGTTTCGCACAGCATTCAGTTATTATAAAGTTATATTTCTTATACACGTGATGACAGTGATATTCAGCACAAGCTTACCAGATTCTAAACAACCGCATTGGCTTGGAGGGACACATAAAATGCCGTCAAGCAGATAACCTGGACGGCATTCACAACCAGGACCAGAAGAGATATAACTACACTTTGATTCCACTCCAAAAAATTTCCCTTCACAGGTTTCTGGACATGGGTTACGTTCCAATACGAAGTGTTGATTTTTACCGCATGTTTTACCTACTTTATACAGGGAAACAAATAAATTATATTAAGATCCTGAAAGGTTAAGTAAAACGAACTTGGAAAGTTAGAACTAGACTCTTTCAAAAACGCATTTCTTGTAACACTGTCTGTTGTTGTGATATTTTGTTCAAAATGAATAAACACTTCCAAGATTGAAGTAAGTTGTGAATCAGACATTACTGCTTGTACCATTCACAACGAGGAATAAATCGCTGTTTTTAAAAATAGCATTTTTCCAGGAGTAAAATAACATACTCTGTACAGCAGCCCCTATCACGATACGCTTTAAACAACCGGTGCTCTGTACGCAGAAGAAGCAAGTCCAGCCACTACTACTGCCCTGGCCATCACGAATTTGTGTCATTGTTTGTCTTAATGTTTCTGATGTTCAGTGTATTGTTATGTTGATGCTGTCGAACCGTAATCCATTGATAACATTATTGATTTGATGTTATTTAAGCAACATCAATGTTGCTAATAACAATAATTCATTCTCTGTTTTGTTTACATAACTGTAGAATCTGATCATGAAGTTATCCAAAAGAGTGTCCTTTGTTCGGTAACCATTCCTCTGGAAATTTTCTATGTGTTTGTGCCGATAGTTTTGGTGTGAACAAGAAGGCACTCTACTTTAAACTGTGTTTTGAAACTAGTATGATCAATGCATCATTAAGCATTCACATAAAACGTCTACTTCACTCTAAAGTCATATGAGAAGTCCAGTGGTAAGTAAAATGACTTTAGGCCTGAGTAATGCAGATATGAGATCTAATGAAGAAGTAAGTTCTTTCAAAGTTATATACAGATACAGTAGACAAGTGCCGAATACCCTGGACATTCCTTGCCACTAGGGCCTTCTTATTGCAAGAAATCTGAGTTAACCATCTTTATTTTAAACGCTATTCTGATGCAAAAAATACATAAATCTGTTTCTCAAGTATATTAATATATTGTACTATTGGTAGTCATAAGCAGTTTGAAAAAGGACTGTTAAAGCTACTCGTGACAAACCAGGTAGATTTATTCTGTTAATCACCGGTGTCACACCAGAATGCCACCTCCAAATCAGCAATTTCTAAAGCATAAGAATTATATACTGTGGACAACTTTCACTTATAGGACCATAGTTGCTTGTTAGAGCTAGAGGTTTTTCTGTTTTGATTTACAAGATCTAATTAATGATTATATTGTGGTCGGAATCGATTAATTTAATCTTGTAAATGAAAGAAGGAATATTCGTTTCAAAATAACAAGATTTTGATATAAATAGTATGCATAGTGACTAGATAAACTGTTTCGCAGCTTTGTAAAAGGTTTTTGCGAAGGTGAAATAATAAATAGTAAGTGAACGTATACTTGTCTACTAATTCTGAGTAAAAGACCAATACGTATCCCAAAATACAGTACTTCTTGCTTTCAAGTCATATGAGAATGCAATTTAAGGTAGTGATACAAAAATGATAAGACAAGACCAGACACCGACGTTAACTTAAGAGGTTAACTGCTGATGATCAGAGTTATTTGAATTTTAAGGCTTATGATTTGATAATAATATAACGTAATCAATGATGAATTGTTTCTTACCTGAATTACCAGATGGAACTGATCGTTTCGTTCGTTTTATACTTGATTTACGCGGTTTGTGTGATTTCCATACATAGCTAATAGTACAATTTTCATTGGATATTTTTCTCAGAGGGAATTTTTCACATATACCATTAACTCTTTTTTCATAAACGTAACCTTCGAACTGTTTCTTATTTGTGCAGTTGTAAATCACTTTGGAAGGTGGGGAACAGGCTAAAACAAAAACGTTTAAAATAAATTGCATAGATCACTATAAAACTGTTTAAAGTTATCCCAGCATGTTTAGAAAAACAAAACATAATTGTTTGCTGTGTAAGGCACAGGGTATGGGCTTTGAATATGGAGCAATGACCAACACTAGTGGGTTGCGCAGTCTCCTAGGTTATTTTTTAAGTGAAGAAATTTGGACGATAAAAGTTTGCGCGAAAAAATTCAGTACTGTAGTTAATGTAATATGGTTCAGAAAATAGCAATGATAATCAAAGGTAATGGAGTGATGAGAGTGAAACCTCAGATGTCCAATGTCTACATAATCTCCAACCCTCCAACCAATCGAACTTTAATTATTTAATAAGAGTACTGTGAATGCATTAAAAAACAAGGAGAGCTTTAACTTCAGCAACAGGTCTTCTCTTCAGTCGAGTCGCCGAGTAAGTAAGTAAGTAAGTAAGTGGGATCACCAAACTATTCACTTATTGGTATAATGATAAAGAGGATATATTTCTTTGTTAAATAATTGTACATCATGGATCAATCCATGACTAGTCAAAACGACACAAGTAATTAGTCAGAAAACCAACAAAAAGTACAAAGGTTCAAAATGAAACACAATATGGTTGACTAAGAAATTTGTTTGGAAAATGTCAGTTGGATAGAAGTGAAACATACAGGTCACTGGTTCTCTGACTAAAAATATAAAAGAAAAAGCATTCAAAAATGGATTTTCATCAGGTTAAGAATCATTGCAGAATCTATCTATGATTAGCCCGTTTCTAGGACTTCTACTCACTCTGAGTTCAGTATTCCCTAAAGGATAATATCCCGGACTATTAAGTTTCCATTCAACTGAAATCCAATAATGCCTGGACATAAGTGAGAACTACACTGTGATTGCCTTTAAAGTGAAATTAATTGAGTTCAGCAGGAATCTCTTCCTTCTAAAATCGAAAACGGCATATACATCCTAACACTGCTAAGTTTTGATATTCAACCACTGGCATTTAGGAAGAAGCCTGAAATTCAGGATATGATTAAGATTAACTAAATATTGACTTAAATTTACTAGGAACAAATCTATTTGAAGCAACTTTCTAAAAGCTGATGCATGTCTCCACTAAACTATTTCCGTAGCAGGTGTTAAATAAAGCTGACAATCAGAAGTATTAATTTCTTGTCAAAATAAAATAATAGAATTTGAAAGACAATATTTACAACAAATAATGACTACAATTTCACTTCAGAGGAATCAACCAGTATTCACGTGGGAACACCAAGAGTAGTCTGAGTGTTACAAGTCTTCTGTATTCTAGCCGCAGAAATCTAGAGTTAATTATGCAGGTGTTTTGTGACTAATGTGAGCAAATATTTCTGTCGGCTTAGAAGAAGCTGATTCTCTATACAAGTGATGAGAAGTTATTTATACATTTCAATGGAGATAATTTTTTTCCTTCATGTTCCCAGTGGAATATAGGGCCTCAAGATAGTGGCTTGAAGTTTCTGTAGCAGTGTTTATTTATTTTACAGGATGGGGTAGCTAGCCTCATACCCAACCTTTCCTCTATGCCAGTATTACTTCTGGATTAGCAAGGCAAAGGAGTGCATCGGCCGGGGATCGAACCCCGGACCATGTGAATGGTCGGTGAGCGTCTTAACCACTGTGCCACCGACGCAATGAACAATATACGGTGAATTAATTTTGCAGTTTCTGGCAGCAAAAATCTTATTAGTGTGCAGTTAAGTAATTTATAATTTAATTTAATTTATAATTTTAAAACATATTACATAATCATAAGCCATTGTATGCAAAACTTACGACATTTTTTCAGCATATTATATACAAATGGTACACAGATACAATCAGGTGTTTTCTTGAATATAATGATTTTCTTCATAATCACACCTTTATAACATGGACCAGATCTATAAATTGTCGGTGGGCATTCTATTTTCGTTTGCAAAGAAGAGAAGAATAAATCATTGTAATTTTGTCATGGATTTACAAATATTGATAATTGGTGGAAAAGAATAAAAAGCAATGGAGTGATAATCTTGAGAGTGTTAAACATTAAATATTTTCGATTAAGTTATATATGTCCAAACCAAGTTCACTTTTAACGGTTTGAATACATAATTTTACACACTGATCAAATCTAACAATCTACACTTGATTTTTTTATCTTTACCAATTAACCAACTTGACAACAAAAAACGACTCCAGACAGACGAACGATGATCAAGTTAGTAAACTTCATTTTGATATCATAAGAGTCGTACTATCACCTTTGTTATTTGGTTAAGTGATCTACATTACTATTCTGACTTTCTATATGTCCTTTTAACTTGACCTAAGTAGTCTGTTTTCTCATCCCTTAACTCCTTATTATATATATGCTGAGATTTTGTAAATTCCGGTTTAATAAAACTTTGAGAAAGCTATTAGCATTAAATAGCGAAACGTCAGTAAAAGCAATATCGTTTTGTTTTTCATTCATTGGGAAATACAAAAAAACCTTTGTTATAATGAATATCACATACCTAATGCCCAAATTTTTTCAAACTGTTAAAAGTGAACTTGGTTTGGACATATATAACTTAATCCTAGTCTTCATTGACTACCTAAAGATTTCATCCAACAATTTCATCCCTTAAGAAGCAACCTAGTTTTGATATTTTGTTTGTTTTAACTAACATACCCATGAATCCAATGTTTGTTTTAGGTACCAGGTGAAGTCAAGTAAAGTCAAATAGTCGGACAGTCTCTTGTCTGCTATTCGAAAATGGATGCAACATTCTAAAACTTTGATTAGCAAACAAGGAAAATTTCTTTTCGATAGCTATTTATTCAGCATCTGTAGTTATATATCTATAGTAGATGGGTAATAATTGGTATAAACAATATTAACCAAATGAGACGTTTTTTCATTTTGATGTTATAATGCATAGGTGAGTGAGTTAGATATGTTTTACTATAAACTTAATGAATAAGAGATGGTACAGGAGAAAAGGTTACAACTGCAAACCATGATGTAATACAGCATCTGTACACTTGAAGGTTCCTTAATGGTTAAATCTTTTTAATGAATCAGTTTACACAAACTAGTTTTAAAGTAATATGATTACAGGAGTAACACAGAATATCATGTCAGTAAGCTTTTATATTTACTTCTGATTGGAAACTTCCTAGAACATCATGCATTAGATGTTCTATACTACTTACTAATAGATAGCATTCCCCTAATGAGAGAAGTTCATATAACTCTTACAAAAAGGTGCACGCGATCTTCATTATCTGCCAGAGATAGAAACCAATAGGCAACCCAATGAAATTGTGAACAGTTCACTATTTACAAAAAAACTGGTCTCATCTTTGAAAAGTGATTCTATACCTCATGAAAGCTGAATGGTTTGCCTTAAAATACCATAAGCGTGGGGAGAAATATCATAAGACCAGAGCAAATGAATATCTGTCATTGATACAAGTCATTTACAAACATTTTTAAACGGTTCATCCGTTCAAAAGTGATACGTTTGTTCATAAAGATGAAAGATATCTGAATTTATTGGAAAAAAGTGAAACCATGACTTACTGAACTTGATGAATCCACATTTGTTCCCAAAATTAAAAGGTTTTTTCACTTGAAATCTAAAAACAAATAAGCAATAATGCAGCTGTTAAGAGAGTACGCAATTCTTCCTACTTTCTTTTTGGGAAGTTTTGGATTAAATAGTATTCAGATTTCGGAATTACCTCATTTCGTTACACCAGATATCACACTTAAAAGGAATTTCTATTGCAATTGAAATTCTCGTTTTTAAATAATCGAATAAAGAAACCACTTTAAGTTATGAAATAACAGACTGCCATCTACCTTCTTAAAAGTGACATAAGTAACAGCCTAAAAGTGTGACACTACTAGTGTTTACCGACATCGGATATGTCATTCTGAGTTATGCTCTACTCCATTAAACTATATGTTCACAATTTACTCTTGCAGGTGGTAGTATCATAACCAAAGTGTTCGATTTCATTAGGTCTACAGAAATGCAAATAAATAAAATACTTACAAATAAAGAATGATGTCAGACTATAAAGCATATTTGAAGGATATTAAGTAAGTAACATCTTCGAATATGTTCTTCGTTATAATTAGTTCACCGATGGATAAACAGCTGAAATTAGTTCTTGCTTTCATGTTTCCACTGAATTCAAATCTCTAAACATACAGTGTTTATTAGTTGCAGTAATTGTTAAGTCAGAAAGCTAATTGTTACTTCTTCAGGTGCCTAGAATTTGCGATTATTATCCGACTGATGTATGTATATGATGAAATCAAGCACTGAATTTATAAAATCTGCAAACATTTAAGAAGTGGAAGTATTTACTGGCCGTGAAGTTTATGAGAAGTCGTCATTTAACTTAGTATGAGGTGATGTTTACTCTACCACAATGCCCAAGTTTGATACTTATGTGAGAAATGGTAAAGCTTGGTTGGGTATCTGACCATGAACATTTTCACTATCTGATACTAATTCTATTGACTTTTCTATCCTCAGCTAGCATTCTTTAAGGTTATTTATTTTCAAGCATTCAGTGGATTTAAACACAATTATGCAGAGAAGAAACCATATATCAAATCACAGAAGTATACAATATACATTTCATTATACCCCACTATACTGCTCCTTTGTTTGTTTCACTAAGATTAGTCGGTACTAGTAAATGTGTAATTGTTCTGCCAAATGAAATCCGAAACTTCCTTCATTGTATACCAGTCGGTTTTACGTTCGATGCATCAACAGAACTAACAAAGTACAGAACTTTCAGTCTTACAATGAACAAATATTCGTGTATTATAGTTATAAATGATAGACATTAGTTGATAAGATAATGTAACCAAGCGATGAGTAGTCATCAAATCTAATTAGTAAAATAAAGCCTTCACTTAAAAAGGTATAAAGTTGGAGCTTTTGTTGACAGTAACCCGCGTAAGATATGCTGAATCAATGATAAACGCGTTGTTCAGAGGTAATTTATTTGATCACCATTACCATGAAATCAATAAAACCCTTACAAAAGCTATAATTCAAAATCAAACTACTCCTGGTTAGTGAATTTCTCAGAGGTGTAGTCAGGTGTGATTGATGGCTTCATTCAAGCTGGTTGGGTAGTATGCCTACTAACTTATCAGCTGACTACACTATTGAATAGACATGACGATATGAAGTCAAACAAACCTCTACAAATTAAAAATCTTAAGAAGTTCAGATCTAGATTATTAGACCTATTTTCTAACAATAAAATTACATTTTTGACTTGTATGACTCGCGACATTTAGTGAGATCATTTTTAGGCTGAACTGTATTCATTTGGGTTTGAGAATATTAAAAAAAATATTTTTCATCAATGATAATAAATGTAAGATTTAAAATGGTGAAAAAACAGAAACTGACAAACAAGTACTCAACAGATTAATGGTTGAATTAATATACTTTTACAACTTACTGTTTACTTTCTGTCATATTGTACTGTAAACACACAAGACATAAGCCTATTGCTAATAAAATAAGCCATTTGAAATACCCTCCACTACAGAGTAGTGTGGATAAATGCATGGCTTCGGTAAGATATTGAGGATGGTAAACTCTATGTAAGATAAACTGTATTCAATCAAATGAATAATAAAGTTCTAGAAGGTTGGTAAGTGTTTTAGAACGGCTCTGAGGTTACATATATACTTTATTAGGTGAACAGTTTTTTTCAAGTGACTTTTTGCTTGTACTTAACGCAATTCACATTCACCCTCATTTATTACAAAATAAAATAGGCGTTTAATTGCTTTTTAATTCACTATGAATTTCATTTCTTTCCTCTTTAAGGGGGAAAATGTGAAAGTTTTTTTCAGTTTATTTCACTGATCAAAAAATGTATAAACTATGGGTACCTGTATATTATTGCGCAATATTGAAATAATGTGATCATATAGTGGATTTATCAGTACACACATAAGTGTGGGTGGGTATGTGGAATGCTCAGAGTAAATATTCTCGAATTTAAACTGGTTAAGACCAAAACCATCAGTTTTATTTCTATTCGATCTTGGGTCTTCATATCGATATGTTTCGACACTGGTTTATGCCTCTATTTTGAGTCTAATTCCATATAAAGCGGTGACTTTAGAAATCTTAGTAGCTATTTCTGGAAAACATTACAGATTGTTATGAAATGACTTCACGCTATCCTCTCCACTGAATACCTCCAGAAATATGTAATTATTTTTATACTCGAATTTCTTTGAAGATTTTGCTTGTAAACGGTAGTAGGAGTAAAAATATCCTTCAACCCATAAAACGAAAATTAAAAGGAATCACCATTTCACTGATACGTAAGATATAAAGGATTGAGCAGATTTTATTTTATTAGTTTTATAACAGCAATTGGGAAACGCATTTGAATTTATTTGATCACAGTGAAGTGATGACTAGCACCTATGGACAGCCGATCTAGGTCTTATTTCCACTCTGGTTTCCATCCGATTTTTCAGTCAAGAACGCCAATGAAATTACTGTTAGTCTGTTAAACTCTTACAGTTGAATGTGATAATAGTTTGATTGTTGTTTACTTTCAGACTCTCAGGACATCGGTTTTCTCATGGTTTGAGAGACAGAAATTGTGTATCAAGGGTTGAAAATTCACGTGTTAACGATGCAACAAGTAATAATATTAATGCAGATCCTGATTTTATAGGGATTTGAGCAATTTATTTCCACTTAGGTTTCGTCACAAACGAATATGAGTTCACAGAGTCATGAAAAACCAAAGGACGGTGGATTTTATGAAGAGCGTAGCCATTACTCCACTTTGCATTGAACTAAGAGCCTTTGGATTACAACC